GTTGCTTTAAAGTATACCTACTGCTGAGACAGTGTTGTACAGAATCATCACAATGGATAAGGCATCCTCTAAGTCCAGAAATGATGGAATTGGCAATTTATATCTGGAGCAGATTCTTAAGGGTAAGTCTCTGGCTTGTTCATAATGGAACATTATGGAACATAATGGAATGCCATGTGTGCATCTCAGCATTGGCCTATGCTGTTGGCTGTTCAAGCACTAAGAAGTGGCAAAGCAAGGGAAGCCTTGGTGAGAGGAAATCTGTATCATTCAACCCATGCATGCTGCTGTAGGCCACCTTTTGTAAGCACTCATTCAGAAGGTGCTATGTTCAGACCCCAAACTCTTAAGCTGATACAAGAAAGAGTAGGAAATACTCTGGAGTTAGTAGGTATAGGTAAGAACTTTCTCAATGAAACCCCAGCAGCACAGCAACTAAGAGATAGCATAGATAAATGGGACCTCATAAAACTAAAAAGCTTCTGTTCATCAAAAGAAATGGTCTCTAAACTGAAGAGAACACCCACAGAGTGGGAGAAAATATTTGCCAACTATACATCAGACAAAGGACTGATAACCAGAATATATAGGGAACTTAAAAAACTAAATTCTCCCAAAACTAATGAACCAAGAAAGAAATGGGCAAGTGAACTAAACAGAACTTTCTCAAAAGAAGAAATTCAAATGGCCAGAAAACACATGAAAAAATGCTCACCATCTCTAGCAATAAAGGAAATGCAAATTAAAGCCACACTAAGATTCCACCTCACCCCTGTTAGCAACACCACCACCAACAGGTGTTGGCGAGGATGCGGGGAAAAAGGAACCCTCTTACACTGTTGGTGGGAATGTAGACTAGTACAACCACTCTGGAAAAAAAATTTGGAGGCTACTTAAAAAGCTGGACATCGATCTACCATTTGATCCAGCAATACCACTCTTGGGGATAGACCCAAAAGAATGTTTACTCCAGAGGCACCTGCACATCCATGTTTTTTGCAGCACTATTCACAATAGCCAAGTTATGGAAACAGCTAAGATGCCCCACCACTGACGAATGGATTAAGAAAATGTGGTATCTATAAGCGAGAGCACACAAGGAAGGGGTGAGGATAGGTAAGACACCTAAAAAACTAGCTAGCATTTGTTGCCCTTAACGCAGAGAAACTAAAGCAGATACCTTAAAAGCAACTGAGGCCAATAGTAAAAGGGGAACAGGTACTAGAGAAAAGGTTAGATGAAAAAGAATTAACCTAGAAGGTAACACCCACGCACAGGAAATCAATGTGAGTCAATGCCCTGTATAGCTATCCTTATCTCAACCAGCAAAAACCCTTGTTCCTTCCTATTATTGCTTATACTCTCTCTACAACAAAATTAGAAATAAGGGCAAAATAGTTTCTGCTGGGTATTGAGGGGGGGGGAGAGGGAGGGGGCGGAGTGGGTGGTAAGGGAGGGGGCGGGGGCAGGGGGGAGAAATGAACCAAGCCTTGTATGCACATATGAATAATAAAAGAAAAATGAAAAAAAAAAACAAAAAAAAAACCAGAAGGTGCTATGTTGGCTAAAGAAAGAGGCTAACTGACATCCATAGGACAGGACATTTCCACAGTGTAGGTCCACTGGTAAGCATTACATGGAAAAATATGTCTCCACATTGTCCATTCTGGGTAGTCTGCTGTAGACTTTCTTTTCTGTCGTTGACAAGGTGGATAGTCATGACCCAGTGCATGTAAATGGAGGTCAGTAACTCATCTTTCCATTCAGGAGATGGACCACCAGATGTGCCATCCAAAGTTTTGCCAACTTCACCCCTAAACTGCATTGTAATTCACAAGTGCCTATTTCTGGATGATGCCAGCACTGTTGCAGATCCACCTATAGAGCACACCTGTGCTTCTGTCAACTATCTATAGGGAATGTGCCCATGAGTCCACAAATAGGAACTGAAGTAGAAAAAGCAGCACCAAGAATTTGAATGCACACTTGGGTCATTTACTGATGGGTTCCCAATCTCAGGCAGTTTTGGATAGTTTTCAGTTAGTTGTTAACTACGCAACAATGTCTTTTATCAGGCATGGTTTTAAAAATAATTTCTTCAATGTCTCCATACACAGACAAAATTAAGTGTGCCACTTAACATATTAAAACTTGCAAACTTAATCATTGCCTTCTCTAGGAAAATTATCTCCCAAACATACTTTGGCAGGAGGCCAACCTCCAAGAATGTATTGATGTACATGACAGACTTTCCTCCGTCTGCACCTCATCCACCGCCATTCAATAACCCTTCTTCAGGTCTAGATCGGGCGCATTTCTTGCCAACAATCATGAAATGTCTAAGAAGACTTTAGTCACCATCTTCTGCAGAACTCTGTGAAGTGTGTTTCTTGGTTATCACCAGAAAATGTGTTGGTCTTTGAGGGCAAATGTCATGGAGAGCACCATACCATTAGTCCTTGAAAATGATTTTGGCTGCGATTTCTTTGTGGATAACTTTCCTGAAGATTGTGTTGCCACCAGATGAGGTGATCTGAGCCTTGGCTATCTCATCTGCCATCTCTGCTCCCTCCTGTGCAGCAGCCAGAGGGAGGTCCAAGCGCAGGCTGTTTCCAGTTTTGAAGTTAATGCTGCTGTTTACATCCAGGTTTGTGATTTGTTTAGGTAGGCTGTCTTTCCCACAGCAGGCCATGTACTTCCCTAGGCTATAGTGGTAACAAACTCTTGGTATGGGCCCAGAAGCAGTAGAAGTGATACTAATGGGCTCTGAGAGCCAGTCTCTTTGTGGGGAACTTGTGCCTGTTGTCTGGCTCCCTTATCACTTTTCCTTTTTGGGGGGAACAGTAAGGGGGAGGCGTACAGTGGTTTGAACTCAGGGCCTTGCACTTGCTAGGCAAGCCCTTTACTACTTCAGTCACTCCCTCAGTCCTTTTTCCTTTAGTTATTTTTTGGATAAGTTATTTTCTGTTTATGCCCAGGTCAACATGGACCTGTGTCTTCCTATTATGCATTCCACTTATGTATCTGGGATGACAGATGCACACCACCACACCCAGCTATTGGTTGAGATAGGGGTCTTGCTAACTTTTTGCCAAAGCTAGTCTCAACCATGAACCTCCTGATCTCCTTACCACTTTTCTCTCTTGCCATACTGGGGATTGAACCTAGGGCCTCATGCATGCTAGGCAAACACTCAACCACTAAGCCACATCCCCAGTCCATTTTTTTCTTAATGCCAAGTAGCAAAGACAATCAGCTCAATTTCAGCTGTCAGAGACAGCAGATCTTTACTATCTTAGGGTCTTGTTTATATAACTTTGTCCTGCTACATTAGAGAGATCACAGTAATTGGTCCTAGTGAACAGGAAATAGTACCCTTAGATGCCTTAGTAAGACATGTTGGTAGACAGAAGATAAATTCCATGAAATATTGGACCTGCCCCTTTGGCAATCTCTAGGGGCTGAGTTGTCTGTGAAATACCAACCACAGTATTCCCTCTAAAGTAAGTGACTACAACACTTGAGTTATTTGGAGTTTTTGTTTTTGTTTTTCCTTCCCCAGTATGGGGGCTTAACTCAGGGCCTTTTGCTTGTAAGGCAGGTGCTCCACCATTTGAGCCAAACCCCCATCCTTTTTTGGCTCTATTTTTCAGACAGGGTCTTGCATTTTTGCTCAGGGGGCTGCGATCTGCTTACCTATGCCTCCCCTGTAGCTGGGATTATAAGCATACACTACTATGCATGGTCTTTGTTTGGATATAGCCTATACTATATGTGGATAAACTGCTCCAGTGTATTTACTGAGGAACCCACAAACTTGTTAGTTCTAGTGAGAACTGCACAGTGAAAAGACCTACAGCTTTGATGCAAGCTGATACTCAGATCTTGTAATGTACATGTACAGTGTTGCCTAAAATGCTGTTGCAATAAAAGGTACCTGGATGGTGCCCACTGCCAAGCCCCAATGTATGTCTAGATGTTGCCATAAAGTCACATGGGCACACGCTTAGGGTTCTGAAGCAAAGCTTTGCCTCCTCCTGCTAATAAATCATTCTCCACTTGAAAAGTAATGTCTGCCCTGCTCCTGGATCCTAACAGAAAATACCTGTTCATGGGATACCAACAAATACACAACTCAAATTGGGTGTCTGGCCACTGAGCTTACAGGTTAGGCCAGGGCAGCAGTAAGTCATTATCACATGCTACATGTGTAGTCTTATGTGATACCATCTTTGCCCTTGACACATAATACTGCCTTTGTTATGATGAGTCAGTTCATTCACGTGACCAACAATCTAATCCATCGTGACTATGTAACAAATTGTAATTAGCTTTTCAGATACCCATTTTGGTATTCCTGAATTGTATCCTCTGTAATAAACTGATAATTACAAATACAACACTCTCCTGAGTCATTCTAACAAATCACCAAACCTGAAGAATAGGTTGTAGGAACTCCTAAACTTGTAGTTAACCAAGGAGACAGACTATGGGTAGCCGAGCACCTACTGTGGCTACTGTTTGAAGTGAGGGCAGTCCTCTGGGACTCAGTCCCTAACCTGTGGGGTCTGTGTTAACCCTGGCTAATGTCAGAATTGAACTGTAGAACACCGAGGTGGTATCAGTGAATGATGATGGAAAACAAATAATAGAGGCCAAGACTCAAGTAGGCCAGGCAGGCAAGATGACACTGTGCAGATGAGTAGCTTAGGCTCCATGTCACTTCTCCAGCTGTGGTGTTCCCATGTATTTGTCCACTCCTGGGTATGGGTTTGCTTTTCCTGACTAAAACTCATTTGCAGAGTTTCCAAATTCCTATACACCATCATTGCTGCTGCTTCTCTCGAGACAGGGTCTCACTGCATCACCTAGACTGGTCTCTTCCTGACTCAGCCTCCCAAATTCTGGATAACAGACCTGTGCCACCATGTCCAGCTTACCATTATTGCTTCTAACCAGAAGACTTCTGGCAAGTGTGGCACTAGGCTTCTGATCACAGAATGCCATACACTCCCATTACCCAGAGGTAGCTTATCTGGAGGATAGTGGAAAGGCCAGTCTGAAGACTATACACTGTCATGTGCAATGCTGAAATACAAGAGGTGACATGTGTCTTGTGTGAATAGTATAGGGTACTGTTTCTCCCAGGTCCTGAGAACACAAGGGACAGGAATGGCCCCAGAAGAACTTTTGCTTTCTGTCATTTCCCCTTTTCACCTCCCCAACTTTGTATGATGTGTTAGTGGTGCACTCACCTTAGAAACCAGCTCCCAGTTGCCAGATCTCAGGCAACTACGTATCCCCTGGCCAGCTTGGATTACATCTCAAGGGCTTTGGACAAGATAAAACATTTTTTTTTTCTTACCTCACATCAGGCAGGTGTATATCAAGTTACATTTTGCAATTAAATATGGGTAAGAAAGTGAGATCAAATGCTCAGTATCAAAGGGGTGGCTCTGGTGGCCAGCACATACCTGTGTGCAGTCAGATTGATTCCTCTTCATCTCTGCTGCACAGCTGCCCAGGCTCCCTTGTCTGGTTTTGGCAAGTGGAAAGGCAGGAAGGAAAAGACAGGCATTTTTCTTTCACTCTGTGGAGGGTGGCTGCTCTCTGTGGAGGTTGATGTGTCTCCTTGGGGATTGTCTCCTGAGAGAGGGGGCCTGCCCCTTGAGTCCCAGAACAATTGCACTGTTCCTCTTGCCCAAAGGTGAGAGCTTCCAGCTGCTGTTCATCTTTGGGTTGTCTCACCTTGTTGCTTTGTGACTCTGCTGCTCCATCATTAGAGCAACCAAATTCCTATATTAAATTCCCTTTGAAAACCCAGAGTGGTTGGTTTTACAGCCTAGGTTCTGACTCATATGATGCTATGTATTTGATTAAGGCATTCCTGGGCCACACTGTAGTTGACTGTGCTTTTTTTGTTTTTGTTTTTCATTATGGGAAAGTTTAAATAAATAACAATAGATGCACTATCGAGATTTACTATTTTTTTAAAATTGCCATGTTTACTAACCCTGTGTGTGTATAAATGTCTGTGTGCTATACTTTCATACATACATCTATACAGTACAGGTCTGGATGATGGACACCAGGTCATGAGTATGGGTGAGTCATCCAACGGTGGTAGCTGAAAGAAGGTGGTGGGCTGTGGCAGCACCATTCAGAAATAAAATGAAAGTGATAAGCAGTTGGCAAGAGGCTGTGTCTTCATCAAGTGAAGAGTGATTTGAGGGTTAGGGGCATGCCTCAAGTGGTAGAACGCCTGCCTGGCAAGCACAACACCCTGAGTTCAAAACCTGGTAAAACTTAAAAAAAAATTCTTGACTTAGAGGAGTCTGACATAAATTCTAAGTTTTTTTTTTAAATCAATGACAAAAGCAAACTAGATGAAGTAAAACAACACAAGACCATCCACAACAGAACAGTGCTTTCACTTTATTCCTTCCTTCCTCTGTGTGTGTGTGTTCATTTTTAAATGAAGTTTCCATTTGTACATTTAAGAAAATAATTAACTGGAAACCACTTCCCTCCGTGGAAGAGACGAGTGGCTCTGCCAACAGGCACAGAACAGCACGCAGCATCATTCAAGGGAGGTAAGGAGCAAAGCATGCCGAGGTCACAGAAAGCACGCCATGTGGCTTTGCAGTGATGTGAAGAGGGACACTTGGTGGCACCTGAGGGCTGTGTCCAAGGCCACACCATGAACTTTCCTTAGGAATAAACGTCTTTTCCTCAAATAGAATTGTCACAGGTTAAAAATCACAGGACTTTATTCACTGTTTAATCTTCTGGTGACAGGAGTTCTTTGAAGTAGAATCTAAACATAAATAAAAATGAGGTAGCAATGTGTTATAAGACTGCATACATCTTTAAGAATAACTTCATAATTTCCAAACACTATCACTGAGTTAATCTGAATTTTGATAAAAATATAAGGTAGTTTAAGTAATGATGTCTAAGAAATACTGGACAAGTGGCATGCTGGTCAAACATGATCTTTATGTTTCCCATCACAGAAAGGACACAAAGGCCCAGCTAGCAACTAAGCCAAGGTGAACCACATGCTGTTGAGTGTGCCAGTAACACTCTTTAGCCAAGTTCTGTCAAGGCTGAAACCCACGGTCTTTTCTGCATTACCTTACTCTTCTAGGATACAGTTATAGTATTTTTAAAGAGAGTTCAAGGACTTTTATACCTTGTGGCAACCCCACCAGTCTTTGCTGAACCATTTCTAAATGGTGAATATATTCTGTCAAGGAGGGTTCCGGATCTTGAGATGCAGTCAGGGATCTTTCTAATCTTGAATTTGGGGATGAAGTAGATCTTCAAACAAACCACCACATTAAGGGAAAGAAGAAACAAACAAAACAAAACAAATGAACTCAACAGATGGAGCTGTGGAGAGGACAGAATAGGCCTGGGACCTGCTGACCAAACCTGGTGGTGGGGATCTCTAGGGCTATTTCCTCAATGCCCCTTCCTTACCACAAAGAAAACTTCCCAGGTTGTCATAATGGGGTTTGAATTCAGGGGCTTGTACTTGCTAACCAAGGGATCTAACTTGAACTATACCCCAGCCCTGTTTGTTTCTGGGATGCTGAGGGTGGAACCAAGGACCTCACAAATGCTACACAAGCACTCTACCACTGAGCGACACCTAAGCAATGCTTGGCAAACCGACTTCAGTATCACATCGCATAGTTAAAAATGAGTAAAAATGATTGCATGTTATTTGCTAAATCTTTGAGCATATCTGTTACCTAAACTGGATTACACCCCAGGAAACCCCACAACTCAGTGCTTTTGATGACTCACCTTTCCTTGCCTGGCCAAAACTCCCCAACATCTAGTCCTCACCATGTACATTCTTCCCAGCCCCCACTAGCCTCAGGAAGCATTGTCTGTGCCCCTTTTCCCTTTCTGCCTGATGAGCTCCCAAACCTCTTTAGGGACAGGGAATGTGCCTCACTGACCAGGCAGTAGCCACATGAAAGAGCTTCTGCTACCATATAGGTAAACCTGGCCATCTCCACACAGAGCAAGACGCCCAGGCCCTCAAAGATTCACTGCTGTGTTCCCTGCCTTGCTCTGAGACTGTCAAAGCCAGAATGTCAAAATATACTCTGAGCAACCACCAGGGTGCTGGAGACCATCACAGAGCAGAAGCCCACAGCAGCCCAACTGACCTGACTCCTCTGCTTGAGGAGGCTGCTGCAGGTCCAGAGCCATGCACAGAGTCCTGGGGATGGCCTAAAGACACATCACGAGTTGGGAGGGACCCTCTGGTTTTTGATGAAGACTGCTGCCGCCGTGGTGCTCGGGACCCTTTCCCGGAACAATTTAACAACAAATTAGTAGGGAAAGAAATGAGTGTGTTTTAGTAGGAAGGCTCATCTATTAAAACTTTAAAACTTAAGTTTTAAGAGTCTGTATGGCAATTTCAAAGCATTTTTAAAGTATCCATGCTGTTTTTAAATTTTGACCACCTGTATTTTACTTGTACAAGGCTGAACCCCCAGCACTGCATTGCCTGGGCAGCCTGTAGCTAGGGGGTGCCCTCAGGAGGACTGTGGATATGACATGGGGGAGCCTGTCCTGCCTCTACTAGCTCTGAGCAAAGAGGAGCTCATCAGACAACCAGGTGTGGGGACGACAAGTTTTCTTGGTGGTCTGAACTGTGTGTATGGGGGAAGGAGGGCAAGCTTTCCTGGTGGCCTAAACTGTATGTATGTAGTGGTGGGGGCAACCTTTCCTGGTGGCCTGAACTGCATGGCCTGGGGTGTGGGAGGCAAGCTTTCCTGGTGGCCTAGAGGTTGAGAGGAGAGGGAAGCTTTCCTGGTGGTGTGAACTGACAACAATTCCAAGATGACCTAGTCACTGCGCCATGACTTGGGAGGCCCAGGGGACAGGGTGTACTCTGTCCTCTGCCCTGAGTAGGAAGGCTACTCACACCTGTCATCCTAGAGACTGGACAAGGGCCCAGCAAAATGTCCTGCTTGTTCTTGGTCCCCTTCAATATTTATGAGGCCAGCTGTGCAGTACATTTGGATAGGCTGCAGAAAGCTCCAGAGACCAGATTTTATTGAGCCAAAAATTGGCACTGAAAAAAATTGGCTTTGAAAGGAAGGTGAGGGAACACAACTCCAGTTGACTCTGGAGAGCCAAAGGGCCCATGTTATTAACACCAGTTGTGAGGAATCACTATGCTCGGCACGTCTGTTCCTTTCAACCACTTTTATTCACTGTTTGCAGATCTTGGCCTGGTGCTGCTGTTCTCATCTGCTGCTGTGGCAGATGGTGCACTGACTGAACTTCCTAGTTCTCTTATTGTATTTTATTTTGTTCCACTGAAAAATGACCAAACATTCATGAAAACGCTATATAAGCAAGAGGAGAGGTGTGAGGGTCATTCAAGGCCCACCTGGGCGAGGGGCTTTGCCTTGTGTTAGAGCTCCTTTCCGATCAACTTCTTGCCACTTCTTAACCAAAAAACGTAATCTACAGAGAAGGAAGACAAAATTCATTTAAAATGAGAGCAAACAGGAATGAAAGGAGCAGTAATATCTGATGTTGCCGCCCATGGGGGACACAGACCCACCACTGCCTCGTCAGCCAACAGGCCACCACTCTGGGTACACAGCAGAAGTCTTCTCATGCCACAGCCTCCACCCGAGGAAGCCACGTTTGACCCCACCCTGGACTCCCACCACTCACGCAAGCCAGACCCTGACCCCACCACAACTTCACTTAGGCTCATCAGACTCCAGTTCAAACCCATCTGTGACAGCAGCGCCTGGGAACAGCATACTGTTCCCACCTGAACTTTCGGCTCTGGGCTTCACCCTGTCATTGATACCACTTGATGGGCTGGAAGTTGGCCAGGTGGGGCCCCAATGGTATGGGGAGGGTTGGTGGTCAGGGTGGCAGGTGTGCAGGCCCTTGACAACCCCTGCTAGCATGAGCTCATCGAGTGGCATGTCTGCAACTTCCCTCCTCATGCGTGGCATGGCAGAGACCCTTCAAGGGTCCTTGGAGGCAGCCTCTTCACAAGGAGACGGGCCCACTGCCTGAGAAACAACTGGCCTTGTCAGGAAGGTGCTGAAGGCAGCCTCTGGGTTTGCTCACCTTCCCCCATCAAGCACCTAATATACTTCCTGGATCAGGGCATTCTTCCCACAGGTCCGATGGACAGAAAGACAGGTGGACAGTGGATGGCCTGTGGTCAGAACTCAGCCCAAAAAAATGCCCTGAAGCTGGAAAGAGCCCAGCACAGCCCCCAGAGGCATCTCCTATCCCTGTTTCTGCTGGAAGCCCCATCTGCTGGTTCCCTTGAGCACCCTAGACACCTGGTCTGGCCCTGGGAAGGTACCTGTGAGCAGCAGGAAGCAGGTGTAGATGTAATGGTAGAAATTTACCAATTTCAAAATGATACAGTGAAATGAACTTTCACCACTGCTACTTTTAAATGATCAAAATTACCAATTATCACCAAGGAGCCACATCCTGCTCCAGAAATGAGCAGGAGCATTTCTCCAGAGCACCTGCTGGGCGGGAGTGAGGTGTGCAGAGCTGGGACCACCTGGCACTCATGGCAGGTCAGGTCCAAGAAGTTCGCAGGTCAAGTATGACACTACCTTAGTAGCCTGCAGATTCTTATGCCCCTGTCCTCCTCTTCTGTATATTCTTATGCTCCTGTCCTCCTCTTCTGCAGATTCTTATGCCCCTGTCCTCTTCTGCAGATTCTTATGCCCCTGTCCTCCTCTTCTGCAGATTCTTATGCCCCTGTCCTCCTCTTCTGCATATTCTTATGCCCCTGTCCTCCTCCTCTGTATATTCTTATGCCCCTGTCCTCCTCTTCTGCAGATTCTTATGCCCCTGTCCTCCTCTTCTGCAGATTCTTATGCCCCTGTCCTCCTCTTCTGCAGATTCTTATGCCCCTGTCCTCCTCTTCTGCAGATTCTTATGCCCCTGTCCTCCTCTTCTGTATATTCTTATGCCCCTGTCCTCCTCTTCTGCAGATTCTTATGCCCCTGTCCTCCTCTTCTGTATATTCTTATGCCCCTGTCCTCCTCCTCTGCATATTCTTATGCCCCTGTCCTCCTCTTCTGTATATTCTTATGCCCCTGTCCTCCTCTTCTGTATATTTTTATGCCCCTGTCCTCCTCTTCTGTATATTCTTATGCCCCTGTCCTCCTCTTCTGTATATTCTTATGCCCCTGTCCTCCTCTTCTGCAGATTCTTATGCCCCTGTCCTCTTCTGTGACACAAATATGACTAAAACACAGGAAACTGTAATTTGCAAAATAAAATATGGTTTTAAATACCATCACATGTGCCTGCTGACAGAAAGAATCCTGGTATGATACCTATTAGGGCAAGCTGATCCTCTGTAACAAGAAGGCTGCTTAAGGCTGGGCAACATGGCTAATGCCTGTAATCCCAGCTAGTCAGGAGGCAGAGATCAGGAGGATTGTGGTTCAAAGCCAGCCTGGGCATACAGTTCGCAAGACCCTAACTTGAAAAAACCCTTCGCAAAAAAGGGCTGGTAGAGTGGGTCAAGGTGTAGGCCCTGAGTTCAAGCCCCAATACTGAAAAAAAAAAAGAGACTCCTTAAATCTTTGGCATTGAAATGACAATGTGCATGACACAATTTCTTTCTCTTTTTTTCTGAAGTGATAGTGTGTATGACACGATTTCTTTCTCTTTTTTTGAGACTGGGTCTATATGGCCTAGGCTGCCCTCAAACTTATGATCCTCCTGCCTCAGGCTCCTGCGTGTTAGGACTGCAGGCATGAGCCTGCCCAGCCACAGCACGACTTCTTAAAGCCAAGTGCCATTCATCTTTAAAGAGAAAAAAACTGTAGTTTCAAGGAACACAGCTATCTGAAAAGCAAGAACAAGTGCTGTTTACCTCAACACTGCGATGACCACCCTGACAGCAGTGCGGAACTTCGTGAAAGGACGTGATGTGGCCACTTTCTTATCTGCTTTGGAAGGAAACACCCCCAAGTGAGCGATCATGGAGAGGGTTTCCTGTTCAGAGTCTTGGAACCCACCAATCAGCAATAAAAGATACTTCTTTTGATAAATTAGAGCTTTTCTGAAACTCTCTGCTCTCAGATAATGCAAGTACAATTTTTCCATCTAAAGTAAAAAAAAAAAAGTAAGACTTAATCACAGGAAACAAAGACCCCCACTGACGGCATGGGAGTCAGGGGCAACTGTGAAACCACACTTCACACAGCACATTTGCAGTTGTTCTTTTTTAATATGTGGTCTTGCTATGTAGCCCAGACTGACCTTGAACTGTGAACCTTTTGGGCTGCCTCTCTAGTGCTGGGATTACAGGTATACACCACCATGCCCAGCTATACAATTTTTCTTTACAAAGAACTGGTGTTTTCCTCACAAATTACCATAGAAGTCAATCATGTACAATGTCTGTAGTCAGAAACAACCTTGCTGCTGAAGATGGACCTGTGTTTAGCAACAAAATCTAGACACAGATCCTGTCTCCAAAGTATTGTCAGATGAGTCCCAATGAAGACTCTTGAATTTCCACCCATGTGAACTGCAAACTGGGATTGGGACTATGGTTCTACTCCTGGGTTACATGGATGACTGGGAGTCAGGGCAACTGTGTAAAAATCAGGAAACTGAGTTCAGGGTCCAAACTGTGATAAGCACCTTTCCCTCAGGTGCTTAGGAGTGGGCCCACAGCTTGTGCCACACCCAAACACTACAACCAGCACATCACTAGATGTTTTCCTAGGCCACAGAGACACCTCCTCCTGACTTGAGCACAGACGGTGTCTGCACAGCCAGACCAAGTTTCACATTAACTTATGCTCTGACTTTTATCTTTCATGGTGACCTGACACTCAGGCAGCATGTGTTTCTCTGTACTCAAGCACACATTGGCTCCACACATGGGCCGATGCACCCAGAAAATGAGACCCATGCAGTCATGAGAATGCCTTGCCTGCTGTTGACCCCTCAGGAGTAAAGCTCGCCAACACTCTACACCCAACACTGTATAGGCCCAGTCTTACCTTGACATGGCAGATATTCATATCTTCGCTTGCAGGTGGCATTAGCTGTCCTGGGTCTGAGTGTTGTGAAGAATTGTGCAAAACTGTCCCATCTTGCTTCCAAACAGACTTGCCTGGCCTCTGTAATAAACCACAGCCAGCACCTCTACAGAGTTGTTCTTAAATAAGAACATTCTGAGAAAAATGACCATCAGGAAGGTTAAGCAAGAGATAACAGCCACCACCCCAACCCTGAGGCAGAGGTCATGGTCAAGCACCTTGTTTCTTCCACAGTTGACCAAGGACTTCAACAGGAGGTGGCCCACCACAGGTAGGGAGAGCTTGGGGACATGTCTCCAAGATACTGGGATCCAGTGCATGTTGAGCTAAGTATGGACAGCATGCTGTGTGTCCCTCATCACCTCTAGCATCTTTTCAGTGATACATTACAGGTGTCGCCACCTCTTTAATGCTTAAAGGGAAGTACTGCAACTATTTATGGAAGTACGTATACAGAACATACATTTTAGTAAAAACAAAACAACAACAAAAAAAACCTCAAATATTTGCAAACTAACCCCAGATTTGAGGCTTTAAGGTAAACAGCTTCATGGTCTCTGGTCCTAGAAATGCTAAATGCTGACAAATGCAAAAATGGTTCTGCTCTTGTGCCATTGAATCACACGTGGGAAGCTCAGTGCAGGCGACAAAAACCACTCCAGCAAGGGGCATACAGAGAGTATGGACAGCTACCATACACCAAGGGTCTCTGGTCCCCAATCCCCACGGTGGAGTGCACACCTAGACAATGACCTCATGGTAAAGGACAGAGAGGCCCACAGAGCCAATGGTAGGGACCTGCTCCTCATGCAGTCAGCTGCCTGCATCCAGCACTTGGAGACAGGAATCAAAGGCAGGTCATGCCAGACACAGTTCTAAGGGAGGGTCTGTGAGCCCAAGCCAAGCCCTGACAAAGCAGAAGAAAACAGCTATGATCCGTATGAAATGACACAGCCTAGTCATTTTGAGAAAGAACCACTCTGGCATAGCAAGTCATCTCAGACATAAAGGAGAAGGTACTCCAACAGTTCACCTGCAGCCCACCTTCAATTAACTCACTGCAGATGTCATGACCTGGACCAGGCATAGTGCTTCACGCCTATAATCCCAGCTACTTGAGAGACAGAAAGCAGGAAGATAGCACTCTGAGAGAAGCTTGGGCATTAAACTAGCAAGACTCAATCTCAACAAATAAGACAGTGGTGACAGTGGTGTACACCTGTAAGCCCAGCTACATGGAAGGTGATAGGTAGGAGGATCATGGTCCAACAAGCCTGGCCCTGGGCAAAAACAGGCCTTATGTGAAAAATAATGTAAAACACAAAGGGCTGGAATCATGGCTCAAGTTGCAGAGGGAGGCCTGAGTTCAATCCTTGGTACCACCAAAAAAAAAAAAAAGTTGAAAATATCATGACCTGATCTCCGTTAACCTTCATATAGAGGGTCCTACCAGTCCTATGGCTAGAGCCCATACAGGCCAACAGGGATGCCCTAAACAGACCCTCAATACTCGGTCTGAGTATTGAGTGAGCTCCAGAGAAGCCGGGCGGGGGGGGGGCGGGGGAGGACTCTGGACGAAGTGCTGGTCAGCAGCCAGGCAGTCTGTACCTCCTCACATCAGGGATGCTGTCTCGTCTGCCTGGAAAAAGACTGAATTTCTACCCACAAGGCTGGGGAACAGAAAAGACCTGGCCATTCCTACTCAGCAATATCCTGGAGGAAGTCTTGGGCCACAAAACAAAGAGACATGAAAGGCCTTCAAATAGGAAAGAAGGAAAATAAAATCCCCAATTTGCAGATGACATGATTGCTTATATAGAAATCTTAGCGTTAAAAAGTGAACAGAGCAAAGTCTTAGGATACAAGGTGAATACACCAATCCATTGTGTTTCTACATGCTAACCAGAAACTGAAAAAAAAAAGAGGGGCAACTGAAAATGCCCCTCTGAAAACATGAAATATTTAGGTATAAGCTAAAGAAAGATCTGTATGCTGATAGCCACAAAACACTGAAGAAAGAGCATTTTAATGTCCTAAACACATGGAGAGACACCATCCCATGTCCGTCAAGGAAGACTTAGAGTAGTTAGGGTGCCAATTCTTCCAATTTTTTATAGTCACTTTACTAAGATATCATTTTCACACACCAAAAACTGTTTAGTATATTCACAGGGCTGTGTAACCATCACAAATGTCTAACTGCAGAACACTGTCACCACCTTGAAATCTGTGCCCTTTAGCAGTCACTCTGTTCTCTACAACCCTTCCCCAGCCACGGACAACCACTCATCAATTTACCTACTTTGGACACTTGAAAAATTCCATTTGTAGAAGTATTTATCAACTGAAAGAGAAGTGAGTTATTTCATTTTGGCTACAATGAATAATGAAACTTCATGTACAAGTTTTTATGTGGACATATGTTTTCATTTCTCTCGGGTAAGTGCCTAAAGGTAGGATTTGCTGGCTTAGTACAGCAACTCTGTTTGACCTTTTGAGGGAAAGACTGTTTCCAAAGTAACTACAATACCAATTTTTAAAACCAGCAGGGTTCTAGAATTTATACTGATTAATTATATTCTATTAATTTATATTTGGTGAACTACTACCACCAAACAACCTGAGAAAGAACAAAAAGGTGGAGACCTCACACTCTCCAATGCGATGATGTAACAAAGACCTTCATTAGTCAGCCAGAATAAAGGTACAGTACATACAGACCAAGGAAGTACAATGTCCACAAATAACTCATAGGTATTGTGCCACTTCTGACACAAGCAGGGGGACCATCTGATGGAGAAAGGACAGTCTTCTCAGCATAGTGTGAAGGAACGTTTGTATACATAAAAATGAACCTCAGACCCAGAACAAAAATTAACTTGGGATGGATCACTGACCTAAAACTAGCCAGTGATTGGCATGACCCCAGAAAGAGAAAATTAATCCAATGGCCTTCATCAAAATCAGAAGCATCAAAAGAGCAGCACAGACCAGGACTCTGTGAAAAAACTCATATCCAGAACATATAAAGAACTCTCGGTGCTGAGAGAGTGGCACAAGCAGCAGAGTGCCTGCCTAGCAAGTGCACAGCCCTGAGTTCAACTCCTACAAAAACAAAACAAACAAAAAACTCTCAACACTCAAAAGCAAGAAATAAAAACTCTAATTCAAAAATGGGCAAAGGACTTTGTCAGATACTTCACCAAAAAAGACACACAGATGGCAGAAAAGAAGGCCAGGAAAAGGCACAATGCAAGCACAATGAAGCGCCACATCACACCTGTCAGCTCAGACAGGAAGCAGAGACCATGCCCATGAGTACATCAGGTCACAGAAACCCTGGGCTTTACTGGAAGGTGAGCAACTTGGTGCAGTCAAGCCCCAACATGCTCACCACTGGATGGTTTTAACTAAAACCTTTAAAGCCCTGCAAATGCAGCAGGAGTACTCAAAACAGTAGAACTGCAAACAACTCACATGTCTATCAGTGATCCATGAGTCGACAAAACACTACTCACAATAAAGGGAACTGGTTCTCAGTCCATCAATAGCCTGGATGAGCATCAGATACATGTGAGTGATTTGAAGAGGTCCAATCAGAGGGCCTGTACACACTCTGGTTCCTTGACATGAGGTTTAGGAAGGACCCAGGCCTCTGGTCGCAGGGAGAAGCATGGGGCTAGGCTCATTCAAAGGCCAGTCTCATTCTACATTCTAATGGCAGTGGCCACACAGGTTATGAGAACCTACACAACATCACACCAACTAAGGACAAACTTTACTATATGTAAATTTTAAGAAAAAACTTTTAAGTTTCCATCATAAAAATATAAAGCAAATCACAAACAAAAACAAACTTTAGCATAAAAGAAAAAAAGGCTATCAAACTCTACCATTAGGAAAACCATAAATCATTTTAATTAAGAGCCAAATAAAACTCCCATGTAATCAGATTATCACATTCTTAGTCAAATTTTTCTTTTATGAAAACTCTAGACAAACTCTATGCACTGGCCAGTGTGTGTCAGGCATGGTGGATGTGTTTGGGGAGCCCAGGAGTTTGAAACCAGCCTGGGCAACATAGTGAGGTACGTACACTAAGGGTGCAGCCCTTCTGTACATGGTGCTTCAGGGTCTTCTCAAGCCTGGACACTGCCTTGGACAGTTCTGCTTTCTCCTGGGTGACTGTGCTGATGGCTTTTGTAAGAGAATCGTTGTCTTTCAGCAACACATCCACAAGCTGGATTTGTAGCTCTGCTGCCATTTTTTTCTTGAAAAGGGGAAAACAAACACATTTAGAAGAATTTTGAGTTTTATTGTCACTGGTTATTTTTAAGGATTACAATTTTAAATATGGTAAAAGTTCAAGAGGGAGCTGTGGGGCTGGGTGCAGTCATCTATCTAGGGAACAGGGAATAGTGAAAGTCATCAAATCACATTTCTTTTCAATCCTCTACAAGAGACTGCACAAAACTGAACTGCACACAGTCCATCCAGCATGTAGGATTACATGCCTACTACAAAATGTAACCCTTTTAGTTATTCTAAGTAAATCAAGGCAGCACATAAAAGGAAGTATGCAAACTTGCTGCTCACTTTGAGGGATTAGATGTCCCTTAAAAAGGCCTATGATCTCCATAATTGGAAACTTCAACCCCCAAGGGGCAGCAATGAAGAGCTCGCCAGTGCCTGACACAGAGGAGAGGGAGAGGACAAATTATGCCACCCCATGGAATTCAGTGAGCAGGGTCAAAGGACGAGTAGATTGACAGTGAGTAGTGTACCTTTCCTTCCTCTGGACACTACACTGTGCCTCCAAAAAATGTCACAGGACATTTGTTGGCCCCTTACAGTAAGCTCAGAACTTCCCAGGAGGGCTCAGGCTTTATTTCTAGCTGCAGCTCTCAGCAGAAGCAGACAGTGAGCAGGCATGGTACTTCTTGGCAGCTGTCCTCCACAGAACACAACCACTACCCTTCCTCCAAACCAGCAGCCCCTGGGGCCAGCCTAGGAAATGCCATGAGCATCATGTGCAGAACAGGTCCAGAACAGGCACACAGCATTTGTGGGCAGAGCAGATGAAGCCCAAAGATGGCATAATGTATCCCAGGATGTGAAAGGCATATAGCCCTGGCAAGGTCACACACAGCAGGTGACAGCTCGCTCACACAGATGGTAAACTCAGACGGCAAGTAAGGAGAAACCACTGATCAACAATTAAGCAGAAACACAAAGCTGCAACACCATGTCCACCAGAGACAGCATGGAAAAGCCGGCCATACCTTGGAGGAGGCGGGCGTGCTCAGCTCAGACTTCAGTTCCTCCAGAGTGTGTACTAAGGATGACACTGCCTTCTCATTGGACGATGTCCAATTGTTAACTGTCCTGTGGAAACAAACGGTGTTTAAAAGGTGCACCATCCTAAGCTATTTAGTAATGCTCTCCCAAAGAGACAGGGAGTATCTGCACAGCATCCCCACAGAGATCGCATGAACCTGCCCTGCACTCCAAGGTGGTCACGTGGGCTATTCCTGGCACACTGGTGGGTCACTTCATCCCGCATCTCTATCCATAAAGTGGGGCAAGGAAGACCTCTTCTGACTACAGCAGTACAGCAGACTAGCCCACGGAGGGGCAGCAGGGCCTGCAGGTAGACACATCTGCAAGGCTCAGAAACCACCCAAGCTGGTGGTGACACCACATCATCACACCATTGCTTCCTGCTGGGATTTGGTGTCAACTATTGAAAGTGCTCCACCAAATGAAACTGCTGGAAATTAAACGGCTCCATAAGTTAAATGCAAGTATGGATAGGAGAACTTGACTAGCTAAATGTTTATGCAGAGGAAAAAGGCAAAACTAATTTTTCTGTTCACATAAAACATCAAGGCACAACTCCAGCAAGAGTAAGTCTGCAGAGTGGTGGCCCCAGAGGCCTAAGGGAGATGCAGACACAGCACCCCAACCTCAGTGGACAGAGGTAGGGTGGGGGGTGCATCTGGGCCCAGACCCTCCACACCTGGATGCATTTGAAAACCCACAGTCAAATGCACGGTATTGTGGATGACAACACTTTTCTCTAATGTAGAAAACATGGTTTTGTGAGTATCTTTCAGGAGGGCTCTGACTATTAATTCATCTAAACTCATGGGAAGTGATGTAGAGTGTTAGTCCATTGAAACAGTCCTAAAATCAGAAAAGCCCCAAACTCCAGAATTTTCTTAGTATAAGCAGGTCTGTTCCCAGGGCATGTGTGTGGTAGGGGGAGGACAGGATGTGCCCACACCTGTCCACGGTGTGGTTGACGAAGCTGGTCAGGAGCCCAGCCACACAGAGCAGCTGCTGCCGTATCTTCTCCAGCTCCTGCTGCTGTTCCCGGAAATGGTTCAACTCTAGGGAGCCGGGCCGGGGGGAGCCCAGGCAGGGGCCATCACCCCAAGGTACCTCCTCTTTCCATCGCAGCTCTCTCACTGTCTGCTGAAGCTGTTCAATCTTATGCTCATCACGCTGGTGCTGCAATTCTAATTCTCGCTGTCAGCAATGGCAAAAACAACACAGACAAGACCTTCATGGAGTGTTCCAAAACAACCGTCAGGCCAAAGGCTAGCAATGCAGCAGTGTACAGGGGAGGCCCCTGGTGGACCACACACAGTATGCTTGGGCAGGAAAACGTACTGATCATAGGCCCTCCACTCAGTCAGAGTGGCTACACTCACATCTCATCTTTACTCCTGAGGATCACCAGGCTCCAGCAGGTTCTACAGAGTCAGCAGGAGCCTTTGATGCTGACACAGGCAAGATGCAGCTTCACACCTGTACACAGCCACATGCACATGCATAACTTGCCCAAGCACACACAGACCCAAGCCCATGCATGTGATCACATGGGCACGCACACACACGTGAATGGGCACTGAGCCACTGGCATCACCATGGCCTCTCAGCCTGGCCTCACTGACCACCAACCTTCCTTGTGAAAAGGAGGTGAATTAATCTGCTCAGTGCTACCACATTGTGGAGGCACCAGGTCCTCTGCTGGGTGCCAGGACAAAGGCAACTACAGTGCTCAAGCTCCCTGTACCAGGCCTGACCCTCCATCAGACAGGGAGGTGGAATCTCTAGCCATAAAGGAAATGCAAATTAAAACCACACTAAGATTCCACCTCACCCCTGTTAGAATAGCCATCGTTAGTAACACCACTAACAACAGGTGTTGGCGAGGATGTGGGGAAAAGGAACCCTCTTACACTGCTGGTGGGAATGCAAACTAGTACAACTACTCTGGAAAAAATTTGGAGGCTACTTAAAAAGCTAAACATTGATCTACCATTTGATCCAGCAATCCCACTCCTGGGGATATACCCAAAAGACTGTGACACAGGTTACTCCAGAGGCACCTGCACACCCATGTTTATTGCAGCACTATTCACAATAGCCAAGTTATGGAAACAGCCAAGATGCCCCACTACTGACGAATGGATCAAGAAAATGTGGTATCTATACACAATGGAATTTTATGCAGCCATGAAGAAGAACGAAATGTTATCATTCACAGGTAAATGGATGGAACTGGAGAACATCATTCTGAGTGAGGTTAGCCTGGCCCAAAAGACCAAAAATCATATGTTCTCCCTCATATGTGGACATTAGATCAAAGGCAAACACAACAAGGGGATTGGACTTTGAGCACATGATAAAAGCGAGAGCACACAAGGGAGGGGTGAGGATAGGTAAGACACCTAAAAAACTAGCTAGCATTTGTTGCCCTTAACGCAGAGAAACTAAAGCAGATACCTTAAAGCAACTGAGGCCAATAGGAGAGGGGGACCAGGAACTAGAGAAAAGGTTAGATCAAAAAGAATTAACCTAGAAGGTAACACACACGCACAGGAAATCAATGTGAGTCAACTCCCTGTATAGCTATCCTTATCTCAACCAGCAAAAACCCTTGTTCCTTCCTATTATTGCTTATACTCTCTCTTCAACAAAATTAGAGATAAGGGCAAAATAGTTTCTGCTGGGTATCGAGGGGGTGTGGGGGAGAGGGAGGGAGCAGAGGGTAAGGGAAGGGGGGGGGTAAGGGGGGAGAAATGACCCAAACATTGTATGCACACATGAATAAAAGAGAAAAATTTAAAAAAAAAATTAAATGATTTAAAAGCAAAAAAAAAAAAGACAGGGAGGTGGAGTCAATCACCATGCAGAGGGGTGATGGAACTGAGGCATGGCAGGGAGGAATGAGGCAGCCTTGGGAAGGGCACCAGAGACTTCCAGCAGCACTAGAGGAGCCTCTGCGTGAGGAAATGAAGATGGGACTGTGAGAACCGGAGACAGGCATAGACAAGCTTGCCATGCTGGAAGGAAAACCCAGGGCTGGACCTGATTCCCTACCAGGAGGCTTCAGGGAAGTTTCCCCAGCTAAACATTAATACAATTCTCAGGAGACCAGGAGTATAGTGCACAAACCTCACTTTCTTGGCATTACCTCAGTACTTGAGCCCCATCTTTCAGGTGGTGAGGAAAGTTAAGTATATAATGTTTAGAAAAGACAACTCTGGGCTGGGAGTGGTGGCTCATACCTGTAACACCAGTTACTCAGGAGGTAGAGATCAGGAGGATTGTGGTTTGAGGAAAGCCTGGGCAAAAGGTTAGTGAGACCCCATCTCAATCAATCAACCAGGAGAGGTGGCTCACCCATGTAATCCTAGCCAGTCAGGAGGTGGAGATCAGGAGGATCACAATTTGAAGCCAGCCCAGGAAAAAAGTATTGGAGATAACATCTAAATAAGTAAGCCAAGCTTGGTGGCTCACACCTGTGACCCCAGCTACAAGGAAAATGTCAGGCAGGAGGACTACGGTCAGAAGCAGACCCTGAGCAAACAACGAGAGGTACTATTGGAAATGACAAGTACAAAGGGCGGCTCAAGTGGATAGAGCACCTGCCAAGCAAGCACCAGGTCTCAAGTTCAAAAAGATGACTCTGGTCCTGCGATGACAACCTTGGATCTCTAATAACCCTGGTTAAGAACAACTCTGGGGTCCAATCATACAGACACCTCAAATAAGAGAGCCTCAAGCCGGGCGCCAGTGGCTCACATCTGAAATACTAGCTACTTGGGAGGCTGAGATCAGGAGGTTCACAGTTCAAGGTCAGTTGGGCAAAAATAAGTTTGTGAGACCTTATCTCCAAAATAACCAGAGCAAAATGGACTTGAGGTCTTACCCAAGTGGTATAGCACCTGCTTTGCAAGACCAAAAGCCCTGAGTGCAAACTCCGGTCCCACCAAAAAAAAAAAAAAAAGGAAGAAGAACACTAAGGGATATTAAGCATGGTTACTGACTTCACTAGGGAATGACCTCTTTGTATTTACATTTAGCAATCAGGATACCATTCAGTTTTTTAAAAATTAAATAAAAGGGTTTGCAGAAAACTCTGGGTATGGCTGGGGGAGATCTCTAACAGAAAGACCCTCTGAGACCCACATTAGTTAGGGAACTTATCCCAGCAACAGGCAAACACAGTGACAAGAGACCACAGCTGCCAGCTGCACAGTGAGCAGCTGAGTCGGTTAAAACAGCAGAGCGACACCCTACTACCTAACCTCCTGACGCCCACACCTCCAAACCTTCCCCACTGTCCTCACCTTCAATCTTCCTCACTATCTACACCTGTTTCACTATCTGTACCTTCAAACATATCCCCCCCGCCGTGTTCTATGATCTTTGGTGAAAGATTTCAGAGATTTTGTTAAATGGCAAAAAAAACATTAATCACTACTGATACCTGATCTATGTGTCAGCATGAATTGTGAAGTGCCCTGCTCCATAGGAGAAGTCAGTCACAATCAGGCACACATTACCTGCTTTCATTTACACAAAATGTCCCAGACAGACAGATCCATGAAGACAGAGATCAGGGCAGCCAGGCTGTCATGGGAAGGAGAGCTGACTGCTTCACAAACGTGCAGTTCTTCTGGGGCATGAGAATTTCCTTAAATTGTCAAGACAGGTGTTTGGCTACACTCTAAAGCACTCAATCGCCCAATTTAGATTGAGAAACTCCATGTATGTGAACTGTCTCATAAAGTTGTTAAAAAATATATACCAAGCACATCCTTCACAGGAATTTAAGAAACTCACTACTGTAGCATTTTAGAAACATATTCCTTCTTAACTACTTCACCACAGGTTAATCTCTTGGAAAGATCAGGCACTGGGCTAAAAAGTTTTTATAACTTCACAAAATACAAAAACAAGCAGTGAAGACAACTTTTTAATTTAAAAAAGATCTTTAAACAGTGCAAAACAAATGTCAATCCAAAAGAAGACACTGGGGCTGGTGGAGAGGCTTAAGTGGCAGAGTATTTGCCTAGCAAAAGAGAACACTGGACGTTACATTAAGTGAAGGACTCTGGTTGAAAGCCAATGCATCTGAGAACTGAAAACTGACAGCCATTACAAAAACACAAACAAAACAGGAAAGAATGACTGGTGGAGTGGCTCAAGCAGTAAGAGCACTTGCCTAGCAAGCGTGAGGCCCTGAGTTTAAACCCCAGTGCTGCCAAAAAAAAAAAGTGACCAAAATAGGAAAGATCACTTCCGAGCTCATCCTCTGAGGCCATTGTTACTTTTTTTTTCCCCCAGAGGGACTGATGTTTGAACTCAGGACTTTGCACTTGCAAAGCAGGAGCTCTACCGCTTGAGCGTACCTCCAGTCCATTTTGCTGGTTATTTTGGAGATGGAGTCTCGCAAACTGTTTGCTCAAGCTGGCTTCAAATCACAGTCCTCCTGATCTCAGTCTCCCAAGTAGCTAGGGTTATAGGCATGAGCCACTGGAGCCTGGTACCATTGTTATTCTGATACTAAAAACCAAAGACATCACAAGAAAACCACAGACAATATCCCTCATGAACACAGATGCAAAAGTTCTCAGTAAGAAACTAGCAAACTGAGTGCAGCAGCCAATAAATAGAGCTATCAACCATGAGGCAGGATTCGCCCCAGGAATGAAAGGGTGGCTCATCCACCAAAACCCAATCAATGTAATACCTCATTTTAGAATTAAAGACAAAAACCATAGATTGGAACAGACCGTGAACAAACACATAACAAAATCTAACATCTTGTGTGATTTAGAAAAAATAAAAAAGAATAAAGAGAATTACCTCTGATAGGGGCACCTACAAAATCCCACAGCTAACACCCTACTCAACAGTGAAAGGCTGGGTGCTTCCCCAATGTGAGGAGCAAGCAAGGGTATCACAGCTCAGCACTTTGGCCAGCCTTGGTTGTCAGCTCCAGTCAATGCAGTCAGCAAGACATCATACTGTATATACTGGCATTACTGAGGTTTGAACTCAAGACCTCATGCTTGCAAGTTAGTACTCTTATCATGTAAGCCCCATCTCCAGTCCTTTTTCCTTTGGGGTATTTTTCAGGTAGGGTTTCACACTTTTTGCCTGGGTCAGCCTCAGACCATGATCCTCCTACCTATGCCTCCTGCATAGCTGGGATTGCAGTCATGTACCACCATACTTAGCCTATTTGTTGAGATGGGGGTCTCACAAACTTTTTGTCTGAACTGGCCATGAACTGCAATTCTCCCAATCCCTGCCTCCGGAACAGCTGGGACTACAGGCATGAGTCACCACGCCTGGCTTTCCATGATCTTATATATGGAAAAATCCTTTATAACATTTAAACATTCAGCAAGGCTGCAGGATCCAAGATCAATACACGAGAGTCAACTATATTGCTATCCATACATTAGCAATAAGCATCTGAAAACAATATAATAAAGTTCATCCAAACAAGTGTAAAGCTCATGTTCTGAAGGCCACGAAGCCTGTTGAAAGAGAATGAAGCCCTGAATAACTGAACATGTGTTCGTGGATCAGAAGACTCACTCTTGTTCAGATCTCAAAACTACCCAATGTGATTTACAAATTCAATGCAACCCCGTCAAAATTCCAATGGCCTTTTTGCAGAAATGAAAAAGGCAGTCTTCAAATTCACATGGAACTGCAGGGAGCCCTCATGGCCAAACAATCTTGACAAAAAATAAAAACAGTGTTGAAGGAATCACACTTCTGATCTCAAATCCTGCAGAGGTCCACAGTGTGGTGCCACTATGAGGACACCACAGACCTGAGGGAGCAGGAAGCAAGTCAGAAGTAAACTCACGCACATCATCCTAACCCTGCAATCACTTAGTATTTCTAAAGCTCGTGACCTGCCAGCAGAAGGCTCTCACCAGCTTCTCCTTGTCTCTCTGCATCTTCTTCCACTTCTCCGTCTTTGCGTGGTTTGGCCTTGTCTCCGTTCTCCTGCTTGTGTCCTTGTGTTCTTGCTCTTTCACTCTTGTGGGTAACTGCTCTAATTCTGCCTGTAACCAAGCTGGTTTCTCCCTCTCTCTCCCAAGACAGCATCTCAGCTCCTGTTTCTGGGTCTGCAGGGCATCCATGGCCAACCTCAGGGTGGCACCTACCTTCTTCTCTTTCCTGAGCTCTGCACAGCGCTCCTGCGCCTGGGCCTCCAGTTGCTGCTGTGCGTGTACGGCCTGCTGCTGCACCTTCTCAAGCACCACCTGCAGCTCCAGCGTGCGGGCCTTCTCTGCCTTCAGCTTCCGCAGCAAGGTGTGGTGTGCCTGTGTCTCCTGGCGGGCACAGGCCTCTTGCACACTGCGGCTCAGCTGCTCTGTCAGGAGCCGTTCGTGCTGTAAGGCCTCCGACAGCTCCATTGAGCGGCTCTTCTCAGCCTCCAGGTTCTTCTGCAGCTCAGAGAGCTGGCTCTGCTCCTGTGCCAGTAAGGCCTCACAGCGCGAGCACTCGATCTGCAGTTCCTTCTGCAGGTTGTCCTTCGCAGCACGCTCATGTTTCAATGCAACACATAGTTGATTATTTTGAGCACGATGCTTCTCCAAAGATATTTTTAACTCCTATGTTGTTTTGGAAAACAAAAACAAAAAGATGGTTAAAAAGTAAACAATCAAGAGGAAAAGTATCTAAATAGTTTTCCCGCTCAAAGTTCTGTTCGTATGCTTTAACCCAGCCATTACACCTTTGAAATTTGTCCTATGGGTAAAAGAATTTGTTATTTTACACCCTGATTTACGGATAGATGCTGCTTTGAAGTGGCATTGAATAAAGACACACGTGTCCTGATTCAGAGGTGCTTCTTTCCTCAGAAGGCCCCAAAACATGCTTGATTCTGCAACCACAGACTAGTGGCAGACTTGTGAGCTACAGGGCACATGCTGGATCTGTGTGGCACCCAGAAGTCATGTACCTACCACTTATCTGGCTTATGGACAGACATATAAGGCTACTATCCAGGACAGCCACAGGAAGGCTGCAACCACCCTCCAGAAACAAATGCTCAAAGACAGCAGAGGCCACTGATCAAGACCACATGCCACTGCTGGTCATCACAGCTGTCCTCCCTGCAGTAGATCTGTCACTGCAAGGTACCTAAAAAAACAGCAATATCTCATTGCCTCAAACTCCTGTTAACCAGGCACAACTGGGCTGCTACAAACAGGAGTAAGAAAGGAAGGCATGAATGAGGGCTGCTTCTGGTCCCAGCAGCACTGGCCAGGACAGCCTGGGCCCACTGCCAGTCACCTCCAGGGCCTTGGAGCTCTGGTCCTCCCACTGCAGATGCCGCCGCTGTTCTCCTCCTGCTGGGCCTGGAGGGCTCGCTCCTTCCCACGTTCACACTCCAGCTCCTCAAGCGCAGCCTTCAGGTCATTCTCCTTCCTGTCCAGCAGTGACCTGTGTGGGGAAAACAGGCGACACTGAGCCTCAAGTCAGGGAAGAGGCAGCCCTACCACTCCCTCTCCATCCATCATCCCAGACTTAAACAGAAAGGCTCCCGTAGGACCTGCCAGTCATGACAGACCAGCTCCACTGCAAAATTTCCTCTGGGTCAGCAGCACATAGCAGTTTAGGGCCATACCTCAACTGGAGGACTTCTTGCTGCACCTTGCCAAGGGACTCCAACAGCCTTGAGTTCTCCTGCTTACACTCATGCAGCTCTGATTTCAAGTCCTGCACAGCACTCTGTTCCACCACTAGGCGCTTCTGGGTGTCACTCACTTTCTCTTGCTCTTTGCTTAGGGTTTTCTGTAAGTCACTGGCTATATACTTTTCCTGCTCAAGTTTATACGCCAATAGTTCAACTGAGAAAGATTAAAACATAAGACAGCATTACCCTTGAGTCCAAAGTGCACCCTACCAATGAGGTTAAGTCACAGACGACATTGATTAGACGGAGGTGTGCTGTGTAAAGAACAGATGGCATTTCTGTGAACTGGAAGCCATCATTGCTGAGGGAGTCGGGCCATTTGGGACATTCTCCTTCTTCCTGAGCCCATTTCTTACTGGGCATCACTTTCCTGGTTAGGATGTATCCCTGAAACCTACCTTACAGTGCCATTCAACCCCACACTTACAGAGCACATGCTTCCAACAGAGATAACTCAAGGCCCACATGGCTTCACTGGAAAATTCTCCCAGAACCTAAGGATAAAATCGCCCCAGTTCCACACAATCTCCTCTGGAGACACAAAGGCAGGGATACTGCCCAGGCCCTAGGAGGCTACTGCTTCCCAACACTAGAACCAGAAAAGGGCCCCAAAGAAGGAAAACTGCAGACCAGACTCCTTGTGAATACAGGCACAAAACATTCCTGAGTGCAGCCCAGATTGTACATGCACAAGATTGTTTCACCTGACAGAATCCAAAAAGAAACAGAGGTACTTCCTCACATTTACCCCACATACAATAGTGAGCAGCAGAGGAAGGAAGGGTATCTAGGCAGGGTCTGACCAGCACAAAGGCCAGAAAGGAGACAGGTGGGAAAAGACAAAAATACCACTTACCCACAGATGATGTGTCTATTAAAAACTCCCCAAGAACCTGAATTAAACCTAGAAACTGACAACAGGCTCCTGGACTCCAGTGAGAGTACCCAAGTCCACACACGTGCACAAGCACACTGGTATATAGGGCCCTTTGGCCTCCATATCAGATGCTCAGGGGCCTGACGAGACACTAGTACCCTGCATCAGAGGATCTGGCAGCCAAACTTGACCAGAGCCCTACCCCAGACAGCGTTGGGGGAAGGTGTGGGGCCAGGGCGCACAAAGCAGCAGGAGTAGTGGCACCCACCCTGCCTACGCAACTGGTGTTCCCGCCGGCTCCCTCGGGCCTCTGCACTGGTCAGCGCTGCGCACAGCTGCTGCAACTTCTCCTGGTTCTGCAAGTGAGTCCTGCGCAGCTGGGCACGCAGGGCCTGGATCTCAGACAGTAGGCTACTCCTAGCCGGTAGGTGCAGATGTTCCTGGGCCTTCTCTTGAAGGTCTCCCTGGGGTGAAGAGAAGCAGACTCAACATGACATGCTGAATTGCAGGAGCCCAGGCTGGGAAGGTGGGTGCCATACACACCCCACCCTGCATAGCCCACCCTTTCAAGCCCAAGCTTCCAGTGTTGCTGGGACAAGCCTGCTGGCTGTGCAAGTGTGGAACTTCAGTACACAGTAATCTAGAGCCTTAGCTCCTGGGTACCTTCCACCACAGCTTTGGGTCTGGTGTGGGGTTACACCAGCACCTCACCTACAACTCTGATGTCGGAGGGCAGTAATGCAAATAGAATATCTAGTGACCTGTGCACAGTGAACTTGGCACCTAGGGAGGGTCCTGGGAATTGATCTGTTAATTATGTGCAGGCCAGAGAGATTCAAGGGAGAATTCATAGAGCTCATCAGAGCTCACAAATGAAAGCACAGCATCACAAGAGGTTTCCATCACATTCCAAGGATGAGAAAAACATGTGAACCAAAATCTACATAGGCAACATTCCCTCACCTTCCCCAGCACAGCCAGGTAAATCAGGGCCCAGGCTAGGGCTACTGCTCACCTGCTCTTGGATAACCTTCTCCAGTCTCTCCAACAGGGAGCAGTAAGGCCCCAGGTCTGAGTCACCCGGTCTGGACTGCAGCTTGGCATTCAGAGTCTCCCGCTCCTTCTCAAATACCTCCTGCACAGCCTGCAGAAGCTCCCCACTCCAGACAAGGCGTGTCTCAGAAGGGTCCTACAAAGAACAAGCAAGCACCTCAGTGCCAAGGTGGTGTGCAGCTCAGTGATGGAGACTTGCCCAGAAAGTGAAAGGAATCTGCCTCACCCCCTTACCATCATAAAAACAAATAAAAGCCTCAGAGTTCAAACCAATACATACACACTGCAAGTGTTATATGGGCTAAATGTGTCCCCAGATTCATATATTGAGCCCTAACCCCAAAGTACTGTCCTTGGAGATAGGGCCTCATTAAAGTTCAGTGAAGTCAGAGTGGGCCTGATCCCACAAGACTGTGGATTTATTTATAAGAACATTTAGAAGCTGGGCACTGGTGGCTCAAGTCTATAATCCTAGCTATTCAGGAGGCAGAGATCAGGAAGATCATGTTTTGAAGCCAGCTCCAGGCAAATAGTTCAAGAAGACACTATTTCAAAAAAAAAAAAAAAAAGCCACCACAAAAAAGGTCAGGTGTAGTGACTCAAGTGGTAGAGTGCCTGCCTAAGCATGAGGCCCTGAGTTCAAACCCCAGTGAAGCCAAAAAAAAAAAATTTAGACACCTCTCACTGCTACATGAGACCAAGAGAGGATGAGGCTATCTGAGAATTGGGAATCAGCCATCACCAAAGCTGAACCATACTGAGGCTCTAAACTGACTCCATCTGTGGTGCTTTGTTATGGCAGCTGAGCAGACAGAGAGTAGAAGAAGCCACTCTGGCTAAAGGAGGCATGCATGTGCCCAGCATCACTTAGGGTGAGGCCAAAACCGCCACCATGAGAGAGATAACCATGGAAGAAGCTAGTGAGATATGTGCAAGCTTCTTTCCTTCTCTTCCTACTGCCATACCTATGGAACTCTGGTCTTGAGAGACCCATGGCTGTATGTGTGTGGCTGCCCAGTTGGACACTTAGCAGTCTCTAGAGGCCCATGGCCAGGAGCATGCATGTGGCCACTCAAGGACACAGTGGCATAGCCACAGTATGAGCAGGTCCTCAGCACCTGCATGCAGTACTATCTTCAGTGGATGGGCTGTTGATTTGTACACCACCAGAGAGAGCCAAGGGGTAAGTAATGGGGCAGGTGGCGCATCCTGCAGGTGTCAGCCCATGTGTCACATGTTCCAGCCATAGGGACATACCCCTTCCCTCCCACATGGCACTTTCATCCCAGCAGGAAAAAGCAGATATGAGGTGTGGAGAGATGGGATGGAGTAAGGAGAAGGGTAACATGGGGCCCAGCCCAAAGCCCACCAGAGTCTTCACACCCACTCCATAGGCTCCAGCAGTCCCTGGAGATGAGGAAGGCCAGGGTCAAGGAAGCCTGGTATGAAGGAAGAGGGACCATGGTGTTGGTGTCCCAAGGTGAAGGCTGAGTTGGCACCCACAAGGCCTCCTATTAACCTGGTCCCTCTGGGCTCATGGCAAGTGTCTCAAGAGCCCTGACTGCCTCCCATGGCCCCCCCAGCACCTCCAGAACACATGGTCTGGGAGCTGTTCTCCGTCCCTTTTGTTGCACTGTATGAACCCTGTCCCTGTGCACAGGACCCTTTGATGCAGCCATCACTGGAAACACCTGATTTCCTTTGAAAAAAGAGGTTTGTGAGGTACAAATGAAACTGTTTTCTCAGACTGGGGTGTATCTCAGTGGTGTAGGTTTGTCTATCATGCCCAAGGCCCAGGGTAACCATACCTAGCACCAAAAAAAAAAAAAAAAAAAAAAAAAGTAGTATTTTCTCACTTACGGGAGTAGGGAGAGGGTTGTTGTTGAGACAGGGTCTTGCTGTGTAGCCCAGGCTGGCCTCAAACTCACTATGTAGCTCAGACTGGCCTCAAACTCAGTATCTCCTGCCTTGGCCTGCCAGCTGCTAGAATTATTGGCATTGCCACCACACCTAGCTTTTTCTCACTTACTGAACCAGCAGTTCCATACCTTCTCTTCTTTCTCAGGCACTGTCTCCAGTAGGCCTTGCCTCTCCCGCAGGCAGCCATCCAGTGGGGCACGTGGTTCACCCCTGCTCAGAGGACTGGGAAGGTCTTGGTTCTCTGACAAGGCCAATATCTGGTGGCTCTCTTCCAACACCATCTGCAGCAAAGCCTACAGTAGGGAAGAACAAGTCAGGAAAGGGGAAACAAGTGTGAAGCCACTGTCCATGTACTGTGCCATCAACACCCCAGGAGCAAGCACTGGAGGGATCATGGTCAAACGCTCTGTGTGCAGATGGATGGCCTCATACACAGCCTACCAGGCACCCACAGGCAGGTACCAAATCACCACCTCTGTCCTAACCACAAAGTCTTCAAACTTCCCCCCGAGCTTCCCAGACAACAAGGAAACCAGCCTGGATTTCCAAATAAGCAACTCCAAAGACACCCGCATAACTGACTCCGTTCCACTGCTCCCTCATAGGGACACTGTTCCTCCTCTACCTCTAGGCCAAGCATAAGGCAGGGCCTCAGGTCAGGAGCCGTGGTCAAGTCATAAAGACGTCTAGCATATCCCTGGCTCTCCTGGACACTAGGAGGAAGCCACACCAGGGTCACTCAAGGGCCTGTGGATGTGGCCCAGATGATAGCCAATACCAAGGGCCAACTGTGGGATGAAGGCGCCTGTACCACATGTGGGACACAGACAAAGCCACCCCCTTTCCACAGGTCTGTGAGTACAACCTGGTTTCCTCACACCACTGAGCCTGGAAAGCTCACTCCAGGCAAAGGGGCTATCTGTGCTGCTCACGGGGCTGACAGAAAAGATGGTGAGATGGCCCCCCCAGAGCCAGTGCAGGACCAACAGAGCTCAGAATCATCAAGACCAGTAACACGAAAGCTACAAAGTCTCATGCTTGGGACACTTTCAGCTTAAAAATACAAAGGGAGAGGGAACCACTGTAGTTAAAAATGGGGGAGTGCAGAATTAAGCAATAACAAGACCTATGATGGAATATAATCTAGATAACCAGTATTTTGATATAATACTAATCATATGACATCCCCCCAAAAAAGTAAAATATTCATAAAAATGCTGAAAACCAAGTGTCTTACAATTACACAATTTACAAGTTTTCCTTTAAAAACAATGTATTTAGGGGCCAGGGTATCATTCAGAGGCAGAACACATTGCCTAGCATGCATCAGGTCCCAGGTTTACTCTCTACCACTAAAGTAAAAAAAAAAAAAAAAAAAAAACCACAGTTCTACATAAAATGGGTGCAAATTGAAATCTCTGGGTAAGGGTGAGCCCCGTGGTGTGGTACTAGCAGGGCCCTGAGATGGCCTGGCCACTCGCCATCCATGCACAGCAGATGGGAAGAGTCAAGTCACTGCATTTACCCCATCTGAAAATGACTGGCCATTTTGTATTTGTTATCCACTTTTCTAGAGTTTATAATAAGGAAAAAGTGCATTTTAAAAACATCTCAAAATAGTTTCTGCCGGGTATTGAGGGGGTGGGGGTGGAGTGGGTGGTAAGGGAGGGGGTGGGGACACGGGGGAGAAATGACCCAAGCCTTGTATGCACATATGAATAATAAAACAATAAAAAAAATAAAATAAAAACATCTCAACAAAAATCGTACGTTCTCCCTCATATGCGGACATTAGATCAAGGGCAAACACAACAAGGGGATTAGACTTTGATCACATGATAAAGCGAGAGCACACAAGGGAGGGGTGAGGATAGGTAAGACACCTAAAAAATTAGCTAGCATTTGTTGCCCTCAATGCAGAGAAACTAATGCAGATACTTTAAAGCAACTGAGGCCAATAGGAGAAGGGGACCAGAAACTAGAGAAAAGGTTAGTTCGAGAAGAATTAACTTAGAAGATAACACACATGCATGGGAAATCAATGTGAGTCAAGTCCCTGTATAGCTATCCTTATCTCAACCAGCAAAAACCCTTAGTCCTTCCTATTATTGCTTATACTCTCTCTACAACAAAATTAGAGATAAGGGCAAAATAGTTTCTACTGGGTAGTGAGGGGGTAGGGGGAGGGGGTGGGGGAAGCGGGGTGAAATGACCCAAACATTGTATGCACATATGAACAAAATAAAAATTAAAAAAAAAAAATCTCAAGCTGAGGGCTGGCGGAGTGGCTCAAGTGGTAGAGTGCCTACCTAGCAAGTGTGAAGCTCTGAGTTCAAACCCCAGTACCACCAAAAAAAGTAAATAAATAAAAAAAAAACCCAGCTCAAACAGAAAACTTGTATTCCACAGCTTCACTGCCAGGTAACACATGTCTTTGCAGAGTTGGGTTCTCAGTAGAAAATCCACAGGGAGGTGGTCCTGGATCAGAGATGAGAGCCCTATAGCACACACACACTGGTAGCTCAACCCTCAGCACTAAGGCCTTTGGAGCCTGGGAATTCCAACCACAAGCTCAGTCACTACATCTAAGCAGGTTCTAGAGCCTCTGCTCCAGGAAGTAGAAGCTGATGTATACACCTCACTCTACAGATGTCCCTCCATTCCTGCCCAGGGGTCCTGTTTATTTCTGCTGACCTACAACTCCTGGGGTGGCCCCACTTTAGGTCACTTACCCATCCTCCACTCATGGGACCCTAGAGGTGACAAAGCTCAGGACCTCTGCTCAGGACCTCCCTTGTGCTTACCCAGCCTTCAACAGACTCCCAGTTTAGGGCTACTAGAGCAGAACTACAAAAGGGACCACACAGGTGGCCATATATGGGGACCACGTGTGCTCAGGAGATGCTCAGGCAACAAGTCCCTTCCCCTCTGCTTTGGGAACAGTGCCAGCTGGCAGGGGCAGCAGCACACCCCTGTTGTACTATGACCATCACCATACACATGGGGCCAGTGGGGCACAGTGCAAGAGTAAACTATATTCTGGAAAGACAATCTAAAAATTCTTTTTAAATAAAAGGAAGCTCTGAGTTTGAAAAGTCTAAGAAATCTACCAAGAGCATCTCTTGGGACTCTTGGTTCTATGTGGTCCTGGACCAGTGAGTGGTCTCACCACAGTCTTGAGATTGCTTCAGGTACCTTCCCCAAGAGGCTAAGGCAAGAGAACTGTGAGTTCAAAGTCAGTGAAACACAGTGAAACACTCACTGTCTGAAGAAAAACAAAAACAGAAAATCAATTACTCCAACTTCCATTCTTTAAATGAGTAAAAGAAAGTTTTATTCTGATATCATTTCCAAGGTTTTTTTGTTTTGTTTTGTTTTTGTTGTTGTTTTTGTTTTATCATTACTGTGGTTTAAACTTAGGGCTCCAACCTGCTAGGCACTTGCTACCACTTGAGCTACAGCTCTTTTTTACTTTATTTTTCAAATAAGGTCATGCATCTTTGCCTGGGACCAGCCTCAAACTGTAGCCCTCCCACCCATGCTTCCCATGTAGCTGGGATCACAGGCACATGCCACTATGTCTGACTTTATTGATAGAAATGAGGTCTTTTTACCTAGGCTGGCCTTGAATGGCAATCCTTCCAATCTTTGCCTCCCAAGGAGCTGGGATTACAGGTGTGAGCTACCAGGCCCAGCCATTTCAGAGATATTAATGACATCAAAATTGTTTTGTTTAGCAAGGCATGATGGTGCATGCCTTGATCCCAGCATTCCAGAGGCTCATGCAGGAGAATATGAAGTTCAAAACAAGATCCTATCTCAAAAAAAACTTTGTTTAGGGGTACTTTTATTATTTGAATAAGAACAATAGTGGCATGATACCATTCACTTATTTAGCCATGTTTATGTCAACATTTTGTCATAAATGACCTGCTCAATGGCACCTAGTTGCTTCTCCCTCTCCTCTAAAGAGAACACTGCTCTACCCCAAAGTTCCCATGAAGCCAAGGAGACAAAGACATGCCAGTTCTGAGACTCCTCAGACAGCAGCAACAAAGGATTCCAGGGCCCCTATCTGGATGGAAGATGCCATTGCGGGGCTAGCACAGGGCTGCAGAAATGGCCTTCGGGTACGGCTTACACCCACCTAAGGTGGCTCAGGATAAGCCTGGCCCAAAAAGCAGCCCAGGTGAGCCAATCATGAAAGGGGCAGCGTTTTCACTGGAGGAGGCAAATGCTCCGGTACAAGAGGCTGATAGGTCCCTTCTGCATTGCATACCTAACAAGTACATTGGTCTTCCTGCTGCAGAGGACAGATAGAATGCACAGGGTTGGTGGCCCTGTCAGTGACCAGGTGGGTTCCACCTCTCAGTGTGAACAATCAACCTAGGAAACGTCCTAGGCACTAGAGAGCAGGAGAGGCACCTCATTCCCATCTGAGCACCATCTTCAGAAGACACAGGTCTCTCAGACTCTGCTCTTCTCTCAGAAGCAGGTTTGGCAGCACCACTGGTGGGCCCTTCCATGCACCTGCACTCAACACCATGCTGTCACTCTCGCACTATTAAGGGCAGGTGACTGGGGGCCATGGCTCACATGCAGGCAGAGGGCAGCCTGGGCACAAGGACTGGACCTGATATCGGTCTCCGAAACCAACTAAAAACAAAACACAATCACTTCCTAACAGATGGTCCTAAATTTTATTATCTAAATTCAGGAAGAATCCATTTCCTGTGTCATTAGCACATGCGCACTTAAATGCTAGAGGAAGAGTTGGCCCCTACTATGACCACAGAGCCCCTCCAACAGCAGCTTCTCTGTCTACAAACACTCACCTGAAGCATAAAATCAGAACCACACTTGAGCCAGCAGAGCCCATCAGTGCAGGGCTCAAGCATGGCGATGTGGCCTGGCACAAACAGATGTGAAGTACCTGTGGAGTGACCACCCCTGGGTGACTCTCCCAGTCACCCCTTACCTTCACATGCTTCGAGTGGATGTCCTTCTCCTTCATCACTCCTAGTGACCGTCGAAACCCTCCAGAGGTGGGAGCAACAAAAGCAGCCACAGAATCAGAGGTGGGAGCCTCAGGTCCTCCTAGACTCAGGGTCAGCATTGCACCAACACCTGGGCAGTCACCTGAGAGCACATAGGGTCAGGGGCTGAAGCCACAACACCAAGTTCCAGTGACAGCCATGGCTCCTCACACTGAAGAAAACATCCATGAGCACCAGGCAAAGGCATTTAAAATATCTTTTAAAACATAATTAAGATGAGGATAACACACATTAAAAGTAAGGAAAAGCTTATTTTGTATGTTCAACATTTAATGTTCATGACTTACACCTCAGGAGTATCCCAGCTTCTTACAAAGACGCAACTGTGCATCCCATAGACCACCAACCCCAAGCAAGTATTCAAGAGCAGCCAAATTGCACAAAGGGCATATGCACTTCACATCCAATGAGGGAAGTGAGAGATCAGTAGGCAGAGGGCACCAATTGCCAGGTGAGGCTGGGTGCAGCTACATGGGTAGGAATGTCTGATCTGGAAAAGGCGAACATGCCTCACTTGGGATAAAGTGGAGCTAGGGACAGCCCTGAACACAGTCTAGAACTTGGGGCACACCAGGCACCTCTGGTGCCTCAAAACCTCCCAGGAGTGCATAGACCCATCTTTAGGCCTACAACTTTCTGCAGCCCAGAACAGCCTTCAGGGACTGACAGGCCATAAGGCACAAGGGTGATGCCTAGGGGAAAAGCTGCCCCACAAGTACTCAGCCCCAGTATGCAGCTCCAGACTCAGGCAGAGGGTGAGGATGTCCAGAAACAAGGCCCTGCTGCAAGGAAATCCTCAGACACACAAAAGAAATGTTCCAACACAAAGCAGAAAGATCACGCAGGGAAGATGTAAGGTGCAGCAGACAGCAGAAAAATTACAATTAATGTCTTCAGGGAAACAAGGGGCACATCGTTCATGAAACAAGGAAATGAAGCTGCAAGAGAAAGGAGCAGCTGGGATTGTGGGACATGCTCAGAAACTCAAAGTGCAAGAGCAGAGATGTAAGTGCTCAACCCAAAAGTCAGGAAATTAAGTTCTAAAAAAAACAGAAACAAAATTCTCAGAAATGAAAACCAAAAAAAGTAGGAAGAGAGAAAAAGACAATTAAAAGATCCAGTCCTGGAATGCCAATACTTCATTCACAAGAATTACTGAGAGGAGAAAGCCCATAGTAAAAAAGAACAAAGGGATAACACAGAGGAAGTTCTCAGAGACACTCAACCCTGACCAAGCAGGTCCTGTATGTCACCCGGGGTGCAAACCTGAGGGATAAGGCAGCAAGACAGTCTGAAGGTCCAGGAGTCTGCACCAAGACAAAACAACCTGCAAACACCAGAGAGGCAGGAAAGTTCTCAAAAAAAAAAGTATCTGCCATAAGCCTTTTCTCCCGAAGCTTCATTAAAATAAAGACCACCAAGAAAGGACAAGGAGCCCAACGGATGTCCACAGCATGAGCTGTGTGGGATGGCTCAGACAGTGTTTACGCTCAGGAATCATGTGGATGGACTCTCATTGGTGCACACGATAGAACATGGAGCAAGGAAAAATGCAAGTGTAGGAGAGGACACACACCCTGCTCAGCTGAAGACAGGACATGCTTCCATAATGCTAATGCTCACCGAAATGAGACACAAGGCATACACAGGCCACTGTAGTATAACAAGAGAGTTGAAGCAAGGGGAGTACATGGCTACAGTGTCTAGATGCTATTTTTTTTTTTTGGAGGTGGGGCTGGGTTTTGAACTCAGGGCTTTGTGCTTGCAAAGCAAGCATTCTACCACTTGAGCCACAGCTCCAGTCCATTCTGCCCCACTGGAGATGGGGTCTACGAAATATTTGCCTGGGCTGGCCTTGAACCACCATCCTCCCAATCTCAGCCTCCCAAGTACCTAGGATTACAGGCATAAGCCACCGGCACCCAACTAGATGCTATTTTAAATAAGCAGATATGATACTCAGGGAACAACGATCCCAAGCTGAGTTGAGGATTGGGAGATGCTGCACATGGAGTGCTAAACACAAGTCACTCAACTGCTCAAGCCTCATGCCCACAACTTAGAATGAATGAAAAACAACTGCCACCTCTGCTTTTCTCCAATGTCAGTGTCTTAAAACCCAGACAGGGACAGAAGGAGCATCCCTGTGTCGACATGAGTGAGGTGGAGTGACGTCTCTGTGAAGGACACCTTGGGATAATAGGCACATCCAAGTAAGGTCTGAAGATGAGATACTGGCCTCAGATGGAGATGAACTCCTGGCACAGAGCATTATGCTAGACCTGAACTCCATGAAACACAGAGTGACATACTGAGAACCAAATGGCAGCAGGTCTGTGACTTTCACTCCAGAGCACAGGTGTAGGACACCATGCATGTGGCCAATGGGACATGATGGGGAGGAGTTCCTTATACTATCCTATACTCTAAAACCGCCAAAAGAAAAACAGAAATGACTGACTCACTTTTTTCATTTCCATTGCTTCTTCCTTCTAACCCAAGAGGAGGGGATCTTAATGGCTCTTGAGAATCAAAGGTTGTTATGATAAAGTCTTCGATGTCCTTCTCCTGTTAACAGACAGACTTTTAGATGATCATAAAATAGCAACATATATATCACAGAGCTGAACTTGCCAGATGGAAACCTTCTAAGCCAGAGCCTTAGAGCCCAGATCAAAGCTCTCAGAACTTGTGAGCACTCTGAGTCTATGTGCTTCCAAAAATTTAGATTCACCACAGCACTTCAGGAATATTTTTAAAGTAGCCACTATCAAGTATCACAGATTCTTAAAATTTCTGCATAAAATGAAAGTATGTGGATAGTTCAGATAACACGTATCCCCTAAATTACTTTTTATTTTATCTTACTCAAGATATATAAAATTCCAAAATTAATGTTACTAATAAATAACTGGCATGCTCTTAAAATAAATCAGCATCATATAAGCAACTTGTGCTGTATGCAATATTACTGAAAAAGGAGCCCTTGTGCACATTACACGGGAAGATGGGTTCATGACTGCACTGCTCTTAAGAACTACATCAGAGTGAGTTTCTGAGGAGGCTGCTACTCCTCACATTTCAAAAATGACTGAAGGGATCTAAGTGTCCCATGCCAGTCAGCTATTTCACTGACTGACCCCACTACAAAGCCAGTCTCTCCAGGAATTACAAGGCACCTGGCTGTCAGCTGAGCCAACAATGGTGGTGCTGTGACTTATCCCCACGGGAACACTGGCCAACCCTTAAAACACTGCACAGGAGTGCAGGGAGGCACCTACCAGGGCTGTCCTGTCCACATGGTGCTGCCCAGCAGATGGAGCCACCACCCACTGTGGGGCCGGTCCTGCTGCTGACCTGCCTGGGTAACAAAGCAGCCCAGACGCATCGGCCCATAGCAGGGAGTCTGTCCGGTCCTGCGGGGAGGTGTCAGCACTTTGCAGGCTCACAGCATCTGAGCAAGGTGTCACAGGGAGACTGGGCTGACGCTCAGGAGTCAAGTCTTTTCGGAAGACCTCGGGGGGCTCCAAGAAGACAGGTCCAGTGCCCTCACACCATCCTTCTGGGGCTCAGCCTCTTCAATGTGGAAGGAGCTGCTATGCACACTAGTTTGTAAGGAAAGAGGCTTATCCTTCAACACTAACTTTTCTTGAGTTAGAAAATCTGGCATTTCATTTTCCATCAACTCTTGGTTTTTAGTAATACCACTTAGATCCCATGTGGCTTTGTCGATATTAAACATGTCAACAGGAGGTGAGGCATCTGTTTCTTTGCCATTGTGGGAATCATCACTGGAACCATTTTCTGCTGGGCATGGCGATGCTGAGTGCTGCTGGAACTTAAGGTGTTCCATGTGGATGTCCTGGAAGGCCATAGAATATACCAGACAGTTCAGTTTTTCCTGAAGTTGTTTCACCTGAGCTATGAGGTCAACACTCCTCAGCTGACAATCTTCTAGTTGCTTTTCCTTACCCTACAGGAGAAAGTACAGATACAAAGTGAAGCAGCTGGACTACAGGATTGCAGGTCATCCTACCACTATCTGTCTGGTGTCTATGAGAGTTGAGTGCAGAGAAGGAACACCGATGGCTGAGGGCCACAATGAGAGCCCTGTAGTCCCTCCAGACACTGAAGATTCCAAGTTAGTTTAATTTCATGAAAAACAGAATCAGGCAGAAAACTCTGCCTACAAGACAATTGTCACAACCTATTTCTGTAGTAATTTACTGAAGATACAAGCTTTTTTGATGTGAAGGAAAAAAGGAGTAGTAGAAGGTTTTATATGTAAACACTGAAGAACAAAGTGTTGTAGTTCTTGTAAAACAAAGTGTTATAGTTCTTGTAACAAACGTGTAGTTTCCTCATTAGTGTACACTGAGAACGTGATGCCTGCTTAGGGCTGGCCCTCAAGTTCACATTGACGGGGGGTTTGCGCACAGAGCTATGAGAGGCCTCTGCTCAGTCTCCTGAGAGTGCTTGATGGGTACTCAAGACAGACTCACACATCTTCTCTCACAAGTCTAGCGCAGGCCCAGAAATGCTCTTAGCACAGGTACTGAGGATTGGGAATTCATAATCTCTCAGGCCTCTCAGATAAATGAGGTGTACACAGCATGCACAAGAGTGAGCTGGGAGGTCCAGGCCTCCACCTTCTCTAAGGACCCAGCACAACATTCACACCAGAGGGTCCACAAAGGGCTTCAGCACCATATACACCACATTTGGGAAAACAAAACAACCAATCAACCACTTTAAGTTTTAAGAGTCAGAATGTGGTGAAGGAGTTTGTTATGGAAGCAGCACTGAGGAAGAGATGGCCATGGGGCATTTAGACTGACCAGGAGAAACCTATACTAACAGAGGCATTAACATGTGAAACACACGATACACTCCCTGGCAGCCACATCCAAGAAGGGGGTCACTGGGTGCACAAGGCCTGGGAAACACTGCCATCTGCCTTCTTGTTATATCTCCACCCTACAATAATCTGAGGTTGCTAAAGTGCAGCCTTCTTCTCCAGCGAAAAGAAGTCAACCTTTCCTGAGTTAAAAATATGGAGGGGGATGGGGTGAGTGAACCCTGAGACTCAAAAAATAAATCTGAAGCCTTTCAAAATCAGACTGACTCTGATGGAAACAACAGTTCTAAGCCAGTGTAAAGCCATAGATGCTATTTGGTCCTCCCATGAAAAATACCCAGCTACTCAGACCACAGGAAATGTGTGTGTCCCTAAATAAAGCTTGCAGGAAACCTTAGAATGGACAAGGAGCAGAGCAGACAACTCAAAACCTGCCACTGTGTGCAGCCCACAGGCCATTCCCACCTCAGCACAGTGAGGCTGGGCCTGGGGCACACACACACCGAGCCCTGCCCACCTTATCCCCTCCATGCACATCCACACCCTAACCACAGCCCGCATACCTGCACCGCTTCTGCCACCTTGTCACTATCCATGTTCAAGCACATTTCATTTTTCACCAAGAGCAGCTCTGCCTCTAGCTGTCTCTGGCACACTGTGAGCACCGACATCATGCTTTCTGCTTTGTGCAGACCGGAGTCCTTCAGCGTCACCAGTACTTTGGCAGGCTGCAGATTGTCCTTGACCAGAGGAAATGGTAAGGATGCTTATGAAGTCAGAGGTGGATTAGAGGCTCAGCTGCCCTCAGACCACCAGAGCACTGAAGTCACACACATCAGAAGGAAGATGTGCCCATCTCTGCTAACTGCCTACTGCCAGTAAGCAGCATGCACACCAGACTAAGGACTCTGATAAGAGGACTCCTTGCAGCAAGACAACTGCAGGGCAGGGCACAGGGGCATCTGGGAATGGGAGCTGGTGGGGACAGTGGGCAGCTAATCCTAAAGCTCTACTCAAGGAAAACTGGAATATTTTTAAGAGACAATTCACAGAGGCCCCTCTGTTGCAAAATGAAATGAGCTTAAAACAGCTTTCATGGGAAATACTTGTTAAAAGATAAAACACTTCATTAGAACCAGATAGAGAAATTAATGCCAAGTGACCTGTGTGTCACCATACAGTCCCCATAGTATTAAAGGAAGAACTGCTTTCAAAGTGTAACTGACTGAAGTGATAAGTTTAAAGCTGTACAAGATAGTGAGACCCAGCATGATTTGTTGGGGGAGCCCAGATAGGCCCCAGGCAAGCCCAAATTCCAAGCTCCTTTCTCTGCCCTGCCAGGGGACACCAATGATGGCAGTATCCCTACTGTCCAGCACAGAAAGAAGTCACTGAAGTTAAAAGACATACACAGGAGGAAAGTAAAAACAATTCAGCATCCCACCTCCCTGCCCATCCCCAGCTGGCTTCCCACATCCCAGATACCCAGGGGCACTAGCCAGCTTCCCATAGCCCTCAGGAAAAGAGGCCTACCCATTGGCCACAGCCATGGGGGGCTGAGGTCGGCCGCCTGCTACTGCTGCCCTGTTCCAGTTGACCATAATGCTCAGCCTGTCTGTCTGCATGAGGGTGCGGGCGGTGTGCCACCCCATGGGCCTGCTGCTGGTCCAGCTCCATCTGGCACCTCAGGAACCGCTGGTGAAGCACCTGCAGCTGGTGGTTAAGGCGGGCACACTGCACTCGCAGCTGCTGCAGCTCGGGAGGCTCACCCGGGGCACCCAGAGGCTGCTGTTCCAGGGTGTAACAGAAGCGTGCCAAGGCCAACAGGATAGCCTCCAGCTCGATGGTGTGAGCCTCTTTCTGCTTGTTCATAGCATCAATCTCCAAATCTCTCTGGACAATGACTGCTTCCTTTGCCTTCAGGACAGCTTCAAACTCCTGGATCCGGGAGGCCATGCCCCCCACCTCAGCCTCCCTGAGGGCCACACTGTGTTCTAGTTTTACTAGCTGCTGCGAGGCAGCCTCCTCTGCAGTTTGTAGGCGCTGCTGCAGTGCCTCTAGGGCCTGGCTATGTCCTTGGGCCTGTTCGGCTAGCAGCTGGCCCAAGGTCTCCTTGGCCGCAAGCGCAGCTTCTAGCTCAGTCCGCAGTGCTTGACCACTTGGGCCCTCGCCCTGGAAGCAGAGTAGCTCGCTGTGGAGACTGTCAGCCTGACAGTCACTGAGCTCATGCACCATGGGCCCCATGTGGGTCAGTTCACTCTGCAGCTTTTCAATGACTTCATGGAGCTGTTCAATTTCTTCTGCTTTATCCTTCTGTAATCGTTCTTGGTTCTCTTGTAAATTTTCAATGATACCTTTCAGCTCTTCAACCTCAGAACTTCTGCTGTACATAACCTGAAGAGAAAGCATGTGTCAGAGGCCAATCACAAATGGACCAGCCTCAGAGCCTCCCAGCACAATGAAGTAGAAAGGTCTGACAGCCTGAAAAACAAAACTAACACCATTACCAGATGACCTGCGGTATGTGGAAACACAAATGCTCTACTCCAGTTGCTTAGTGCACAGAGATGGGATGCAGGCACCGCTCACCATCTTTCCAGCACTTCAACTCTAAACATCTAGACTTAGGAGGAAACTCTTCACTTGGCCCCTTTTTGGTTAAGGATGGCTACCACCTTTTAACTGTTTATTTTGTGAATATTTAAATGACTTGATTTGTCTGACTTTCCTGAAAGAGCCTTTAGAATAAAAGTGAGGAAACTGGCTAGAGGATCTGCATCAGTGAATAAATGCTGCCTTCTATCCACATGACTGCATACACTCAGTCATGGCTCCAATGTCACTGTCTTGGAAACCATAAGCACTAGGCTTCACCAGGCATGGAAAAACATATTCAACTTGTGGTGTTTATATAGTCTTGGACAAGGTAAGTAAAAGTTGCAACTTAGATATTAAATATCTTTCCAAACCTATAAAAAGAATAAGTGAAAAATCAGCATTGAAATGGATGCCAATGTGGCTCCAAACTCCAGTCTCTTAAGATAACATCACTGGTAGTGATAGAAAAATAGAAAAATTGTGTTCTAGCTAACTACTTTCAAACAATGTGTTATAGTCTAATGCTTTGTTTCAAAACATTGAGGGCTTCATAACACCTGATTTGATAGACCTACTTCATAATTACTTCAGATCCAAAAATAAACCTGGCCCATAATAAAAACAACAAACTGGCATACACCATGTATGTATTTATTATGTGTGAATACAATGTTATACATGTAAGAAAAGTAAAGTCCTAGATGCAGCCAGGCACTGGTGGCTCACACCTGTAATCCTAGCTACTCAGGAGGCAGAGATCGGGAGGATCAAGGTTCGAAGCCAGCCCAGGCAAGTAGTTCCCAAGACACTATTTCAAAAAAACCCTTCACAGAAAAGGTCTAGTGGAGTGGCTCAAGGTGTAGGCCCTGAGTTCAAACCCCCAGTACTGAAAAAAACCAAAAACCTACATGTAAGGAAAGACCCTCCTGTGCATATTCAGCTATTTTGCTCACCCCTCCCATGTGTGTACACACCAGACCTCTGCACTGTGCTGCATAAGGGGTCTTTAAGGGTGGTTCTGACTATGTGCGATGTTTGCTTACTTACCAAATGTACTCGCTAAACTAGGGTAAAGGGTGTGCACCATAAAGTCATAAGCAATAAATATGACATTCAAATACTAGAACTATCACACAAAGGTGTCTGTAAAACACTAAAATCTAAAATCAGTCCTCTGAGAGTGTGCAAGTGGAGTGGAGCAGAGCAAAGAAGAGAAGAAACAAGTGAGGGTGCCAAAGAAAAAGGAACTTGAGGCTGTGGAGCAAAGAAAAAGGTAGATCCCATAATGAGAAAACACACATTGGGGTCTCCCTGGACATGATGTGGCTACTCCCTGTTTTCTCTGTTCATAGGAGTCCCCCTCATAACCCCCAAATACAGGACAGCACCTCGTTGAGGGATACCTGCCCTCTAGGCAGAGCTGCAAAGATGGCTCACTCCACCCAGGGAGGGGTTTGATCTATGGAGCACTGTACCCTTGTCAAGCACAGCTGTGGCTCTGTTTGTCCTGGAAGAGTCAGCACCAGCAGGGGGACTCTGGCACAAGAAGGTAGGACTAGCAAATAAGCTGGGAAAGGGAAAGTCAGATCAAGCCTGGAGCTCCACAGTGGAAGGGGATAGATGTTCCTCAGATTGGCCTTCATGAAACGTGACAGGTCATATCCCACCTGCCAGCAAGATCACAAGGTTATATCTGAAGACATAGCAGAGGCCACCAGATTGTGGAACTGTTCACCTTGAGGCTATACACTTGGGCAACACAGTCTGACCAGGCCCAGGAGAAGAAAGTAGGGCAGTCACACTACAGACAGCAAGAGAGCAAGGGAATTTCTAAGACAGAAAAACAGAGAAGGAAATTCCCAAGCTCCATTTGCCAACTCCATCCATGTTTCAGTGGATGCCAACAAACAGTGGAGGGACAGGATGCTATCTTTGCAGGCAAGACAAACCATGCACTACTCCACCATGCTGGCTAACACAAAAACAAAAGTCTTAGCACTCTTCAGAGTCCCCACAACACAACTTGCAGAATGTCCTATATGCCAATAAAACCACTCGAAATAATAATAAAAAGAAAGGTAGCTGGACACCAATGGCCCAAGCCTGTAATCCTACTTACTTGGGAGGCAGAGATCAGAAGGATTGAGGTTTGAGGCCAGCTCAGGCAAATAGTTAGCGAGACACTATCTCAAAAATACCCAACACAAAGAAGGGCTGATGGAGTGGCTCAAGTAGTAGAGTGCCTGCCTAGCAAGTCTGAGGCCCTTAGCTCAAACCCCAGTACCACAAAAAAAAAGAAAAAAAAATTGTAAATCAGGAACACAAACCAGCTCAGAAGAGAAAAAGACAACCAATGGAAACCAGTCCTGAGCTGACAAAGAGGCCTAAATAGCAAACAATGGTGTGGAAGCAGATGTGACCATTGTGCTCAAGAACATAAAGTATGCTCACAGTAAACAAAATAAACCCAAGGTAAGTAAAAGGAAGTCAATGATAAAAATAAGGTAAGAAATCAAGAAAAAGGAAAAACAGAAAACTAACAAATGCAAATGCTGGTTTGAAAACATCAATAAAATTGATATACTCTAGGCAGAAAGACTTCAAGAAAATACAAATTCCCCAGTATCAGGAATGAAACAAGGGTCATTAATGCAGAACTTGCAGATATTTACTAGTGAATAAAGAAATGGTTAATAAAATTAATAATAAAAGATTAGACTTCTTTATGCCAAGAAATTTGATAACTTTGATGAAATGTATAAATTCTTTGAAAAGTACAAGTTACCAAAATGAATACAAGATGAAACTAATTTAAATACCCCTATACCTATTAAAGAAACTGAATTATGAAAAATTTCCCCACTTAAACTCCAGATGGCTTCACTGCTTATTAAGACATTCAAAGAAGAAATGGAGGAAGTGGGAAAGTTTACAACTCAGTTCAAGACCAGCATAGTTTGCACAACAACTGAAATCTTACAGAAAATGAAAATTATGGACCAGCATCTCTCATAAACACATATGCAAAAGCCATTAAGAAAACATTACCAAATCAAATCCCATAATATATTCAATATATCATAAAGGTAGGGCATTACCACCTTGTAGGGTTTATCCTACATAAGGATATGTGACATAAGGTGGGTTAACCCTCAAAGAACTTGATGTAATTAACCCTATTGGTACAATAAAAGAGAAGAATCAGAAAAAGCAAACTAGAAATATATGGTACTTCCTCAATTTGATAAAAGACCCCCATGAAAACCTACAGCTCATGAGCTTCCTGGTGAAAAATCAAGCACTCCTACGATCCAGGCAAGGAATGCAGGACCACTCTCAATGGTGTCATCTATCTTTGCAGTGGAGATGCTGGACATTGGATAAGGAAGGAGAAAGAAAGGTTGGGAGGAAGCAAACCACCTTTATAAAGATGGTACAATTACATGGTCTTATACACAGAAGCCTGAGGAATCTACAACACAGTGATAAGGTAAAGAATTCCACAAAGGAGCAGGATACCAGGCCAATATGCAAATTTTTTACATAAGTGTATGTGTGTTCACCTTCTTGTTGCACAAGCAGAGCGGTCTCCCTCCCTTGACAGTTTCTAATCTGTGCCCTACTGGGATGGCTCCAGCCAGTAAGCAGAGATGAGCACTTAGAGGCACATGTGTGAGACAGGGCTGGTCTTGCTGAGACCATCACGCACTCCACCCACTCCAGGATCTGTGCACAGTGAAAAGAAAGTCTTAACTTTGCACTGGGGTTGTGTCACTGAGGCCAGGCCCCGCAGGCAGATGCTCTGTCTGGGCCACTAACACTGCTGAGAACAACAGCCACCAGGTAAGTAGAAGAAAAGTCTGAGTGTCACTGGAACTCTGTGTGTATGTGTGTGTGTAACAATAAGATGACGAATGTAAAAAAAAAAAAAAAAATCTCACAACAGTACCAAAAAAACTGAAATATTTAAGAACATATTTAACAAAAGAGGGACAACACCTCTTTATTGGAAACTATGGACAACTAAGGGAGAAAATGGTAAAGTTTTTAAAAATCAGCTATCCCAGTATTGGAATAGACAACACAGAAGGGACAATGCATGCTGAGAATTAGGTGGTGGGATGTGAAAAGGAAGCACAGAAACAATTACAAGAACCACCATGCCACAGAGACAGAGAACTGTCCTCCTAGAAACCCAAAGGAGCCGACACCAGAAGATGGCAATGTTCACTGATATGAAATGTGGTAGAGAACACACTGAATACAGTTTCCTTGGAAGACCAGAAACTAAGCCAGAGTCAGCCCTTTAAATGGAATTCTAGTTGCATTTATTATATAAAGCAAAACATAAATTACATCTACACCTTTACAAAAAAATTCTAAAAAGTAGAATTATAGAAAAAAGGAGACATTTAGATCTGCACATATCTAGAAATGAACAAAAATTGAAAAGAAAATGTCCGAGATTATCTCTATAAAGCTTTCCTTCCCCTGCACCCCTCCAATACTAGGGACTGATCTCACGGCCTCAATTACCACTTGAGCCACATCCCTCAATTCTTTCCCTTTAGTTTGCTTTTGAGATAGGGTCTCATGCTTTTGCCCAGTTCAGCCTTGGACTATGGTCCTCCTATCTCCACCTTCCTAGCAGCTGGGATTACAGGCATGACCCACAAAGCCCAGCAAGATTTCTATTCTTAGTTGAACTAAAACATTGTCCTTATCACATAAACTATTTTAATACATTTTTCATTATATAAAATTACATTCACATGACAAATTCTGTGAGCAATTTCAAATTCACCTAACAAATTCTTATTTGCACTAAGGCCAAATAATAGATACAACTCATCACTAGTTTTAAAGGCATTGTTAAAGTAACACAGAAGGGTATTTTAAATTTTTACCAAATATACAAGTTACCAATAGCATTAATATCCCCGAAGCCTCTGTCACTGGGAAAAATGAAGACGTGAACTTGCACGTAAAACTTCCCTTCACCCCTAAGACCCCATGGTCCTTACACCTCCTCCACAATGAATGAATGTGCTATCTGTATTGTGCAAGGAAACAGCAACTGCAGGTCATATCTACACATCACTGAGGCTGCGATACAGATATGATCATGCTGGAGCATGCCAAAGACCCCTGGCATGCATGGGGGCACTGCTCATCCTATCTGAGTGTCACAACAGTGATAAAGGCAACAGAGCATTGATGAATGAAATATTCCCTGATCTTGGAGAAATAATGTCCTAATTAAACAGGCATGCAGGGTGGGGGATGTGGCTCAAGAGGTAGAGCATTTGCCTACCTACTGAGTTAAATCCTTTATCGCCAAAAGAAAAGAAAGGAAAAAAATAGAATAAATAGGTCCGTAGTTTTAAATTTCAAAAACTGGAAATCTGGAAATGTTTTTCTCCAAAAGTTATTTCTTTTAAGATGTGTGTGTGTGTGATACTGGGGGTTGAACTCAGGGCTTCTGAGAAATACCTCCAGCCCAAGTCCTTTCTTTAAAATGGCACATTAGCTTGGTTTTCCAGACGCAGTGACTGCATTTCCTCAGGCCACATGACTCCACACTATCCACTCATGGGGGGTAACAGGTGCCAGTGACATCACAGACCACCACCAAACAATGTGTTTCAAAGGCCAACTTCTAAAATCACACTTCCTTCCACACCAGCTCTGCTGCGTAGAGGTTGTTTTCTTTATTGCATTTGAAATGCAAAATGCAATGCAAATGATGGAAAAGATGTAAAAACAGGCTCTTCCCATTGGTAGAAAGGATGCACCTGAAAGACCCAAGTGATAGCTTGTCTCTCTACTCAGTCACCCAAAGGATGGAGGAGCCTTCCCCACAGTGTCATCTGACAGCAGTGCTGCAAACAGGAGGAGAGCTCAGGGCACAAGGAGGCTACTCCTTCCTCAGGTACAGGTGCCAGAACTTCCTTGACTATCTGCACAAGGGCTCTCTTATGCTTTGGAGAGAAGGTTTGAGGGGGCTTGCAGTGGCCCCAGCACTTACATAATCAACATAAAACTTAGGTCTCCAGGAAAATCTTTTCTGTTTACCTTTAAACTGGCATTCTCCTCTTGAAGTTCTTGGATGTTAACAGGAATGGGGTTGTTCTGTATCTCCAGTTTTAAGTTCAGATGTAGTATTTCTTCGTTTTTACTTAGTAAGTCAGCTTTAATCTTTTCTAGCTGTTCTTTTAAGTCTGAAACCTTTCATTAAAACAAAAGAAATTTTGAAAATTATCCAATATTTTAATTAAATAATTTTAAAATAGCTTAGGAAGGTCTAAATGTATATTACTATCCTATACTGACATAAATTGACAAAATTGCAAAGAATATAGGCTACTCACAACCCTGTCACCTACTTCTGGACATCTAGTCTTCTATACAAAAGTGCCCAGGGCCATGAGAGGAGACCAGGGCCCACAGCTGGGCAGTCCCACAGGACCCACGCAACTCACCTCGGTCTCACGCTGCAAGAGTGTCCTCTGTGCTGTGTCTAGCTGGACTTCTAGACCCTCAGGAGAGCTGCCTGAAGGAGGCATGGAACAGCTGCCTTCATCGAGCCTAGACTGTGACATGGGCGTCAGCAGTGAATCGCTCACCTGCTGTCCCTTCAGACTCTCTTTATCCTAGGCAAGGGAAAAAAATGTAAAATTTTCAGGGACTCAAATTGCTGTTAAAGTATACACCATCCTAAGCGCTCCTGAAACACAGGGTACCCCTGCCCACACCTGTGCACACCTGTGCCCACCCTCTGCACACATATGCTCAGTGGCTCTCCAGACAGAACCCAGCTGAGCTCCAGATGACAACCACCTGGTATACAGAGAGAGCCACATACCTGCCTATGAGTCTATTGTGAGACATCCCTAGCAATCATTTAACAAGGTACACAAGTATTCACTAGGCTACCACCAACTTAAAAATACCAGAAAGAAGATGACAAAAATAGAGAATGGCTAATATTATATCCATGTGATAAATACCAACAACCCATGAAAAAGTCTCCAGTGAACTTTTACTATGGAGGAAATGCTCATAAAACAGGAGGCGGAAAGACACTGCACATGCGGCTATGTGGGTGATTCAATTGGAAGGAAAGGAAGGGCACGCTCGGTATCTGCAGCACTAATAAGCTCAATGATGTCTGCTGAGTGAATGAAGGAGAGCTGGCAGAGTCCTGCAGTGAGCCACTAGGAAGTGCATGACGTGCCAGACCAGGGCAGGACCTCTACAGGCCCAGGAGAGCCAAAGCATCAGGAGACACGCAGAGATGTGAAGGTTTCAGTGTCCTTCCCAGGAGGGGAACCGTGTGAACAGTGTCCTGTGGATTTCACACTCCCATCAGCACTTAGAATCAGACATGTTGACAAAAACTCCAATACCATCCCTATAGCAACATGGTTGTCTCAGAGCCAAACTTCTAATTCTCAAATAACATTTCTCCCTGGGCCTTACTTTTTTTTTGGTGGCAGTACTGGGGTTTGAACTCAGGCCTCATACTTGGTAAGCAGGCTCTCTACCTCTTGACCCAGATCCCCAGTGCTTTTGCTTTAGGTATTTTTCAAGTAGAGTCTAGCATTTTCATTTTTGCCTGAGGCCAGGCTGGACTGTGATCCTCCTATTTACACCTCCCATGCAGCTGGGATGACAGGCACATGCTATCATGACTGGCTTCTTGGTTTGAGATGGGGGTCTCAAGAACTTTTGTGCCCAGGCTGGCCTTGAGCCATGTTACTCCCGATCTCTGCCTTCCAAGTAGCTGGGATTATAGGCACGAGCCCACACACAAAGCTGGGACTCATTTTCTCAAACAGCTTTTTAACTGCCAGTAACAATAATAAATGAAAAGTCAGAAGTTCAATTCCTAAACTAAAAAGTGATACACAAGTGCTTCCAGGAAATCCAGCAAGGTCAGTAAGGAAGTAATCCTTAATCAGACTAGTAGGCCTGCTAGTCTGAACCACAAAGGACATCTGGCAGCCTCCCCCTCTACCTGCTTCTGCATGGTGGGTGCAGTGGGCATGCCCCATGCCCACCTTCATACCATGCATGCCCCAGCTGCCCACTATACCCTGACTAGGACATCCAGCCACTTTACCTGTAGTTCTTTCACAGTTTTTTTCTGTTTTTCTAGTTCTTCCTGGAGTTGGGCCACTTGTCTTAGGGTGTTGGCGTTGGTCTCCTCAAGACGTTTAATTTCTTCTTCCTGGATTAAGAGTTGCTGATCTGCTAACTCTTTCTTTATGATCAAGTCATTAAACCCATCTGATTTTTCTCTCAGTTTTTCTTTAACAATTCAACCTAAGGACAAAAAAAAGTGTGAGAAATGTAATAGAGCATTAAAAAAATATCTTTCAAATGAAAAAGCATGCAACATAACTGACAAGAGAACACAAACACTGTGTCGTGGACTTCAGTGCATAATGAAACCTAAAGAAAGAATAGGACATTCTCTCTTAACAAAATGACACATAAAGACAATAACATAACACAAAATGTGTTAGTAAAATGAAACTTATTTTGACAGACAAGAATGGAACACTACTTTGGCAATTAAAAAAGACTAACTATAGATACGGCAACAACTTGGAAGACTCAGAGAACTAGGAAGAGTGGAAAAAAAAAACCTCAACCCCAAACACAGTTCCATTTATGTAATATTATACAAATAACCCAATTACAAAAATAGATGACAGACTGGTGGCTGCCAGGAGTCAGGAGGGGTGTGGTGTGCAAGGGCAGAGGGAGGGTTATATTCCCTTCATCGGCCTGTGCTCCTGGACTCTACTGCTGCAAGATGTGACCACAGGGAACACAGATCTCTCTGAGTTTTACTTCTTACAACTGCATGGGAATCCACCATTTCCTCAAAATAAGTTTAATTAGAAAAAAGAAGAATTAGCAAATCAACTAGTTTCCTCTGTCAAGAGGTCACAGGCAGCCACAGTTGCAATCAAAAGCAAGAAACCCAAGCAAGAAAACGGACAGTACACATGGTCCTACCCAGCCATGCAGGGTGAGGTAGCATGACAGCAGCAAGCACTAGATATGGAGAAGGGTCTAGAAAGCAAAGGCAATACTGTCCATCCTACCTTCTCATCCAACTGCACACACTGTGGTTTCCACATGCATGGAAGGCAAAACGTAAAAGGTAAAGCTTAAAAATGCTGTAGACATTGGCTACCACCACAGGCACAGCACACAGCAGGCTACCTACCTGGCTATCAAGGAGACCTGGGGACCGTGGTCTGGCAACCTGGCGGAGCTGCCCCTCTAACCTCAGGATCTCCTGCTGAAACTCTTCGCGCTCATGCTCACGCTCAGCAGCCTGCTCCTACAAGAGGCCAGGTGTTAGCCTATGACAAACTTTCAGAGCCAAAGAATGGGGTGGGGGAGGGGATGTACATTCCACTACACACATGTCCAACCATCCAGTAATACCCCCCTCACCATGGTCATTTTTATATAATGCAGTTAAGAGGAACAGCCCTTTAGACGAAACATGAAAGAAGCCTCTGAAACAGTCACAACATTTTTTAAATGGTGGGCAAGAAGTTATAACAAGAGTAGATGGCCTAGGTCCCAGCTTCTTGCAGGGGCAGCCACACAACACCTCCTGGGATGGAAAACCACAACTCAACTGGTAGAAAGTTCTCCTAAGACCATAGGAGGGAACAAAGGCCAAGAAGATAACAGAATATTTCCTCACAATTATCTTTACCAAATGTAGACAAGACCCAAATGCCCATGAGGGCAACATGGCGATCTGTCTGTACAGGGGAGTATTACATGCTGATCTTCAATGTCATGTCATAGAAGCTGTTCGTGCTATAATGAATTTTAATGATGCGAATAAAATTTATTATCCAAACTTCTTACATCCATGAATTGTCGCTGGCTACGCAAATGCTTGTCCAGGGCAGCTAGCTGCTGCTTCAGGGTGGCTACCTCCTCAGCCTGCTGGGCACAGCCCTGGTGCTGTGAGAGCTGGTCCTCCAACTCGGACTCCAAGACCCTCATCTGTGAGAGCAGAGCTGCGCGATCCTTCTCCGACTGCTTCCTGGCCTCCGATTGCTCCCTGGTTAGAGATTCCACTTCCTTCAGCAGTGCTAAGGGTGCCAAGAAAACAGTCCTAGAGGAGCCCACCTCAGAGCATAGACTCATGAAGCAGGGCTTGTGAAACATGCCCTTCCTGATGGTGACCATACATAAAACAGTGCCAGACCCTGATGGACTACTCACCAGAGCCCAAATTGGGCTGGTGGTGACCACCCAGGAAAGAGTAGTCACCAGGTCCAGCCTCAACCCCTTTCCAAGCCTTTCCCTTCCAAGGGGCTGTAACACCAGGGAGGCCAGAGGCATCCTGTCTCTATCTTTAGACCACATCCTAACACACCCAGACTTTGTCAGGTACCCATGAAAATAAAGGTAAATTCCTTCTTAAAACAAAAATTTCATCTTTTAAATGAAAATTAGCTAAAATAAAAAAAATTTAAAGCCTAAGAAGAATGTATCCTGGTGTCTCAATGACATACCAGACAATTTTCTAGGAATTTTATCCACATGAGCATTCTCTAACACAGAAACTATGGATTGTATGTCTGTCCTATTCAAACCTCTGGCTGAAATTTAATTGCCAACATAAAGTTATCAGGAGGGGGCCTTTGAGAAGGTCTGGGTCTTGAGGGCTCCACCCTCATGGATGGGTTTAATTCTTCAACAAAAGGGCTTTCAGGAAGGGGAGCTCTCTCTCCGCCCCTCTGCCTCATGCCACAGGGTACAAGGTGCCATCCTGGAATAACACAATGGCTTCCCAGATCCTGAGCCTGCCAGCACCTTGACCTTGGACCTGTCAGCCTCAAGAACTGTGAGAGGTAAATTTGTTAGTTATAAATTACTCACCCTCAACAGTTAGCGATACAAACGAACTAAGACACTGGGCAATGAGACCCCCAAGCGAAGTTGAAACTATAGATCAATAAGCATCTGGAAAAGGGGCTTGCTAATGACAAAGCTTGAGCTTTTTTATCTAAAAGCTGAAATACTAAGTTTACAAATTCTTATATTTCACGAGTTTTCAAAACTGCCAACTTTTTATGACAAGCTATCATTACTATTAATGTAACATCCTCAATAAATTTTCATGCTAAAAAATCAGCAATTATAGTAAGTTAGCCTTAAACATGCAGTTACAATGTCATTTATAATCTTTAAGTCAGCACTGCCTGCTCATGGACAACAGACACACCATCTTCAGGGCCACACACTGGAGGGAGGATGGCCCACCCACAACTCCCCTTCAGTATAGGGCCACAGCCCACAGTGGCCCTGTAGGTGCACCAAACCAAAGACCCACTAGGATGTCAGACAAGGCACAGAGCCAGAGGTGGCCCAGCCCCTTCCCTGGAGACCTTCCAGGAGGCCCTCACACAGAGAACCAGCTCAACAACCAGCACCACAGTCACAAGACATCAGTTCCTGTAAGACAGCCCAAGTAACTGCAGCAGTCATTAGAAGAAATGCTTACATCTTGCTGGAGCATTAGAATAGGATAACTTTGCCAATTTTTAATGACTGAATACTGAAGATTCTAATATTGTTTAACAGCTTGCCACAAAAGCTCTGAAGCACTTTTCCTCTTTAGTAAATATTTTCAAAATCTGATGCAAACATACAGCATGTTATGCAGCAATCACACTTTGTTTTTACAAACCTGAGTCCTTATGTGCTGCAGAGACAGGAGTCCCTACAAAGGGAAACACAGAGCATCACAGAAAGGGAAACAGAATACATGGAGCAGGGACAGAAGAATAAGCAGAGAGCCAGCAGCACTCAGGCATGGATGTGGACCCTACACATCCATGACACTACTGGCTGCCCCGGTTACTGGGCTTGGTGCCCAAGGCGCTCAAGTGCTCATTTTAAAGGAAACAAATAAGACAGATAGCACCACCCTAAAGGTAGCCATAAAACACAACAAATAGCTAGAAAGCCACACACAGAGGAGGCAAGACAGAGCTCAATCCCTTCATGAATGCTGGGCTTCTCAAGGTTCCTGGGAAGTCAGTTCCATAATTCACCAATCCCAGGGAATTTAGGAGAACACCTGGGAGCCTGTGTTCAGGGAAGCCTCAGGTACAGTGCTGACTGCTGGCACAGCGTAGCTGGGGTGAACATGCACAGTACTGCAATGCCAGGGTTTAAGAGGCCATAGTGAGAATTAATGCAGGGTAAACACTGCCAAACAAAAGCCAGCTAAGAAGAACACAAAGAAGTAACAACAGCTTCATAGTAACAGGGCACAGTGGAGGAGGACAGGCAGCCTGAGATGGAAGGGCCTATGATGACAGAGCACAGTGGAGGAGGAGAGACAGCTGAGATGGAAGTGCCCCAAGAGATGTTCCTGTAATGGCCCAACCTCAGCCATGATGTTCCTGTAATGGCCCTGTCCCTCTGCCTGGGACAGGTGGGCCCAGTCCTGCCATGGTGCTACCCAATGATTCAGGCCACACTGAAACAGGGAGCCAGAGACAAAGAGGTACAGGTGTAATCACAGAGGAGCCAGGCCCTGTGTAGCACAGCTACAGTGCAGCCCAGGCACCCAGCTGCAGCCTCATCACCAGATCACACCTCATCTACTGCACTTACAATAATAAAATGCAAGGTCTCCAGGGAGGGTGCAGCCTGCTGGCCCAGCAGCCTGGTGACTATGGAAACAACCTTGAAATGAGGCAGGCATGGGGTTCTGTACAGGGCAGTGCTAATCCATGACGATCGCTCCAGGACGATGGAAAAGGAGATTTAACAAAAAGCAACAGACCTGATACTGAACAGACAGAGTGGAGAACCCACCATGGACACACAATGAGACAGGGAAGCCCCATGGGTTTTCTGAAAAACCTAAAAAGCAGAATAGGTGATACTTATGACCTCAGGACCTCAAGGAAGAGAAATGGACCTAGAGTCACACATTTCCAGCTATGTCTTACAGAAGGATGAAGGGAGCAAAGGAACAGTCAGGCATTCAGGCCCAAGAAGAAGCATGGAGTCCCAAGGTGAAGAGGCCTGGACACCACAGGAAAGAAACTCAGCTGGTGGCACACAGCTTCACACCTGCAAAGGCAGGTCCTATCCATCACAGCAAGGCAGGAAGGAGAGATAGGACAGAGGGAAAAAAAGAAGGTGCAGGGGACAGGAGTAAATCCAAAGGCTATAAGCATAGGGACAAAAACTGGTAAATGGACCAAATAAGATACTCACTGATGACAGTTTTTTTTTTTTTAAAGTCATTGAAGCTGAGTGCCAGTGGCTCACATTTATAATCCTAACTACCTGGGAAGCTGAGATTGGGAGGATCAATGTTTGAGGCCAGCCCAGGCAAATAGTTCTTGAAACCCATCTCCAAAATAACCAGAGCAAACTGGACTAGACATGCAGCTCAAATGATAGAGCACCTGCTTTGCAAGCATGAAGTCCTGAGTTCAAAGCCCAGTCTCACCAAAATATAATAATAAAAAAAGTCATTGACTCATTATCCATAAGAGATACAATTAAAATGGAAGAAAAGAAGACTGAAAATAAAATTAAAAGACGCATGGGAAATAAGAGATACAAGGAGCAAGCCACACATGTCCTGGGCAAGCCTGACACAGACATGGAACTTTTTGACAAATCAGCATTTTAAGCTTCTTCTGTTTTGACCACTTACATTTTAAATATTTATGATTAAAATATCTAAAAATCTGGCCAGATGCGGAGGCACATATCTTTAATCCCAGCACCTGGGAGGCTGAGGCAAGAGGATCTCAAGTTTGAGACCAGCCTGGGTTACATATGGAGACCTAAGAAAGGAAAGACAAGAAGGAGGGAGATGGAGACCTAAGAAAGGAAAGACAAGAAGGAGGGAGAAGAGGAAGGGAGGAAGGAAAAAAGGAAGGAAGAAATTTAGTGATTTATTAATAGCTCAATGGACTTGAGGGGAGAAGCTCTGCTATAAAATTGAGTGAGAGAGCTCCCTCTTTGCTCCCTGGCCACCATGAAGTGAGCAGCTTTCCTCTGCCACACACTCTTGCCACACTGCCTTGCCACAGACCTAAAAGCAAATGGGCCAAGCAACGATGGACTGAAACCATAAGCCAAAATAAACCTTTCATCTTTTAAGTTGTTTTTTTCAGGTATTTTGTCACAGTGATGGAAAGCTTACACACATATGAATCAGACACAGTTATTTTCAGTACAATTTTAGGTCAGTTCATTTTGTAAGATCAATACTTTTGAATCCACTGCTGTAGGGGTGCTCACTTCTCAGAGGCACAGAGAGCTTATCAACATTGCCAACCATAATGACCATCCTCCTCTGACCACTGCAGAGCAACTGGACACTACATCCTGTCCAGTCACCCATCCAGAGCCAGCCCTTTTAAGTCAAATGTCTACCAGCACAGACCCTGCAGAAGGGTTTGCTTTTTGTTATGTTTACCTCTACAAACATCATGCTTCCATGCAAGCTGGGATCTGCTTCAGCATTCCTCCCCTACCCCGCCACTCTGCACTCTACCCTCCACATTCCATACCCATTTCTCTTGCTTCTGCTTCAGCAGCCAAGGCTTCCTTCTGGCTCCACAGGGTGGAACTTTCATGCCTCAGAGTGGCCAGTTCCTGGTCTGCCTGATGTAGTTGCTGCTGCAGGCTCTCCAGCTCTAGGACCAGCTGCTGCTCTGATTCCTCCTTCCTGCCCAGTGCCTCCTGCAGATCTGCTTTCTCTACTTTGAATCCTTCAAGGAGGCCTGAGAAGAAGAATGAGCAAGGCTAGGATGCTCCCTGCCAGGGGCCTTGAGTGGGAGTGCCAGGAGGTCACACTGCATCACTGCTGCAGGCACTCGTTCAAACAATCCCTCCTCCTCCTGCAGAGGAGAGGCCTCCAGACAAGGTCAGCCTCCTGAGCAGGGCTGCATCCCAGTGATCCCACCCATCTGTGTTGAGATGCTGAAGAGGGGTTCTCTTATGCTAGGACAGCCATGGCAGAGCGCCAGGTGACTGTTAGGAAGGACCATGTGCCGTCGGCACCCCCACACCAATGACCCACAGAGCACAAAAGCTCAGTGCCAAGATGGTGGCTGCTCTAGGGCCACCATCTATAGCCCTCTAACAGCCCTGCAGCAACCCAGAGGGCCCAAGCCACCACCTCTCCCAAGTGGAACTTTCATTGAGAGACATCACTGGTAAATCACAGGGACGCAGTCTGTAATTTTTGCTGCTAAAGATCCTGCTTACCACAGAAGAGCCACACATCCCTGCTGCATAGTATGACACTCACCCTCAGCTGTGTGTAGCTCTAGCTCCAGCTCAGCCTTGGCGGTGCTCTCCTCCCTAAAGTGCTCCAGCATCTCCTGCTGCCTCTGCAAAAGCTGTGCAGTCTCCTCGTTCTTATGGAGAAATTCTTTCTCAAAGTGAGAATGCATCTGACGTGCTTCCTCCAGCTGTTAAAACACATTTGGGAATCAGAACTGAAAAGTGGAAATAATTAAGCCTAGAGGGAAAAATAAAGAGAGACAAAAAATACTGCCCCAGGCCCTGGGACCAGTGCAGGAGAAGCACCAGGTTCATCCTAGCACTCTCCTCACACTCAGATACATCACCAGGCAGTCCCCACATGGCTAAGGGTCCCTCCTCAGCAACCTTTACTGCCCTCCGGCTCAGCCCTCATCCCTCTCTCTCTTCCTCCCTGCACTCAGGGGCCCCATGACCTCTGAACTTGAAACACCTACACCCCTCTGTCCTCTACAATGCAGCACTCAGACCCAGGTCTCCCTCGGCTCCCCCCTAGTTAACAGAACTCTGGCCTTTTCTGGAGCTCAAGTTGTCCACTGGTTTCTAAGGAGATCTTTTGCTTCTGCCTTGAAAATGGTTTAGAGGCCACTATCACCCTGTTCCCCACAAGCACCTTCCCACAAGCTTCTGCCCTCTCAAATACCTGCCCCTACCTACAGCAATGAACCATGTAACCCACAAGTGCACACAACCCTTATACAACCTGTAGAGGAGTTCTTCTGATCCAGACCCCACTCACAGCTTCCTGCCACCCACCCTGCATCAACTCCAGACAGCTCCTGTGCCTCCCAGGCTCTGTCCCCATTGATGGGAAGGCCCCCACCCTCAGTACCTTCCCATTTCTTCCCCTCAAAAAACACAGCCTCCATGAGGCAGGGTTTTTAACAAAGAGTGTGACCCCATGGCAGCCCAGGGCACTTTCTCAGACATCCCCACCATGGAATGTGATCCTACAAAAGTCAGATGCTCTCAGAAGGAGTGGCTTCCATTTAGTTCCACTTAGGGCCATCAAAAGCACCTGATTACATACAGGTTAGATGCCAGTCAAATCTGTCAGCTCCTGAGAGAGGGCAGGAGGGTGCACAGGGAGAATAGGATGAAGAAAAAGGCAAGCAGGCAAGAAGGCAGCAAGAAAAACTCCAGGTCTCAACACCAAGGAGAGAAAATTCACTCAATAGCAATGCTTCACATAGAAATGCTTATTATTTTTTAAGTGGAGTAACTTTTATTGATTTCCACATACTCTATTTAATGTACTTTCTGATAGCCTAAAAGGTTCTAAGAACTAACAAAAAATTCCATTCCTCAGTATAATTTTAAATATGAAAACTGTGGAATTGTAGTCGTGCATGAAATGAGGTAAAAGTAAAAAGTGTGTTTGAGTTTTAACTCAGTCAAATAAACTGAGATTCTATTTATCATCCACAGCAAGCACTTCTTAGAGAACTGTGGTTCAAAAAAGACTCCAGTTGAAGAAGAAGCATACAAGAGAATGCTGTCAGTAACAGAGATCAAAATCAGCACCAAGGGAAGGTGCTGATTTTTTGGTGGGAGCGTCTATCCCTCAAAAGCCTGGTGGATGAGGGGACGAAGGCATCCTGGAAGTCAGATGTGCCCGGAAAATGAAGACTCACCCCTTCGTAGGCTGCAGGGTTTGGCTAGAATTAGAAATACTACAATGGCAGTACCCAGCTAAGTGCCCAGAAGCCACTGTCCATTAAACTCTGCCATCCAGTCTGCTCACTAATCCACTGGCCTCCATGATGACGTGCATTGAGCCTCACCTGCCTGGAAGAATCCAGGGCCATCTCTAGGAGGCCATCCACAGCTATGCCAAGGCTCTGGTAGACTCTCCTAATGGGCTGCTCACATTCCAGTGTACTTTCGGGACTCATTAAAAAGCTTTCACATACATGACTGCTAATTTCAGCCACTGAAGATATCTCTTCCCCTTCAGATAAAGTTCTGTCCAACTCCAGCAGGGCCTCATCAGACCACATTTCATCAAGTGCTGGAGCTACAAGATAAGCAAATACAGACAACCAAACCCCCCACTAGTGAACACCCTGACCCAGTTACCTCCCTAGGACCAGCACACTCTCCACTCCTTGAGTACCCTGACCAAGCCATAGCCCTTAGGGTTCACACACACACACACACACACACACACACACACACACACACACACACACACACACACTCCAATCCACCTCCTAAGCAAAACAGTAACCCACAGGTCCAGGCAGTTCTACCTAGGCCCAATTCTTCCCCTCCCCGAGACTGGCCACTGGCAAAGAACAAAGAAGTGGTCCTTCTTAGAGCTTCCCCAACCCACTTTCCCCAGCCCCCATGTGATCCATTCTGGTGCATGCACCTGCTGCTGGAGCTTGGCCTTCTTCTGCGGCACCCATGTGGTCCAGGAAGAGCCCCACACGCTCACCAATCCGGCTTTTCAGGGTGACAGCTGCCTTCAGTGTCTCTCCAAACAAACCCAGCAGCCTTCTCAGGGCATCACGGAGTGCTCTCCTAAGATGAGGGAACCATGGTCACGAGAGCCACTCTGCAGTCTAGGGAATCCCCTGGCAGGGTCACTAAGGCCTGGGCTCAGGACACAGAGGACAATGATTCCTGACCCTGTGTGCTCTAAGTTATGTAAGAAAGACATGCATGGCATCAAGTAGGATTCTGCTTCTAGGTGGGCAAGGATGGGATTCTAGCACACAGCAGGACTTCAAAGGGACACAATGGGGTTTTTGGGAAAATGTGAAGATTTGGCAGAGCAGGAGTGCAGGTATTTATCATATTCCTTACAACATTTGTTGATGTTCAATTTTTTTTTCTTTTTGGTGGATTTGGGGTTTGAACTCAGGGCTTCATCCTTGCAAAGCAGATGTTGCACTGCTTGAGCCACACCTCCAGTCCATTTTGCTCTGCTTATTTTGGAGATGGGGCCAGGGGGGTCTTGTGAACTATATGCCCAGGCTGGCCTTGAACCTCAATCCTCCTAATCTCAGCCTCCCAAGTAGTTAGGATTACAGGCATGAGCCACAGGTGCCTAGCTGATGTTCAAATCTTTTGAAGTGAAAAGAATGACATGGCCAGCGTCTCCATCCAACAGGTGTGGATGTGCACAGGAATCCCACAGGGAGCACAGAGGGTTGGGAAGAGGCAGCAGCACAAAAAGGACACACTGACCCTTCACTCTGAGACAGGTCCACATCTGCCCTGAGCATGCAGATGAGGTTAGCACCCTCCTGGTTCTCTCTCTCACGCCTCTGCTGCAGCCTTTCGAGCTCAGCGCGGCACTCTTCTATCTCCTGACTTAGGGATATGACTTGGTCTTTCAACTGTTGAGAAAAAGTGTTAAATTTCAGTTCAAACAGCTTACAAATACGTGGCTGCAGGGAGATTCCATTGTAACTTTCATGGTCACAGTTAACAGAAATACGACAAAAAGTGAACAATATGGTGAATAAGGGTGGAAATTACTTTTAATGGAAAATTATTAATAAGGTTCTTTCCTCCAATATTCATCCTTGAAGAATTTATCACATATTGAGAGAAATCAACAACACCAAAAAGAATTTATCACAAAAAAAAGTATGAATAACCCCAGACTGCCCCCAACACCAGGGAAAGGAAGGAGTAGATTCACAGAATTCACTTCATAAATAAAAGAGTTCAAAGTAAAACCCATATAATTTGGCCATTTGCAATAACATCAATTGCCAAGCAGTCAAAGATCCTTGTTCACGTGTCTGTCTAAAAACAAAGACTTAGCACCTCAGCAGTACATGCCAGGAGGCAGACCTACCAGCTGTCCCACATATTGCAGGCTGCTGGGGGTTCCCCAGGCAGTCACCACAGATCTTGGAAATCTTGTAGAGTTCAGCTTGGAAAACATGACAAGGGAAACACACCAGCAAGAACCCATAAATTCAAGAAGGACCTGGGTCATTCACCAGTGACAAAGACTTCCTAAGACTCCACAGGTTCACCAACGTGAACACAGGCATCCACCACGTAAAAAAGCAGAGGAAGCCATGACAGAGCACGGTCACATACTCCCTGGAGATGCCAGACACCACCCTCTTGGACAGCTTGGGGCGGCCATCCCTGTCCACGGCTGCTTCAGGGCAGGAAATGGCCAATGGGCTCCAGATCAGGAACAGAGGGAGGAGCTAAGGGCAAGTGGCCTTCAGGTAGAGAAGCCACGTGCTGCTGCAGCACCAAGCTGGCAGCAAATCTCACCCCAGAGAGGAAAGTGGCTAAATGGGTGCAGAGGACAGGCAGGGAGCCAGTGAAGGGCCCAACAATAACCTTAGAAGGTAGAGAAAGAAATCAAGGACCATAGGAAAAAAGAGAGTGCAATTCTGCAACCAACTTACTGAAGGGAACAAACATTAACTGTAAACTGTGTCAATGGAGGACAAAGAAAAAAAAAAGAAGATTCTATAAAACCATTGGCTGAGTCAGACTAAGACATACAAGTGACTGGGAAAATTAAAGAAAACAGAGTAAGTAAACTGGGAATTTTGAGTTTCAAAATGGTAAATAACAGGCTGGGGTTGCAGCTTAGTCAGAGAGCACTTGCCTAGCATGCTTGAGGCCCTGAGTTCAATCCCCAGTACTGAAACAGTAACAAAAAAGGTGGCAAACAAGGACCAAAGGTGTCCAAGAGACAGTGGATGGACAGCGTATGTCAAATGCTGCCAGCACACAATATTCCAGACTATTCAAGGCAGGGCGATGTCCCCTCCCAGGGGCTGGCATGCAAGAGATGAACAGGCAAAGGATAGCTGGGGCTGGCCTGGTCTGCATGAAGCTCCCACCCAAAATTGATCATCCCTGTGACAGATGGCTGATTCCACTCACAGAGCTGACAATCACCTGCCAAATGCACTCCCTCCTCTCACCAAAAGTACATGGGTGGGAGGTGGCTAAGAGAACTCTAGTAGCACTGACCAGGTAAAGAAGTACAAGCAAACACAGGATTAAATGGATTAACAAAAGCAGAAAATAGCAACCATCCCATTAAAGATTTAAAAACCTAATTGGCACCTTAAAATCTTACTATTGCCGGGCACCACTGGCTTACGACTGTGATCCTACTTATTTGGGAGGCTGAGATCGGAAGGATCACAATTAGAGGACAGCCAGGCAAATAGTTTAAGAGGCCCATCTCCAAAATAAGCAGAGCAAAATGGACTGGAAGTGTGGCTCAATAATAGAGCACCTGCTTTGCAAGTGTGAAGCCCTGAGTTCAAATCCTAGCCTCACAAAAACAAAAAACAAAACAAACAAAAAAACTTCCTACAAAGAAAACTTTTAGAGAGACAGCTTTTAAGGAATTCACAATTCCCAATCACTTCAATTTTATCCAAATTCTTCTAGATTAAAGAAGGGGGGTACTTCTCACTTATTTTATGAGTCTGTATCATGAAAAGAAAGAAAAATTATAGGTCAATTACAATGAAAAAATATAAATGCAAAAGTTTTAAAAAGCCAGGTATGGGGTGGGGGCGGGGGGGGGGAGAAATGAACCAAGCCTTGTATGCACATATGAATAATAAAAGAAAAATGAAAAAAAAAAAAAGCCAGGTATGGTGGGGCCTGTAATCCCAATACTTGAGAGGCTGAAGCGGGGAATCATGAGTTCCAGGCCAGCTTGAATAATATAGCAAGACCCTACCTCAAAAAAAAAAACAGTCAGGCACAGGAGTGCATGGTATAACCCCAGCTACTAGGAAGGCAAAGGAGAAGGGTTTTGAGCTTGGACAAAGCTAGTGAGAACATGTCACAAAAGGTGATATGTCAGGCTGGAAGTGTGGCTCAAGGGAGGGAGCAAGTGTGAGGCCTTGAGTTCAGTCCCCAGAATTGAAGGTGGGGGAGGGTAGGAAACTAGAAAATAAATCCAGCAATCTGTGAAAATCATGTCTATGTTAGTTTCAGCACAAAGATATAAGGTTGAGGCCAGGTGAGGCAACATGCACTGTGAATCTCAGATAATTGGGAGGGCTGAGGCCAGAGTATCTCCTGGGCTACACAGCAAAAACTCTGTCCTAAAAAATGAAAAGGAAAAAGAAGACAAATCAGAAGAAATCCAGTTTATACAAAGAATGCCCATAAGTATATAAGAAAGAAGAAAAAAAATTTTTAAACAGAAAAATGGCAAAAGATACAAGTATTTCACAGAAGAAGAAACATACAGGGGCCACAATCATTGAACAGATGCTCAATCATATTAGCAAATAAGGAAATGCTAATTGAGGTCCATGACTACCATTTCATAAATACAAACCTGACAGGACCAGGAGGGCCATGCAGGCTTTAGACAGGGGTAGAGGGGTAGAATGTGGGCAGCACACAAGCATTTCAGCGGGGTGTAACTTGGAATAGAAATAGTCTGGTGCTACCTGACCTGGCTGGACACTTACACAACACCCTGACCCAGCAACACCACATCTCGAGATGTTCCACACACTTGTGACAGGAGATAACTAACAAAACTCATAGCAGCTTCACCCACAACAGAAGTTAACTGGAAAAAGCGAGAGCCACATGGGGACATCAAGGTGTAATCACACAGTGAGACACTGCTCAGCTTCACATACCATGGTTGTCCACAATGTGTGAAAGAGGCAGCCACAGACGCCCCTTTATGAAGTTCAAAAGCAGACAAAACTAAGCAATATATTTTTCAGAAATGCATCGACAAGTGAAAAAACTAGAAATACCAGGACAGCGGCTTCCTCTAGAGGGTGGGGATTTGAGCTCAGAGAGGGACATTGTAAGCTACATAACCTGGGTGGCAGGACACAATTACTTTTTATGGCATTATTTAACTAAAGATGTACAGTTTAAATATGTTTGGAGGACCATTTCACAATGAAATCCCAACTTTTCAGTCTGGTTTAGCTAAAACAGCATTTATCATTCTCTGCCCGGCCACACGTACTGTTCAATGAAGCTCAAGTGCAGTGCGTAACAGTGGTTCATAGGGAGGTTTCCCTTGGCACAGGCAGATCTGTTCAGCCAGGTGACAGCAGGTGTATGGATGTACCTGTCCAAGGCTCACTCACTACAAGGACTGCTAGCCACCTGCAGGTGCCCACATTTAGCAGCCAGTTCTTTTTGACTAGAATTGGGTTTTTCCCTTGTTTGTTTTCGTGGTACAGAAGATTGAACCCAGGGGCTCCCACATGCTAGGCAAGCAATCTACAACTTGAGGTATGTACCTAGTTTTTTTAGGTTTATATGTTTGTTGGTTTGGTTTTTGAGATAGGGCCTCATTATGTAGCCCAAGCTGGCCTCAAACCTGAGGTCCTCCTCAGACTCTCCTGTCTTCACCTCTGAGTAGCTAGGATTACAGATATGTACAACCACACCCAGTGAGAATTGTTGTTTTTGTCGTAGTTGAGTTATAAAACTACACAGATTTCATGTGCTATATCTTCAACCCTTTTTTTGACCCATGTGATATTATTTTCAGTATTTGTCCACAGTCTGAGTAGTTTTTCAGGGATGATTATATCATCACAAAAATCATTGTTACTTTGAAGAAAAAAAGTCAAAGAAAAAATTTCAAAGGCCATTGCTCTCTCCCAGAGCCTCACAGGTTTCGATGAGGCTGCACCTCACAGCCTCACCTGGGCCTGGCTTGCCCTGCTGGTCCCCCTCAACTGCCTCCCAGCACAGGGGCTGCCTCCTTCTGCAGCTGGAAACATGCCCCTTGACTCATTGCTGCTGAATAACCACTGCCTTGATCCTACCAAAACACAGCCAGTATTTAAAAACAGTCTCACAGAACCTCCCCTGGACCTCAGTGCCCTCAGGCATCTGTACAGTGAATGGGTGTGGGAAAGAGCAGAAATAAAAGCAGACTATCATGCTCAGCACAGCGCCTGGCACACAAGCACCGGCAACGTACCAGTAAATTCAAGTCCATCAATCCTACAGGATGGGCAAGTCAGAAGAGACTTGGCTTTTTTCAGAGTTGCTCTCAACTCTGAAGGATCAATAGTGAGACTGTCTCTAACAGTATGAAAATACACCTACACCTTCACACAAAATAATGAACTCAACAACAAAAAAAAAGCCACCCGTTCAAACAGGATAAAGGACTACAAAGACCTATAAATGGCCTTAATAAGCTCAAGAAAAGATGGCTTGACATCACTAACCATTAGGGAAGCACAAATAATATCCATAATGACATCACCTCACATCATTAAATGGTGTGGGGGAGGAGAAAGGGAGAGAAGGAAAGGGGGGGAGGAGGGAAAGAAAAGAAAGAAGCCAAATATAACAGTATACACACCTGCAAACTGGACAAAAAGCTAGACCATATTTTAAAAAATAACTAAAACAAAAAAGGGCTACGACATAGCTCAAGTGGTAGAACACCTGCCTAGCAAGTGTGAGTCCCTGAGTTCAAACTCTAGTACCACCAAAAAAAAAGGAAAGTAACAAGTGTTGACAAGGATATGGAACAACTAGAATCCTTGTACACTGTTGGCAGGAAAGTAAAACAGTATAGCTGCTAGGGAAGGCAGTTTGGCAGTTTCTGAAACAGTTAAATAATTATTACCATATGACCCAGCAATTCCATTCCTAGAAAATTTGGAAGCAGGTATCAAACATTCATTGTAATATTATGCACCAATGCCAAGAGGTGGAAACAAGCTATCAACAGATAAAGGGATTTTAAAAAAAAATGTGGTGTGTACATATAATGAGGTCTCCTTTAGTCATGAAATTTTGAATTATGCTGCATGGATGGACCTTGAAAACACTGTAGTAAGTGAAACAAGCACATTAATAACGACAAAAAAAGTCCTTTCTTGTTGTAAGTATTCCATTTCTCTGCTGCTCATCAGAATTCACCAGAAGCAGAAAAACCTCAGCCACCACCACACAGGCACATGCTCATGTGGTCCATCACAGAGGACCTAAGGGAAGCCCTGGCTCCAGGACCAAACACCAGGAAGGACAATGGCATGTGACAACAGCTGCAACCTTTGGTGGCTGAGTCACCTGCACTGATCACATTAAGCAACTGTCCAGGGCTGGCAGAGTGGCTCAAGTGGTAGAGTGTGTGCCTAGCAAGCACAAGGCCCTGAGTTCAAACCCCAGTGCTGCCCCACACCACCCCCATAAAAAAACCTGTCCACCAGTTAGGTGCCAGTAGTTTATGCCTGTAATCCTAGCTACTCAGGTGGCAAAGATCGGGAGGATCATGGTTCACAACCAGCCTGGGCAAATAGTTCACGAGACCCTATCTCAAAAATACTCAACTCCACCAGCTACTGGCAGAGTGACTCAAGTGGTGGAGCTCCTGACTATCAAGTACAAGGCCCTGAGTTCAAACCCCAGTACCAAAAAAAAAAAAAAAAAGGGGGAAAAAAAAGAAAGAAATTGTCCCCATTAGGAGTTCTAAGCATGATAATCCAAGATATTGAGAAACCTGGGTTCCTTCAGCTTTTAGAAGGTAAACATGCTTTCTTCCCAAAATAATATATTTTTAATAAGGATCACCTAGATGAACTAACATATTACTGAAATAAAGGGCCTCATTGTCACTGACTGTGAATGGAGAGGGTGGGGTGATTCTACACAGAACATGGGCCCAGACAAGAGATATTAAGCCTGCTGCCCAAAGCAGAGCTGCAGGCCCCACTCAGCTGGAGAATGGTCCCGTGGCATTTCCTCACCTTCTCTGTCTCAGGAAGGGCTATAAGGCATTTACAGAGACATACTAGATAAGACCAGGCAGCACGTGGGCAGAGAGCAGCAAACACAAAGCAGGCAGCCAGGCCTCCCTCCTATCCTGAGGCAGCCCAACAGCAGGACAGACGGAGTAGCTGCTAGGAGACGCTCAGGGGCAAGCAAGGACATTTTGCAAATGTGCAGCCCAGAACCTTGCAGGCCTAGGGCTTCTAGAAGGCCAGCTGTCTGGAAAGTTGACCTGGCTCCACAGCTCGTAGGAGGTTCTACCTCTGCAGCATCTCAGGGAGGCTTCCTTTACAGTCTTTTCTATTTCCAGCCTTAAGAAAAACTCTGCTTAGTTTACTGTGTTCTAAATGGTAAGGTCAATGTAAGAAAAGATGTTTTTTAAAAAGTTATTCTCAGTTGGGCTCACACCCATAATCCTAGCTACTTGGGAGACTGAGATTGGGAGGATCATGGTTCAAAGTCAGCTAGGGCATAGTTCACAAGATCCCATCTCCAAAATAACCAAAGCAAAATAGACTGGAGGTGCGACTCAAGCAGCAGAGTTCCTGCTCTGCAAGTGCAAAGCCCTAAGTTCAAAACCCCCATCCTGCCAAAAAACAAAAACAAAAAAAGATATTCTTAGGTTTTTCTAAAAATCAACAAGACTACAGAAAATATATATATATATATTCTAGTCATTACAAAATATAGCAGGTATGTCTGGAGGAAAACAAAAGGAAGGGGTAGTGCACAAAAAAAAAAAAACCATGAAAATGAAGATAAATTTGCCCATAATGAATCAAAGACATTCAAACTACATCTAAACTGACCACAGGTGCTCAACCTTTCAAAAGTTAAAGGTTTGGGTTTTATACAAGAAAATATGAAACAGTCCAGCACAATCACTACTGGTCACACCACAGACACTTCTGCACTCCAGGCTCTGCTTAATGTCACCAGCTCAGGAAACTTCATCACTGAAAAGAAATCAGGCTTATGTTTTCAGAGAATGTTTCTCACAATCAACTCCAAGGGCAGTGACCAGGAAAGTAACCTGACTGCCTCATGAGCATATACTGAATGAGCCTGCTGACAAGCAGCCCTGCTCGCCAGGCAGGTGCAAAGATATTTGTGGCACAGACAGAGCATGGCTGAACAGCAAGAACAGTATGTCCCTGCTATTTTGGGACAAAGGCCCTGGCACCCCAGGGAGCACCCTGAAGCTTTCTATAATGTCTGCCTGAGGCAGAGTCTGAGAGGACAGCAGAGGAAGTGCCTCATACCTGAGGCAAGTCTGATCATACCTGAAGACCTACCCAGATGGACCCAGGGAGCAAAGGGGAAGATCACTGACATCACAGGAAAGAAATTTTTAAAAACCCAGTATATGCAAAGCCCTGTGCAGATCCTCGTTTGCACAACCACAGCCAGGAAGAAGTGAGAGCTTGGGCTGGAAATGCAAGAAAATAAAAGAATTACTTTTCAGGTTAGGATGGGTCCTGGTGTATCGGGGGATGATATACTAAATGCATACCCCAGTGGGTATCAGGATGAAGGGTTTATTTATCCAATTTCTATATATATTGAAATTCCCCCCCACCACTAAAAGAAAAGTTAAGACAAAATAACGAAGCTACATCCCTACTTCACCATAGCGCAATTGCCTTTTTCTCTGAAATCAGGTGGACACAAACACATGGAAGGACATCGATCATGCACATACTCAGACAAGGAGACAGAGGAGCAACTGAGCAAAGCTGCACCATACTTGGAAATGCTCAGAGATGCCCAGACACTCCACATTTTGCCCCAGACACACAATAGTGTCACCACAGATGCCCCCAAGTACTGGACAGCATCACCACATAAGAGCAAACATGCCAGAGAACAAAACACATGACTTCAAAAGCACATGGCTCCTTGTGTTATGAACAGACAAGATAGGCAAGGGTTGCCTATTGGTGACCAGAGAGTTTCTTCAGTGTCAGTTCCAGGCAGCAGGAGACAAGAGTCTGATTTCTGCAGAGGAAGCAGAGAGCTACTCAGCCACTTCAGCACTCTGGCAGCTCAGGGCAGTGGCTCAAAACAGGAGGTATGGTGCCTCTGCAATCCAATTCACAAACCATACTATGTGAGTAAATTCCAGTCTCAGAGCACAGTGCTGGCCTCCTCACAGGATCCAGGCCTCATCTGGGTCTCAAATCCTCAGCACCTTCCTGTTGGCAGACATAGTCATCCTCCTGCAGCCACTTGTGCTTCGAAGGGGATAGAGACCAACTACCAGACTTTCAAACAAATGGGGAAATCTCATTTTATGCTTCCTTTTATTTTTGTAATCATCTCTAATTCTCAACTGGGGAGTGTCCTTGTGAAAAAAAAAACAGAACAGTTTAAATATTAATTTTGGAAATCAATCCATATGTCACACATGACTATGGGCAGCAACTATTTTAACTGCTCATCTAGTCAAACTTAGGCAAATTCAAGGGCCTTATCTGATGGTTAGAAATGGGGTATTAGTGTGTCCTTGTTTTTATAAAGCCCCTTGAGACAGACATTATAAAAACTAGTCATCTCAATAACTTGGCACATGATTTACAGAAAACACCAAATTAATTGTAAGGTACTAAACATACAGAAACTCTTCTCTTCCCACTCCCAGAAGACACTAGTCTTTTAGATCATGGAACACCCAGGCCTTGGGTGCCCAGCCAGGATCCTCAGGTAATTCCAAGAGCGTATGCATGCACACAGACTATATTTGCAAGCTCAGTAGACTGGGGAGGGGGCGGGAAGAGAACTGCAGTGGGGTCAGGGTATACGGCCCAGCCTCTACACAGGGGAAGACTCTGGTGACAAGTACTCTCTTGCACAGATGCAGAGGGAGCAGGTCCCACAGGACCACACAGATCATAGGGACATCAGCCAGGCCCCTCCATGGTAGCCTCTCAAGTACAAAAGAGGTTCTGAATGCTTTCTAGACTTTGTCACTCACAAAACCACCACATAATTTGACAAGACATTATGCACATATGAATAAAAGGAAAAAAAAATAATAATTTGACAAGACACTTGGACATGCTCTGAAGAAGAAACCATACATACAATGTTGCAGATTTATAAGAGCATCTAGTCATGCACTGTGTGGACACAGTCACAAACCCCCAGGTTTGTGACCTATACCATCCTCTGCATTCTCTCACAGAGATACACCAACACCTCAACTGCAGCCTCCCTGTCAACCTCCGATGTGTATATGCCACTGCTAGCACCAACCACACTCCATTGGACAGCTTCACCATTCACTTCCCCATCCCTATACCTCTCAGGGGCTTAAGCCAACTCTCACCTAGACCAGCCCAGTCGCCACCAATCCCTTTTGCATCCAGTTGGCAAATGGCCTTTGGTACAGATCCATGCACATTGCCCCAGGAGCCACAGACTGCCTGTAAGACCAAGCCAGGGCCATACCCCCCCAGAGACAGTCACTGAGGGAGCCCAGTAGCACACCTCTCACAGACATCTGCTTGTGTCTGTCTGGATGAGCAGGTGCTTGACATGCTCCCTGTGGAGCTGAATTCCTTAAGCACATACCCAGTGCCCACAACCAGGGCTCCAAGATGCTTGTCAACTACATGGACTGCTAAATGCTGGAGCTCACCTGAGCAGCCCATCCTGTCACACACAAGAGCTCACCTGCGTAGCCTGTCCGTGCAGCTCCTGGGGCTTGGCCAGCTCTGCTCGTGACTTCTGTGTCTCAGTTGCCAGTGCATCTCCCAGCTCCTGCAGGGTGGCTTGGTGCTGGTGCTCTAACAACAGAACCTCAGTGCCTACCCTGTCCAGAGCTGCAACCTTCTCCTCCTCCAGCTGGCGCCTCTGATCACACAGGGCTGCAGCTAGCTTCTCCTGCCAAGAGAGCATCCACAGGTGTCACACCCCAGGGCACTGCGCCCTCCCCAGGCTTACCATGGGTGCAAGGTGGCAAACATTCCACATGCTTCTCACAATTAAATTTTGCCACCAATAAACTTCAGCCATGGTTGAAAATATGTATTTTCACATATGTGTGATATGCATGTTTCTGCTTTCTGAATATTCTCTTAGAACTTCACTTTCTTTAAACTAAATGAATCAAGAAAGCCTACAGGCTTGGATCCACAGGTTGGAACAAATGCACCCCCAGCATCTGCCACCTGAGACCCAGCCAGGATGAGAGACACTGAGACAGAGGCTGTGGTTGTGGCTGTGCCTGCAGAGGCAGGACTCACCTGGGGCCTCCCAGCAGTATCAGACAGCAATCTAAATCAGTCCAGATAGACGGCATGGCTCCACCTTCTCTGGGCCAGTATAGATGCTAGGACACTGTACCCACCATCCCACGGGCAAGGAGACAAGCACCTGGGGCAGCGTCTGGCCCAGGGTCCATAACTCCCAACTGCAAAATGAACTACACAGAACAGTCCTGTCCATCTCAGGAAGATGGAATCCCACAGGCTAGGAAAGGGCATGAGGAAGTATGAAGCATGCTCAGTAAGATAGTTGCTGGCCCATGGACATTTCACCAGAAACTCACCTTCATACAAAAAAAAAAACCTGATGTGCCTGTCAAAAGGATAGTCACTACACTTAAGAAAAGCATTTAATTTCAGGAACTATCAATAGAAAGAGCCAAAGCTCTATACACACAACACAAATATCAGATCTACCTACTTGAGCATCAAAACCACACCTCAGGGCTGGTGAAGTGGCTCATGTGGTAGAGCACCTGCCTAGCAAGTATGAGGCCCTAAGTTCAAACCTTAGTACCATAAAAAAAAAAAAAAAAAGAAAAAAGAAAAACCACATCTCATAGCAGAGACTCAGGTTGACCTCAAGGAGATCCTGAAAACCACTCCCATGCACTTATATAAAAACTATGCCCCAAATACCTGGAAACCCACTGTATGTGCCATCAGCAGAGAGACCAGAAGTCACCACTGCTGTCAGCATTTATGAGACACACAGACACACATGCAAAATGCACACAGATATGTAAACACACAGTCAGTCACAAGGGCACAACACAGACATATGCACACGCCTCACAGAGATACACACTGACCTATGTGAAGGCACACTGACACTTAAAGATGTGTGCGAGCGCACACACACACACACACACACAAACCATGTGGCCAACACACACAGATAACAAGGAAAACCCGACCTGTGCCAGAGGAAGGGGCCTCCAGTACCTCACCTGGTGTGCGCTCTGTAGCTCAGTGGACAGGGCTGTTAGCTGCTCTGTATGTTTGGCGCTCATTTCAATTCTCAGGCTGTCCTTTGCAGATTGAAGCTCCTTGTCATGTTTCAGCTTAAGTTTCTCCAACTCCTGAGTCAAAATTGCTTGGTGAGATGAGTCCTTTCTCTGTAGCTGTTCTGCAAGCTCTACTTGCAAAAGCTCCAGAGCCTGCCTGTGCTCTTGCTGAACAGTCTGAATGTCAGCCAGGTAACAGGACTCCAGAGCATCCAGGTTTGACAAATGCCTCGTCTCCAAAGCACTGATTTCAGCAGCATGTTTTTCCTGCAATTCAGCCACACGGGTCTCAAGGAGGACTCGCTGCTCACTCTTCAGGGAGGCCATCCGCTCAGCAAGCTCGGCCTGGTGCCTGTTCTCAAGCTCTGTCCTCAAAGACAGAAGCTGTTGTTGATGTCCCTGCTGCAGGAGCTGGAGCTCCTGGGTGTGTTTCTCCTGGGCCTCCCGCAGAAAGGCATCTTGTTCTGCAGTGAACTTCTCCATGATCTCTTTACGTTCCTCCAAAAACCTGAGACAACACTCAAGGTAAACACAGGCATCAAGTGCAATGAACACACTGCACCCATCCCCTCTGAACCCCGAGTCACATTTTTCACAGGAAGCTAGTTGCCTTGGCCCTGGCTCTAAACCACCCTCAGGGAGAGCTCAGGATGAGCCACAGGAAGCCCAAGTGACTCAGGGGCTGGAGTCACAGAGTCAGGCTACAGGAAGGATACAGCATCAACAGGGAAACTGCATATGCATCCCTATAGGACCACACACAGCAGGAGCAACAAGTCACTTCAGGTCCTCAGCCCACTCTGCACCACAAGGAAGGGTATTACCTTCAGGGGCCTGTGGAGTTAATGGCAGCAATCCTAAGGGAAGACTTAATTCTAACAAGAAGAACAGGGGCCCTCCCGTGGAACCATGAGCTCAGAACAGTGCAGAGGTCCCCAATGCTTGTCATGATGCATTGGCAAGAGCTGTGACTCTCTGGCAACACACTCAGGATCTCTACCTCTCCTGTGAGAGGTTTGTCCTTTCACTTAATAAATTTTCTACCTTTACACTAAAAAAAAAAGTTGTAACTCTCTGTGCTAACCCAGCCAGATACTGTAAGAGTCCTTTCACAGAATTTCTCATTTAATCTTTCCATGATGTGGGGCAGTAAGATCCCATGGGGTTGAACATCTGGCCCAGATGTGGTAAGTCTGAATCCTGAACTCAATTTCTCAAACCCAGAGTGAAACTCCTGCGCATCCTTGTGATGCTGGGGAGAGGCTGGGGAGGACAGAGGACAACAGCAGGTCCAATGGCCCAATGACAAGAATGCCTAGACATCCACAGCACAGGCACTGAGGTCTGCAAAAGGGTTGACACTACTAGAGGCCAACAACCTGGTTACGCTCTGAATTTACCCAAAACTTCGGGGAACTATATTTTAGGAAAAACATTTTAAAAAGGTTATGCTTAAGTTAAAGGAATGAGAAAAGCACCCATCTAAATGAGCTGCATATCCATGTGATTCCTCAGAGGGCTCTGGTTCTGCATGTTTTTTTGTTCGTTTGTTTTTTTGGCAGTACTGGAGTTTGAACTCAGAATCCTGTGCTTGCTAAGCAAGCACTTAACCACTTAAGCCATACCTCCAGCCCTTTTTGCTTTAGGTCATTTTTCAGATTGGTTCTTGTGTTTTTGTCCAAGCTAGCCTGAGATCTTGTTCTTCCTACCTATGCCTCCCAGATAGGTGGGAGATAAAGTCTTAATTTCTTTTTTGTTGAGATAAAGTCTTAATTTCTTGCCCAGGCTGGCCTCAACTGTGATCTTCCTGATCTCTGCCTCCCAACTAGTGAAATCTTAAAACATGAAAATGAATAGAAGTATAGACAGGTGTGGTGGTGCATGCCTGAAATCTCAGCATTCGAGAGACTGAGGTACAAGGAACAAGAGTTTGAGACCAGTGAGAACCTTTCACAAAAACCAAAAACAACAACAAAAAAACCACAAAGTCCAGGCATAGTGGTACATGCCTATAATCCTAGCACTCAGGAGCCCAGGTTACACAGTGAGACTCTGTCTCAAAAAAAAAAAGAAAAAAATAGCGGGCTGGAGGTGTGACTCAAGATGCATGCTCCACAAGGAGCAACAGGTGCCCTGCTGCCGGTATATCTGTCACAGAGCACAAGACTGTCCCCTTGTGGTTTGTGGTGAAAACTTGCCCCACACCTCCTTCCAGATCTGCCCAGCTGAGAGCCCCACTGCAGATCAAGGGCACCTGCCTCTCAGTCTCTGCCAGCATCTCTAGCAACCAGCTTCACAGCCTCACCTACCTGTTCTGGGCCACCATCAGCTGGAGGGCACAGTCCTCCTTTTCACGGAGTAGCAGGGTATGCTCCCCGTCCTGGGCTGCAGGGGGCTCCTGGCCACACTGACTGCACAACAGAGCCTCATCTGCAGTGAGTCCTTGTTCCAGCTGCCGCAGGCGGCTCTGCTGCTCCATCAGGGACCTCTCCAGGCCCAGGATCTGGGCTGCCTGCTGGTCCTGAAGGTGCTTCATGCTCGCCTCTCGCAGCTCAAACCTGCTCATTATAGACTGTTTCTCAGACTCAGTCTGTTCTCTCAGCTCAAGAAGCATCGAGGCTAATCTCTCCTCAGCTTTTCTCTTTAGGTCCTCATGTGAAAGCTCCCACTCCGCTTCTTTTTTTTTGAGCTCTTGTTTCATTAGCTGAATTTTCTCCTCAGCTTTGTTTCGTTCCTCCTGATGATCTTCAACTAGAGCATGTTTTACCTATAGATGACAAGAGTATATTAAGAGGAAAGCAATTAAAGGGGAAGATCAGGAGATGGGAAACTTCTACAACACACAAAACCATGCTGAACGCAGCACTGGAATGCTTCCTGTGTGGATGACAATGGAAGGAACCTAAAATAATCAAATTTAACATTTCCTGCTTGCCTCAACAAAAACTAACACCTAAAAAAAATACATAAGACTGGAGCATAGGCCTCCTCTGTTATGACCAAGAGCAATGGCAACTAAGACCCAGCCCAGCCTGGGTCTTCTGCAAAGCAAGGCCGCCTCCAACAGGAGCAAGATTAGAAGTCCAAGAGACATGAGAAAAGCAAACAGTTACTGAGTTCCAGTCTCCTGAGCTGTCATACACTAGACTAATAATTCTAAAGGTGCCTTGTGAACAGGGAGGAGAACGAGAAACTTGACGCAAATACCTCAAGTTTCAAAAGGGAAGAAAACATTCCAATAAATCTCTAAATGTCATCAATAAGAAACCAAAGCCAAAATAGAAATATGAAAGTGGTCTCAATTCCTTACTACGGTCCTGCTTCTGACAACTACTGCCAGCCCTGATCAAACCAACCCTCCAGGGATGATGGCTGCAAACTTTCACTGGACTGTTAATAACTATGAAGTCCCTGAGGAGAGCCGAGGGATAGGCTAACCCTGGAAGTGGGCTTGACACTCATGAGGAAAGGGCCTTGGGTCATTTGTCTTTCAAGGCTTCTGGCTGACAGTAAAGTCTCACTGTGCCCTCTGCACAGAAATCCCATAACCTCACTTGTGTGAACCTTAGGACAGAGTCAGGCTGGCTCCAAACCTCAAGCTGGCCCTTTATCCATACATATATACAACAGACTATCTAAAACTTAAAGAACTCTATACTGAGCCCAAAACAGAGAAGATGGAGGAGTCTGAACTTAGCCAAGCTAACTGCTTGCTGAAACAAAAAAGCTAAAAGTTTTTAGAAGAACTTAAGAGAATACAGTTTCTGCACCACAGGAGACCCTGGTATCCACAGGTATATGGTACCAAGCAAACTGCCACTGAGGAAAAACCACGGATAATCAGGATGCGTGGAGTGTAAACACAACTGATGATAATGCAGAATTGACTGAGAGCTTCTCTACGTCAACCGAGCTGCGCAATGAACATGGGAAATTTTCTTTTGACTACACTTGGAAAACTGAGTATGATAAACCCACAATCAAGGCAGGCTTACTGAATATCACTCACAATGTCCAAACTAACTTTTTTTTTTTTCCAGTACTGGGGTTTGAACTCAGAGCCTACACCTTGAGCCACTCCACCAGCCCTTTTTTGTGATGGGCATTTTTGAGATAGGATCTCACAAACTATTTGCCCGGGCTGGCTTCAAACCACAACCCTCTTGATATCTGCCTCCTGAGTAGCTGGCATTACAAGTATAAGCCACAGACGCCCAACAGTTTTAAGTAATATCTTTCCTGACCCAAAAAAAATCTGCCATCTAGACATTTTATGCAATAAAGATATTCTTCAAGAATAAAGAGGATGGTCATGGTGGTACATACCTATAACCCCAGCTACTTGGGAGGCAGAGATAAGAGGATTGCTGTTCAAGACCAACCCAGGCAAAAGTTAGAGACATCTTAAAAAAAAGCAAGCTGGGTATGAAGTGCACGACTGTAATCCCATGCACTCAGGATGTGAAACAGAAGGATTACAATTCTAGGCCTTCCCAGACTAAAGCACAAGATCCTATCTGAAAACAAACTAAAAGGAAAAGGATTAGGGGAGTGGCTTAAGGGGTAGAGCAAAAAATATTAAGGTTGAAAAAAAGACCTAGGTTGAAGCAAAAACCTAGTCAAATAAAAGAAACCTTGTGTAGAAAACCTATACAAGAAATGCTGAAGGAAATTCTCTAGGCACTAAAGGGAAATGATACGCACATAAACTCAGATCCTCAGAAGGAAACAAAAGACACCAGAAAAAGTCAAAATCTATTCTTCTCCTCAGTTTCTTTAACACACATGACTTTCAGAGCAAATCGTATCACATGGTGTTGTTGAGTTTACAACACAGGTGATATGTGCATCTACGATGATCAGACCTTACTATGTACGTGAAATGGTGTAATGTCAACTCTAAGAAGACTGAAAGGTTAAAGAGTATGTGTTCTAATCCCTACAGCAGCCATTAAAAACAATGCAAAGAAGTATAACTTAAAAACCAACCAATATACCATGTACTCAGGCCTGCAATTCTAACAACTGAGGAGGCAGAGATCAAGAAGAACGCAGTTCAAGGCCAAACCAGGCAAATAGTTCAAGAGACCCCCATCTCGAAAATACCCAACACAAAAGAGGGCTGGCAGAGTGGCTAAAGTGGTAGAGGGCCTCAGTTCAAACCCCAGTACCACAAACAAAAAAAGGAAAAAAAAATCCAGATACGTTAAAATCAATTCCAGAAAATATTCAAATAATCCAAAAGGCCAAGAAAAAAGAAACAAATAAAAATCACAACAGAGTGAAATGGTAGACCTAAGTCCAGTCACATCAATAATTACGTTAAATGTTTTAAGTCCTGACCACTATATTTAAAAGGCAGAAATCAAAATGGATCAAATAATACCTAACTATGTGCTGGCCATATGAAATGCACTTGACCTTCAACAGAGTAAAATGGAGCTAGCAGAGCGGCTCAAGTGGTAGAGCGCCTGCCAAACAAGCGTGAGGCCCTGAGTTCAAACCCCAGTGCTGCTAAAAAAAAATAATAATAATAAAATGGATAGAAACAAAAGGAAAAGAAAATACACATAAAGGCTGAAGGTTGGGTATGACTTCATTAAGAAAAGAGAAAGTCAATCTCAAGACAAGGAATATTAGAAAAGGACCATTTCATTAATGATAAAAGTTGTATTTTTCAGGAAGACATTATACAATCATAAATGTGTACATATATAGTGACAGAAATTCCAGATATGTAAAGCAAAAATTAACAAAAATAGGCCAGGCATAGGGGCATATGCCTTTAATCCTTAGGAGGCAGATACAGGAAGATCACAATTTGAGGCCAGCCCAGGCAAAAATTACCAAGACTCTGTCTCAAAAACAAGACAGGTGTGATAGTACACGCCTGTAATCCCAACTACTCAGGAGGTGGAGGTTAGAGGATCACAGTCTGGGGTCAGCCTAGGCATAAGCACAAGACCTTAAAAAAAAAAAAACTAACTAAAAGCAAAAGGATTGGGAATGTGGTTCAAGTGGTAGAGGACTTGACTAGCAAATGCAAGGCCGAGTTCAATCCCCAGAACCCTTACTTGGCAACTGATTCATCAGATCAAAAGGTGGCCTGGGAAATACATATATACATGAATATCAAGAAGTCCATCAGGAAAGTCTGTCTTCAGTGAACAGTGCCTGAAAGATCGCATGCCACCGGCTGCAGTGCCTGAAAGATCGCATGCCACCGGCTGCAGATGTCAGCACGTGCGCAGACGCTGACCTACGCACTGTCCCCCGTGCTGTTTTCCACAAGGTTCTCCTCTTAAGCTTTCTCGATCAAAGTCCCTACCAATACCTTAGTTTGAAAATAACATGATGATGAAACGTTCAGATAAAAACAGCTTCCTCTGAAACTGTCCTGATGGAGAATGAAAATCCTCAAAGGCATTCACAAAGAGCAAGGGCATGAGAACAGAGGATGAGAGCACACACAGGGAACATGGTTTAGTCAACACACACATGCAAAAGACACAGAAATGCACTTCAATTATATATCCAACATTATGACAAGACCTTGAACTGCACTGGCTGCATAACAAAGCCCTTTCATAACTCTGAAGAGGGTGAAGTGTTACCACTGTATCCACAGTCACTTTATCAAACTCACAGGAAGGCTAAGAAGGAGCTCAGTATGTGCAGTTCCTGGAAGAGCCTGGAGAATGTGGACATTTTGAGACACTGGGATGAAGGTCAGAATCGGCCAGTGCCTCTCCTTGAAGCCCCTAGGGACACATGGTCATTTTCCTAGGAAGAAGTCAAAACCAGTGCTGGCCCAGGATAAGTTGCTATCTGACCCTGTCTTGCAAACTGCCCCTGCGTTTTATTGGGAGGGCCAGTTCTGAGAGTCTGGTGGACTAATATCCCAAAGACCTAACATGCACAGTCTCAGGGCATCCCCAGGACCAGCCTGGGGAAGTGCAGAGCCTCCCTGTGGGAGTCATTACTCACACTTTCCAGGTCCTCTTTCAGACGGGTCTCATGCTGTAACTTCTCATGCAAATTTCGGTTTTCTATTTTTAAGAGTTCAATTTCTTCCCTGAGCTCAGTCTGAAGAAGTGAAAGCTTAACTTTGTGCTCAGCTTCCAAACCCAGGACTCTGGCCGCCACCTGTGTGTTTACTTCCAACGTCCCATTCTGCGCATACTGGGGATGCACCTGTATGAGCTCTGGGGAACAAGGAAGCAGGGAGAGCAGTCATACATGGAGCACCAACAAAATAGCGACCTTGACAGGACTCAGGCAACAGAACAGCCTTGGCATAGTCTGTGTCCCCTCTACAGGGCACAGTGCTATCTTGCCCTGAGTGGTAGGCATACCCCAGAGTCTATACAGCAGTCACCTGGCCAGTCCAGGCTGCTCCTTCAGGTCAGGCATGACAGGCAACCACTGCTGATCACCCAAGGTAAGCCTCACACCTATCATTGGACATGAGCAGATGCATGTTGTTTGAAGCTTCAGACCAAAGACTGCGCCTGAGGGCTGGGTCTGTGAGATGGGCACACTGTTCCCCTCCACCAGGCCCAGGTCTCTCTCTACAGAAGAGGGAAACAAAGGCACAAACCCTGAAATAAGAGCAAGGACAAGCCCCATCCCAGGGGCAGCATGAAGCACCAGCAGCACCAATGACTGAGTGTGCCCTGGAGAGGTTCGGCCCAGATGCAGAAAGGACAAGAATAATGAGGGGCAGATGTACCTGTCAGCTCCTGGCTCTCCAGTGGGACAGTGCTCCTCTCAGCCTACTCCATCCAGCCCCACGTGAGTTCTTGGCCAATAGATAGGCTCTTATACCACAGTACTACAGTGAAGAGCCAGATCATACTCCCTTAAGGTGGGGTCTTTGACCCTGGCCTCCTCATCTCCACCAGAAATGACCCTGGGGCTGAGCAGAGCACTAGCCACACCATCACTGTGTTTTACAACAGCAATCCTTGGCTGCCCACCCCTCCTGAAATCACAGACAATGGCCACTCTCTTGTCCCATGGGACCATGCCCCTGGAATGACTGTGGCTTCTCTATCCTACCACCCCTGACTACCTCACAGCCCCATCCCTTGTGCCCTAGCTGATGACCCACAGCCTTAGGCTCACCAGCAAACTGCTAGACTGGGCCAGAGGGAGCAGAGCAGGTCTCAATAATATTCCCTCCTGAAGGTGAATGGCGCTACCCTGGTGCTGCCAGTACTCCATGCTTTGTGACGTCCCCTCCTGAAGGTAAGCAGTCAATACCTGTGCCCAATGTGCCATTCCCGTCAGGCCAACCCTAGTCTGAAGAAAAACATCTGTAGACAGAGCAAGCCAGCAGCCACAGGTTCCCCCATGGCCAGCCCTCTCCTAACTCCAACTTGTACAATAGCACTCGCTCAGGGCCGATCCTTCACAGCAAGGGTCAGTACTTCCACATGGGAGGAAGGCTCATGGTCCTCATGTACAAAGTACCACGTCCAGCAGAAGTGACAAGGCAAAGGTGTAAATCACAACTGAGGCACTAGCCTTCCCCAGGACCTCCCCACAGACTTGAGCTTGTGACACAGCACAAGAACCAGGAAGGCTCCCGGGCAGACTGGGTACACACCTTGGCTGTGCTGGTCTGAAGGCGTGGATGACAGCTGCTCCAGCTCCAGCACCTCAAGCCCTACGCAGTGTCTGTCTGATTCATCCTCTTTGAGCGGGACATGGAGGGAAGAACTCAATACTTCTGGGCACCTGTGGTCTTCTTCTAACCCTGCTTGTAAACATGTCATGCTCTCCTAGGGAAAACCATGTAGGACAGATGTGTCAGTGTGTTTGGCTACCTCATTCACCATTATTACCCTTGAAGGCATTTCCTGCTGCATTCAAAGAAATTCATAAGCCTCAGTAGATTCGCCAGACCACACAGGCGATCCCTTGTGCACCTCAGGTCACAGGTGCATCCGCAGCACGTCTCCCTGTTCACCACATCCAAATGGGCCTGGAGAACCCACAGAAGTAATGGCAGGAGTCTGAGGACAGTGTGTGCCACAAAGCATGTGGCCATGGAGTCAGGCGGAAGTCCCTTCCCCATGGCTATGAAGGTTGTCACAGCTCATCACAGCTGGGTTTCTGCTATCTCAGACCCCAGGGAATTAAAGACAGGACCTGAGAGTTCCAGGAGGCACAGTGACACATGGGAGATAACACTGCGACTGTGAGCATGAATCCAGCTCAGATGTCAAGGACAAACTGTAGTTCATCTGCACTGTGCACTCCAGGGGAATGAATGCCAAAGGCACTGCTTCTAGGGCAATGAGGACATGGGCCGGCCAGATGGGAAGGGTACCCAGGAAATTGGGATAGGAGCACAGGGAGACCTCAGGAGACACAAAGGGCAAAACAGATAGCAGAGGGAAGCATCCAGGAAAAACAGACAACATGCTCAACAGCAGGTGTGGGCACAAAGGAAAACCAGGGATTGCAGGGCACTACAGCACCTCTTGTCATGCCTGTGTGCACGTGAGCACACATACCAGCAGCCATACCAACAGCAAGAAAACGAACACAAGGTAACTCTATCACACCCACCCTGAGCTGGGAAAAGCCTGCTATTCACAGATGCATACAGGTAAGATCCCAAGTGCTGGCAAATAATCTCTGATGAGTTGAATTATATCCTTTCTCCCAACCTCACAATGCTGCAGTTCTAACCCCTAGGATCCTAGATGGGACACTATTTGGAGATCAAAAGGTAAAATGAGGTCATCAGGATGACTAATCCAACATGACTATGTCCTCATGAAGGAGATCAGGACACAGATACACACAACCCTATGAGAACACAAGGAGAAGATGGCATCTACAAGTCAAGGAGAGGGTCCCAAGGAACAGACCTGCAATCCCTTCACCTTGCTTTTATAGCCTTCAAGACTTAGACAATAAACGTTTATTATTTAAACCAAGTCTATGGGGTTGGTAGAGTGGCTCAAGTGGTATAACACCTACCTAGTAAGTGTGAGGCCTGGAGTTCAAACCCCAGTATTGAAAAAACAAAAAGAAATAAATAAACCAAGTCTATGTTATTTGCTACCATAACCCCAAGTCGACTGATACAATATAAAAAAAAGAAGAACAGCCGTCATCCCAGACTAGGCAGAGAGCATCTGTACTCAGGCCACTGGCTGTACTGAGGGCTGCACTGCCCTGGATGTCAGGACCTGGGACTGCTGGCATTTCCAAGAATGACCATCAAGTAACCCAGTCACACAGCCACACAAATGCTCACCAGCCACGTGTGCTGGTGGCCACCATGCTGTCTGCACAGGCCTAGAATGTTCCATTATTCCTGGAAATTATTTGAACAGCACTGTACCACAAAAGATTAAAAAAAGTCAACAGCATGGGGACAATTCAAAGAAGAAAGAACATAAAGGACAAAGAAAAGACACGTGACATGTAACTCAAAGTCAAACAGTTTGTCCAAGTCAAAGCTGACACAAGTACACAGCACAGAGCAAAGTAGAGGAGGCCTTGCTGACATCAGGCCAGGAGACAGAGTAAGAGGGACTCAGGGACAGAAAGGCACAGTGCCCTCTCCAGACTTTGCCCATGATCCACAGACAGGGCAGAATGCATAAGTGAGGTCAGCAGAGATGTTTCCAAAATGGAAATACCTTCTGCATGACACATCATTGAGGAGGATGGAAAAGTGGATTTTATGACATGAAAGATGGCCCATTTCTAAATTAAAACAATGACAACCTTTTCTCAGTGTTCAGGGGTGAAAAAAAAACGGGCTGGGAGGTGTGGTTCAAGTGGTAATGCACTTGCTGTTAAGGCCCTGAGTTCAAACCCCAACCCAAAAAAAAAAAAAAAAATATATATATATATATATATATATATATACACATATATATATATCAGCCTGTCACCTTCTGCTGCTCCAGTTGAAGATTAAATTGGTCAGGGTGCTCTTTTCTTTCTCTGCCAGATGTCTCTTCTAAAAATACACCAGATGAACTAGGAGAGAAAACATGTTTAAAAAGCTTTGCGTGCCCCTTTCTTTTCACTGTGCCCACTCTGTCCCTGGGGCCAAATGCACAGAGCTAGTGTCCATGTCAAAGACAGGATGGTTCTGGTCTGCACATTGCTCCTGGAATTATGGCACAAGCAACTGAGACTAGACAGCAGGGTGCCCACATGCTACCACCGGGGCTGCATGCCAGTAACTCAGCAGGAAGGCATAGGACACACCTGGTTCTAATGCCAGTGCTATCTCATTTCCACAGAATGTGTTGCTAAAACACAAGTCTTCTGTCTCCACTGGCACAACATCACAAACTAGAGAACTGCAATCCCAGAGCAAGGTTCCCACATTTTAGAAACCAACTCATGACAGAAGTTGCTTCCTTTACCTTCCCAGAGAAGAATCTTCCCTCGTCTCCTGCAGCCGTTGCTGGAACACGGTCAGGTCTTCTTGGTAGGTTTTCTCAGCATCCCTCAACTTCTTCTCAAAATAGACCCTCAGCTGCTCCAGTTCACACTCGTGCTGGGCTCTGTCTCGCTGCTGCTGCTGAGCAAAGTCCCACCGCAGGTGTTCCAGCTCCTCCAGGTGAGATGTTTGGGCCAGAAGCAGCTCCCGTGACTCTTCAATAGGATGAAGCACAATCACCCATGGCAAAACACAAAAACCAGGAGATGAGGAGACATGAGTGGATTCTGAGTGAATAAGGAACCCCATGGCTCACTCAGCATCTCAGGAGCCCCTTAAAGGCAGAGTTTTCACTGCCAGTGGTACAAGAGCCAGAGTAACTAACTCCATGAGGCAGGAAGTACAGATCCAGCTGACAACCAGCAAGAAAACCAACAGGCTTCCATCCTACAACCTTAAGGAACTGGATCCTATCACAATATCAACAAGCCTGGAAGTGAATTTGGGGCAACACATAGCTTCTAACACCTGGATTTCAGCTGTGAAAGATACATCACCTCTTGACTTCCTATGCACTCAAAACAGTGTGTTTGGGGGCCACCAAATCTTTGATAATTTGCTGCACATCAAAAGAGAAGCAACACAGACTACATGTAAACTTGTGGCACTGAGAATGCTGCTAGTTGGCCCCTGGAATCCCTAACAACTTGCACTAAACCGGTCACAACCCCAGAGGTTCAGATCAAGTTCTCTGTCTAGGTCCTCAGATGTAGGATAAAGACTCACAGTTGAACTCTCTAGACTGCATACAGAATCAGTTCTGCCTCTGGCTCCATCAGCTTCTCTCTTCTCCAGCCTTCAGTGACATACAGACCCCAAGGGAATGACAAACTGACACAATGTATACCACATCTGGCCACAGACAGAGCTCAGGGCTGGGAGTAAGAGAGCAGGTTTCATCCACCATCAGAAATCATGTGACAAAGGGCATGTGGAATGGCCCTGTTTCTGGTCCTTTCTCATAACTGCAACTTGTTCCAAACCATGTTTACCCTTGGGGCAGGCAATCAGCAGGCCTAAAGGCTCTGTTTGCAAATGAATGCCAGGAAAAGGACACTGGTCTGTGCCAAGCTCCTGTGCCAGGACTGTGGCCTGAACTGGGCCTGGCTGTTTCTGCCTATCCTGAATCAACCACATTCCTCCTGCTGTACAAAGACCTCCCTGAGATAAAAGCTGGGACCTGAGACTCGGGGCCTGCAGAGCTCAGTTGTAGGGGCCCAGCAGATGTGACCACAGTTGCTGGGCCCTAGAAACTCAGGTGTTGCCCTCCAAAACAGGAGCTGGGGTCACAAGAGTCTGACAGCACTTGCTTCAAGGCAGCTCCCAGGATCTGCAGGTCAGTGAGCTGCTGGCAAGGCATCATCCTGGGACCCCAATGCCTACTAAGAACTTCATGTCTATGGCACTCTGTGGTGTTTGCAGAGGCACAGCTAAGCAACCCATGGTGCTTCACCTGACACACAAATGATCAATCACTGGGGTTGCTGCTCAGTGCACACACTAAGGGACAAAACCAAGGCTCTCCCAACACAGGATCTCCATCCTGAAACAATACACATCAACCTTCAAGATGTAAAACGAGCAAGTTTACAAAGCAATTATTTTGTGTATGTTACAACTATTAAACTCTGGTTTAGTGTTTCAACAATCAAAAACATAACTTTAGGGCTGAGGTTACTTCCTGGCATGGGCAAGGCATTATGTTCCACCCTTAGTACCACAAAAAAAAAAAAAAAAAAAAGCTTTAGCTTTGAAGGTAGGTTCTGAATCGCCCAAACAAAATTTCTCACCACTTGGTTCCTCTCTGTTTGTTCGCACAGACTCCAGCTGGGACCAGAGGTGCCTGATTTCTTCTTGTGACTGGGCCTTCAGATCTTCGTAAGATGCCTGAAGATTCTCTAACTGTGGAAGAGGAAAACAACCCATGAGGACCTAAGATGAGCCTAGGGAAGTACCCATGTGGTTCTATACCACTGTTTGTGTTTCCACAAACACCTCAGGGCCTCACATCTGACACACAAGAGTGGAACCTGGGTGGGGTAAGAGCTTAGACCCCAAAGCTGCAGCTCAGAGATCAACAGCAGCAGCAACCAGAGAGGAGCAACATGAGGCCAAGGTCAGAGTCATTGCCACTGTAAAATTAACAGCCAGCGGAGCACAGGGACATGCACTTGTCATCCCAGCTGCTCAGGAGGATCACTTGAGCCCAGGAGTTTAGGGCCAGCCTAGGCAACACAGTGAGATCCCAACTCAAAAAAGAAAAGTAATGTTCTGGTTTGTTCACAGTACGTCAGCACAGCCATACCCTGGGAGCAGAATGGCTACCTGTTTGCTGGTGTAAGCCACAGCTGTGCTGTGCTCCTGCAGCATGCTGCCCCACTTTCACCTCTGTGAAACTGAGTCTGTGTGCAGCCACTTAGCAGAGTCACATGGACAAGACTCCACAGCAGGCTTAGTAGTACACTAGGTTCTACACACTAATGTGGGACTGTCTCAGGAAACACCACTCATCACAAAGTAAGGTTCTTCTTTTTTAAAAGAAGCAGTGTACCTCTCACACTTTGATACTACACACTGCTACATCCTATCATCAAGAGTCCACAGACTGGGGCTTGGCATGGTAATCCCAGCTACTCGGGAAGCAGAGGAAAGACCTATGGCTCCACGTAAAAGCATGAAACCCTACCTAAAAAAAACAAACAAAGGCAGACCAGGTGTAGTTGCTCATGTCTGTAATTCCACCTACACAGGAGGTAGAGATTGGGAAGATCGTGGCTCAAGGGCAGCCACAGCAAAAAGTTAGTGAGATCACCCCCCCATCTCAACAAAGCTAGTAGCGCAAATCTATAATCCCAGGTAGGCTAGAGGAATAAGGAGAACTCAGTCCAAGGCCAGCCCAGGGCAAAAATGCAAGATTCTATCTGAAAAATAACTAAAGCAAAAAATGGCTGGGGTGTGGCTCAAGTGGTAGAGCACTTTGCCTAGCAAGCACAAGGCCCTGAGTTCAAACCCTAGTAACACATACACACACACACACACACACACACACACACACACAGAGTCCACAAGTTGTGCTTACAGAGCACAACTTGATGTGCTGGGCCTCTGCTGTGGACTCTCAGATTTTAGGAACAGCAAAGAACACCCTTAGCAAAGACACAACAATGTCACCAGAACCAGGCATAGGTGGAGACTTGGGTCAGACTGATGACCCCCTCCATGGCATTTGCACACGGCCCAGGCTTCCAGGACCAGCTGGTGGCTGCCCCAGCAGGAGCCTCAATAGCATGAGGACTTGTCAACACACCAATAAAATGAGGAAAACAACTCACTTTTAGGAGTGTTGTCCACACAGGAGCTGGTCTTCCCTGCAGCAACATGTTTTGCCTTTCACAGTTCTCTGATCAGATCAGCTTACCACACTGAGCAAGGATGCATTCTTCTGACAGTCAGTGAGGAGGCTCCAGAGCAGGGCCATAGGCCAAGCCAGAAGGGCTGGGCCAAAAGACATGTCTCATCATCCATCACCCTAGGGGCCACAGCCCTGTGGTGACTTGGGAAAACACAGAGGGCCATAGCCTGAAGAAAAGCCTGGAAGGTCCAAGCAGAAGCCAGCCTGTCCTCGGCACAAGAAGGAGTGCAGGCCCCGGAGCTGTGGAAGGCCCAGGCAGGCCTCTTGCAGACCCCAGAACTGGACACTTGGTCTTCTTAGGTCTATAATTATAACTTGGTTTGTTCTTTTTAATTTCTTAAACTGATAGTTAATTCTTGGGTTTGATAATGAAAGCAGAATCTAGCAGATCTATATTTGACATGTAGTAGTTCACTAGAAAAGGGTCTTGAATATATAAGCAGCAGAAATGTTTTTAGTTAACTTTTTTTTTTTTGGAATTTCTTGTCTATTGAATGGTGATCAGAGAAAGTGGACTTCACTCAAGTTTGAGGTTTTGTGAATGTCTCTAGTGCTTGTAAAGAATATGCATCTTCTTAATTCAAGATTGAACATAATTAATACATGAGACTCACAGACTCTGTATCTGTACATGTCTGTTTACCAAACACAAAAAGCCTTTTCAAATTTACTACTTAAGTCTCAGCAGATAACAAATATAAAATGGGCCAGCTCCCAAAACCTTTTAAAACATCTCTAATAAACTAATTAGAAACAAGTAAGCTCTTGCCTACCTCCAGTTGTTTTTCTTTTTCCCGTTCTCTGAATTTCAACTCCATGTCTTGCAAATACTGGCTACGTTCTGACTGCAGGTCTTCCTGCAACTTCTTGATGGCTGCCTGGTGCTGAGCTTCCAGGTTCTTCAGAGAAACTAGAAAGCAGTACAGATTTCTCCTAGCCCATGTCAAGATGACACTTTCCACGACATCACAGATCACACACAGAGCACCATCCCTGCCATGCCCTACCCTGGGTGCCAGTGCACACCAGAACAGGGTATCACACCAGGAGCATAGCTGGAGGGACAAAGACTAGCCATCCTCTGCTTTCCTGAAGTAGGAGCAGACACAGTGACATGCGACAGCAACCCTGACCCACAAGGATCACTGTGGAACACACAGCCCTGGAGCCTCAAGAGCAAACAATCATGATCCAACTGATTCAACTGTCATTTAGTAACTGAACATGCAAAAGCTACCTTTGAAACAAAAGTCGGAACGGTTGAGGGACCTTATGAGTTGCGCCAGCTCAGCACCCAGGCCTCCCACACTTTCAGTGCCCCGTACTGGAGGCAGGCTCCACCACAGGTGTATCACTCTAGCATCACACAGGAAAGTTCATGTCCTCCAGAGCTATTTTCTGTAATCAGATGCTCACCTTCAGCCTCACTTTTGGCTTGAAACATCTTCTCCAACTGAGCTCTCTGTTCTGCCAATTCTTTCTGAAACTGGTTTTGCAAATCCTCCATTTCTGACTGATGCTTTGCAGATAACTCTTTGCGTAGATTTTCCAAGCATAACTCTCTTTCAGATTCCCAGTCTTGCTTCAGAGTCTAAGTTAAAAGAAAAAGGAGACTGAAGACCGGCAACCATGGCGCTGTGTTACCCTATGGCCGTGGGCCTCAACAAGGGCCACAAAGTGACCAAGAATGTGAGCAAGCCCAGGCACAGCTGGCACCATGGGCACCTCACCAAGCACACCAAGTATGTGCAAGACATGATCCAGGAGGTGTATGGCTTTGCGCCCTACAGGTGGCGTGCCATAGAGCCACTCACCATGGAACTGCTCAAGGTCTCCAAGGACAAGCAGGCCCTCAAGTTCATCAAGAAAAGGGTTAGGACGCACATCCGTGCCAAGAGGAAGCGCCAAGGAGCTGAGGAACGTGCTGGCCACCATGAAGAAGGCAGCAGCCAAGAAGGACTAAGCCCTCAGCCCTAATGTCCCCACAATAAATGTCTACATTCATATCAAAAAAAGAAAAAGGAGCCTGTAATCTCAGCGACTTGGGAAGTGAGATAGGAGGAAGGCAGTTCAAGACCAGCCTGGGGCCAGATGCCGGTGGCTCACACCCATAATCCTAGCTATTCAGGAGGCACAGATCAGGAGGATCGTGGTTCAAAGCCAGCCTGGGCACATACCTTGTAAGACCCTATCTCAAAAAACCCATCACAAAAAAGGGCTGCTGGAGTGGCTCAAGGTGTAGACCTTGAGTTCAAACCCCAGCACTGGAAAAAAAAAGGCAAGGGGTGGGAAGCCTGAGAACAGCTAAGATACCAACTCAGGAGGAGCCTCTAACCCACTGAGGCTGGGGGCTCACCCCTCCCAACACCACTCCTCCCAACTTCCAGGTACACCCACCCCATCCTACACTTCTGGCCACGTCCACTTCCCTCCACTGAACACAAGTCCATGAGGATAGGACACCACATGGAGGGTATGATTGGGCAATTTCACCTTACAGAAACCAACATAACACAGCAAAACAAGTCTACTGGCAAATGCAGTTATATGAACAAAGGAAAGAAATTCTTTTTTTTTTTTTTTTTTTTTTTGTGGCATTAGGGTTTGAACTCAGGGCCTTACCTTACACTTGCTAGGCAGGACTCGCCCACTTGAGCCACTCCACCAGGCCCCCCCCACCTTTTTTTTTTTAAACTTTATTTTTCAAATAGGGTCTCACATTTTTGCCCAGAGCCAGTCGCACGGACTTCAATCCTACCTATGCCTGCCTGTACTAGGATCAAAGGATGATAGGTGGCGGAAAACCATGCCCAGTTTATTGGTTAAGATGGGCTCTCAGGGAATAAAGGGTAATGACTGGGGGAGGGGGAGGGATGAATCAACGGTGATATATTGTAAGAACTTTTTTAAATGTCACAATGTACCCCCAGTACAACAACAATATAATAATAATAATAATAATAATAATAATAATAAAAAGATGGACTCTCACTAGATTTTTGCCTAAGATGGCCTCAAACACTGATCTCCCCATCTCCACCTCTCAAGTAGCTGAGATTACAGACATGAACCACCATGCCTGCAAAGAGGCCACTTCACTTTCTCCCAGCACTTTCCAATAACCTTGGACTGAGTTGCATTTGCATTAGGCAAGGGGCATTTCAATGGGACATGATGAGAAGGAAAACAGTATACACATGATACTGCATTCCTATCACACACACCTCTATCATCTGGACGTTTTTCTCCATCTCTGACCGTAACTTCTCCTTCAGCTCAGCTGAAACGCAAACACAAGTAGTTCAGACCACTGAGTCTCAACCTGCCCCAACCTAAGATGTGACTACCCAGGAGAGGAGGTTCTGGCACCCACTGGCTGCTCACAGACACTCACAACGTTCGAGGGGGCAGGACACAAAAATGCGTGTGTGTGCGCACGCGCACACACACGCGCACACAACACACACACACACACACACACACACACACACGCTATTCATGCCAAAACAATGGATCAAGATTTCCATCCATACAGGACCTCCTAAGAGAATAGATGAAAGTCAACTGCTGGGGTCCCCAATGCTGACACCTCCAAACCTGTATGAATCTTCTGGCACTAGCACCACAGGGCCCTTCATCTCAGGCTCCTACTGGCCAGAGTTAAGGTGAGGTGCTGAAAGTTAAGATGTGGGCCCAATAGCTCCCAACCCAGGAGGGGAGAAGCCTAAAAAAACAGATGCCAGCCATTCCTTGGGTATCAGAGAGCCTCTGGAGGAATGCCAGGTGCTGCAGTCAAGGGCAGGGCTCAAGAAGTGGGTTCTAAGCAGGTGTAGACTCCAGAGTGTGGACCTGAGTGGTAAGAACACTCCATCTGTATGATGGGGAGGAGCAGCAGGAAGCCTCAAGAGGGTGAAGCAGAACTGTGGGGTAAAATGGGGTGACCACGGACAAGGCATTGCCATGAGGGTGGCCGAAGTGCACTGGCTAGGAAATCATGGCCCACATCCCTCGCTTGCTTAGTACCTGTCTCCTGCCCACAGCGGAGAGCCATTGCCTCCTTCTCCCGTGCATGCTGCTCCCGCACCAACTCCATTTCACACTGCTGCCTATTTTGCAGCAGTGCCAGCTCCTGTGCTCGCCGGCCATTGAGCATCTCCCGCAGTTCTGACAGCGCTGTCTCCTTCTCCTTCTGCAGGTTGGCCTGGGTCAGTTCCAGCTGTGCCGTGTGCATGTTGTTCAGGCTCAGGCGCAGAGCTTCCAGCTCAAGGGTGTGCACTGCCTGCAGGCAGAGAGCAGCCAGGCCTGATGAGGACCAGGTTGACACCAGGCAGGACAGTAAGGCAGTAAGGGCAATACCAACAGCATAAACCAGAAATGAACAAGGAAATTGGGGCGGGGAGTCGGGGGGGAACAGGACATGTGACACGGGAGGATGCTGACCACTATCCGTGCTAGTAGCTAGTAAACAGTGTGCCTCCCACCAGAACCCACACACACAGCTTCCCTCACAATTAATAGTATGATTCGCAGTTGGTGCAGTCAGTACACCTCTCACACAGCCTGGCATGTGCCAAACTCCCAGCCCTGGGTGTCCACATGTGTACCTCCACCTGCCCCCAGGAAGAGCCCCACAAAACAGAACATGGAAACAAACACAAAATAAAAAGAGAAGACAAAGACAGCAAGCCGAAGCACCCACCATCTACTCTAGGACGAGTCTCTCCCACCTGCAACCCTCCCCAGCTCCCAAGACCCGCAGAGCCCTGGAGTGAATGGCAGAGCCCACATCTTGAACATGTGAAGACCAGAGCCCTAACCAGGTCTTGTGAGTCACCTGAAGCTGCTGCTGCTGGCCGGTTCCATCTGTAGGTCTGCTCACCAGTTCACAGTCTTGTTCTTGCTCCTGGGGAAGTAAAGTAAAGAATGCAGCCTGAAGAATTCACATGATTAAACAGTCACTGGGAAGAGAGTGGCAACTGCCAACCAGTATGGGGTTTCCTTATGGGGTGATGGAATGTTTGGAAGTAGATAGACGAAGTGCTATGAAACACCATGAATGACCTAAAAGCCACTGAAAAACATCTTTAAAATGGTGAATTTTAAGGTATGTGAACTGTATCTCATTTAAAAAATAATAATTATGAACAAACATTCAACACACTCCACAGTGCTGACACCATCCAACGCCTAACATCCAGGCCTATTTGCCCAGAGGAAGAAGGGAGAAACGAAACCCACAAGGCAGAAAATGTGCATAAAATGCCTAGAAAAAGCAAAAACCAACAGATGCTGAACCAACATGAAGATATTTCTTTTTTTGTTTTTTGGCAGTACTAGGGTTTAAATCAGGGCTTTGTGCTTGCTAGGCAGGTCTACCACTTGTGCCATGTCTCCAGCCTATAGATACAAATTTTAAAGATCATTTAATATCTATTAACTTACTAAAGGTTGGCACAAATACTACTGATTCTCAATGTTATCGAGATGGAAAACAAATGTACCCATGTACTGTCAATGTTAGAATAAGTTGGTTCAACTTTTTGTCTTAAAAAGCCAGGTATGGTGGCATATGCCTGTAATCCCAGCTACTCAAAAGGCAGAAGTAGGAGGATCATGAGTTCAAGACCAGCCTAGGCAAAGTTAGTAAGGCCCTATATCAAAAACAAGAATACAAACAAAAGTACTGGGAGGTGGGGGTTGGCATGGCTCAAGTGGTAGAGCGCTTGCCTACCAAGCACAAGACCCTGGGTTCAATCTCTAATACCCTCCAAAAAAGCTACTTTGAAACACAGAACAAGAGCCATAGAAAATGCTTGTCTTAATACTCTCATCATGGGGAATGCTTTGGCAGCAATGACCTAAAGAGGAAAGAGAAGCTGCAGGTCTGTTTTAGCGGGATTCCCTATGGACTCCCACCTCCTCCCTGGGACAGTTGCTGTCACCACCCCTTGCTGGGGCCCCAGGTGACCCACTTGTCCAACCAGCACTTCAGACTCAAAATAACTGAAACTGAAATCAATTTTCCTGCCAAAAACTAGAGGTCTGTGGGTGGGGATAAGGGGGTAGCAGGGGTGCTTGATTTGATTGTGGAGGCTGGAAAGGGCTCACCATGGAACTTCATGGTACAAGAACTGATTTTAAGGGCAGGAAACACCAAGGAGTTTCAGAGAGTAATGAGATCCCATCAAACACTGGGGCCCCCAGTGTTCTCTGTCTCAGTCAGACACCCCAAACCCCATACTCCTGTTCCTACCACATCAGTACAGCCCTGGTATATCTCCATTCCCATGAGCTGTGGTTCCCATGGCTCTCCACACTGCCTCCCCTCTTTGTCTGGCCTCAGTAACCACACCAAGCCTAACAGAAGCCATAGGTGCTCTCTACTACATATTGTGATGGCCTTGCTATGGCTACTCCTGAATGGAACCAACCAGCATCTCAAAGCCTAGCACCTACCTACCAGGCATACACCAAGCTGTCAGTTTTACTCATGAAAACATGCACAAGTACTCACCTGTCCATGAGGGCAATGACTTAGAAACAATCAAACTGCTCACAGTAGGGGCAAATTAAGTCTTCTGTCACAGGAAAACTAACAGGCACATCCAGTCTTAAACATGAAGGCACAATCTCAAACTGCTGTAGATACTAACAGAAATGACCTGCAGTGCTCCTGAGAAGCGCTCCTCACACACAGAATAGGATGGACCTAAAAGCTCAAACACCCTGAGCACCAGGAAGATGAGCCAGCCAGGGTTGCACAGACATCTAGAAGTTCACATGCATCTTGAGGGTGGTAAGGAATGCAGCCTCTGAGTAAGTCAGTCTCCCAGAGGACTGTGCCAGGACCCAGTGGACAAGCACATCACTACCCATGGGCAAGGAGGGATGGAGTCAAGGAAGTATCTCCGGCTCTTAAGAATCCAGAACTCAACTGAGGCTTGACTCTCACTTACAAATTTATACATACCATAGTGTAGCAATCCCTGAGTAAAGGAACTGATTTAAGCCAGGTGTGGTGGTGGTACATGCCTATAATCCCAGCACTTCAAGACTGAAGCACAAGTGGTAGAGTGCCTGCCTAGTAAGCATGAGGCCCTGAGTTCAAACCCCAGTACCATCAAAAATAAAAAAATAAATAAGTAAAAAAAAAAAAAGAGCTGGGCACCAGTGGCTCATGCCTGTAATCCTAGTTACTCAGGAGGTAGTGATCAGGAGGATTGAGGTTCAAAGCCAGACCACATCCAAGGTACTCACACCTGTTAAATTTCCATTTCCTAAGTACCAAACTGATAACTTACCTTTAAGCAATCAACCCAAAATTTCTCAAAATCATATAGAAAAGGAAAACCACATATTAACAAGTTTGCCTACCTTTTTATAAATTAAAAGAAAACCCCTTCCCCCACTTTGGAAAGGCACAAAAAAACAAAAACAAAAAAAATCACTTTTAGTAAATTACTAGCAATAACTAAAAGCCATGCACAATAGTACACACCTGCTATTCTAGCACTCAGGAGGCTGAGGCAGGATGACTGAAACTTCAAGTCCAGCCTGGGCCACAGAAAAAGCTAATAAATAAATAAATAATTAGCAATATGTTCAAACATAACTGAGTAAATCTACCTGAGCTGCAAATGCCCCACTGGCCCCATCTGGGGTGTCGCTGCATGACATGCTCTTGCAAACCATTCCTGCTCCAAGAAGCCCACCATCCTCGGTGGCTATCGGACTCTCCTCCTGGACAGACGCATCGACAGTCGAGCCCTTCCTCTTCGCCGTCTTTTTCTGCGAATGCGCACAGTCACCTTTTGTTTTTCTCTGTCGGAAGTGAGCAAGCTGCGCAAAAATGTAGAGAAGTAGTAAAGGCAGAGGTATGTGAGAAAAAAGTAACAGAACCATAAAGTTAACAGTCCCGTGGGGAGCATGAGGCTGGGACTAGCTTGGTCCACTCAGCCACACCTGGCCAACAGACAACTTTCCCACAAACAGTGCCCTCATCGACATCTATGACACAAACATTCAGTTCAGAGTTATAACTAGATCCACTGATGAGGACTATTAATTATGGCTACATACAGACAAAAGAAAACAATATGGCTGATTGGCAGAATAGCTCTTCTAACCCTTGGCACTTCATAGAAAAATTAAAAATTTTAAATACATCTGTTTAAAACACCAAGAGCTTAATCAGGTGTATTTAAGGCTTAAGACTATACAAAAGCTAAATCATTCTCTTCTTGCCCCCATTTTTCCCTAATCGCAGAAATGTATCGTCCAGGCAAAAGTTCGTAGCCATAGATTCTGAGACAAGGTACAGAAATAGCAAAAAATTAATTAAGCCAGGTCAATCTAACATCTTCCTTCACGGAATCAGATGTTCTATTTTTCATGACATAGCTCACCAATGCACCAGGGACCTTCACAAAATGCTGCCTGTAAGAAGGCACAGCCTAGCTCTGCTCTGTCCCTCAACTCCAAGAGGTTTCAACTAGGTTCCCACACCATCTCCCACTAAGATCTTATCCGAAAATTAAGACGTCAAACAACAGCTTTTTAAAATGACAACTGTGGCCATATGCATTCAAGCAAATGTGCTTAACATTTACGTAAATGATAACAGAAGTGCACAATTTCATGGACAGAGGAAAATTACACAAGGCCATGTACACGAAAAAAAGACACTGCCTTCAAAACCAACTCCACTTTCATTGATTGCCCTCCTCCGTCAAACACAGGTCTCTATGACGGAGCTCCTTCTGCAGCACAGCCCTGCTTTGGTCTCCCAAAGGGCAGCTTGCAGGTTCTTCCCGTCCCCTCCATCGCCCTTAGGCACAAGCCCAGGGGCCGGCCCCCCAAGCTTCAGTGGGGAGGGGACTCACGTTCCCTCCCCAGGGTGTGCCCAGAGCAGGCACGTGAAGTTTCCCTCTTCGTATCCCTCTCGGGCTCTGGGACCGAGACCAGTCTCCACCCGCCACCCGCCACGGGCCACCCTGCCACTACGGACGCCGGTCGTTTCTGTACCGCGGTGGCCCTAGGTTGACCTAAGGACTCCGCCAAACGCCTCCACTAGCTGATGTGAGAAGGCAGCACGGCGAGCTCCTGGGTTCTACGTAGTCCTGGGATCCCACAAGGGTGGGTTGCGTGGTCATGCCTCTTTCTAGGTCAGCACCGGTCTTAATCGCCCCAAATGCCCCCACAGCAGAGTTTGAAACGGGCCTTTACTTTTTGTTTGCTTTTCGGCTATAAAAACTGGGGCAGAAAGAAGTGACACGAGCACCCCTCGCGGGAACCAGGCCAACGTGCGAGGACATCATCGGGGACTTCCACAACTTCCCAGGAAGCCAGCAGTTTTAAACAACAGGAGCGGAGACCAGCCTCGGGACCGCTCGGTGGGGCAGCGCCTCGGGATGCGCTGGACACAAGCAGGACTGCTCCGGGCCAGGACCCGGTCACCCGCTTCACGGGAAACACTCGACACAGCCCCGCCCCGGCCCGCCCCGCGCCGCCCCGCCGGCCAGCGAAACGCCGCGAGTCCCGGGCGCTGATTGGTTGCCGCCGCCGCGGAGGCGGGCCCGGGCAGAGGGCGGTGGATTCAAGATGGCGGCGGCCAGGAGGCGGCTTTCCCGGAGCAGGCGGGAAGAGCAGGGACAAGGAGGCGGCTCCGCCCGGCCGCAGCCACTTCAGGCAGGCAGCGGTGACGATCACTCGGGCCGCCCTGAGGACTCCTCGCCATGACAGCCCGAGAACGAGGGCGCTGCCATTTACCTTCGCTCTCCCGGCGTCTACTTTCCTGCGCCGCTGCTCCTGTTCGTCTTCCTCCATTTCTGTCTGGGTTTCCTCGTGGGTCTCCCGTGGGTGGAGGGGCCCACGCGGCACCGCCCTTGCTCTATTTACACTCCCTCCCCTCTCCCGCTCGCCCTCCCCCCGACAACTGTCAGCGTCGTGGCCCCGCCCGCCTCGCTACGCCACCAAGCTGAGCCAATCAGGGACCGCGTGCTTTCGCGCGCGCACGCGCGATTCGGTGATGCAACACGGGTGGAGTTCCGCCCCTCCGGCCTTCCATTGGTGCGCTGGTGCGCCCGCCCCCTTCGGCAGGACCAACGAGCAGGCCGCGGCGTTCCTCCGCTCGCGGCGGTTAGTCCACTGTTGGCGAAGGGTTCGCGCCGTTGTTCCCGGGCGACCGCACCTGCTCCAGCGCTCCCAGTCGGCGATGCCCAGGCCTCTGGTTCACTTGGCCCGCCGCCCTGAGCGGCTGGGAACAGGGCCTGGTGAGCCGCAGACTTCCGGCCAACCCTGCGTGTGTCTCGTCTCACGGCGGCGAGCTGGGGTCGCCCACGTCCGTCCGCGTGGGCAGGGGGCACCAAGCGCTGGGCTGGCTGAGCCGGTACCTGGGAGCCAGGGCCGGGCTAGCCAGGAAGGCCGCTGCGCTGCCGTCCCAGCCGCCCGCCACCTCTGAGGCTTGACCCGAACCCCACACTTGCAGGATCCGTCACCTGGGCTCCGTCCCGCGTCCCTCGCTCCGTGGTGCCCTCTCGCCTTGCCGGACCTGAGGGGCGACAGGACCGGGGTGGCCGAGCTGCCTGTTCAGTGGGACCTAGGGCTGGGTCCCGATGCATTCCTTGATAGAACAGTGTCGCCATTTTGTGAGTCGGTGGCCATTTCGCTTCTCGAGAAATGGCGCCTCCCCAGGCTGCTCCACCCCTGGCGGAAAGCCCCCTCGTGCCTGAGAGCCACGCCCAGCCAGCGTCGGCGCTGCGCCATCTTTCCCTGGCCGAGTCTCGGGAGCCCGCTCTGCGAGCGGCGGTGCTCCGCGCCTTGGTGCCGTGACGGCTCCCCGTCCCCCTTCTGCCCTCGCGAGGCTCCGGGGCCGGGGGACGAAGCCGGCTCTGCAGGGCCTGGGGGAGCCGCGGTCCAGGACGACTGATTGTGCTGCCTGAACCCCGACCCCTGCCGGGCTGAGCTGCGCTGTCGGGTCCCGGAGCCCCAGGAGCGCCCTCGCGGCTGCCCCATCGAGCCTCCAACAACGGCCAGTTCTTCCGACGGTCCTTTCTTGCTGAGCCTTTGCGCGGAGCCCTGGTCCCGTTTTCTCGAAATCCTGGCTCTGGGTCTCGGCGCTCTCGGGTCCCCTGGAGGCCGGTGGGCCCCCGGTGACGGGGACAGCCGTCGTTCCCTCTCCTCAGTTCGGGCCTCACTAAGGGAGCTGGACCGTCGTAAATTCCCTCTCGCTCCCCACTGGGATGTCTCCCGGCCAACCCTGAGCCCGGTTGCCTAATGCCTGATGTTAAGCCCCGAAAGCTTATTTTTTCTCTGTAACCATGTCCGGCCCCAATAACCCATTAGGCTGCCTCCAAATGGCCACTTAATGGCACATTAGATCCCAATATTTTAAGAGATTTATACAGTTTCTGTGAACGTGTTGGCAAATGGAAGGAAATCCCCTACATCCAATTCTTTTCCCATCTCTGCACCAAACCTTCCTTCTGTACTTCCTATTCCCCTGCACAAGCCCTACTAGCCATGAAACCAGCCAAATCTTCTCCTGAGCCCCCTTCTGACCCCAAGGCTTTCCCCTCTTTCGACTCTATCAGCAGTGGACCCCCGCCCTTCAACAACAGGCTCCCCCAGGCCCTGCTGCTCCTCCAGCACCCCAAGACCCCATGAGTCCCCCACACACACCTGCTCTCATGGACCCCCCTTCTCGGCCTGCCTCTGTATACCCCCCTAGTGTGGTCGCTGGAGCAGAAGTTATTGTGCGGGTTCATGTCCCTTTTTCCCTCGCTGACCTCTCTAGAAAAGTGCCTTGACTCTCACCGTTGACTCAGATTTTTATGTTAAAGAGTTCCAATACTTGGCTCAATCCTACACCTCATTCTCTCTTCCACCCTCCTGGAGGAGAGGCAAAGGGTCTGGGACTGCAGCTAGGACACATGCAGATGAAGTCCATCGCGCCACCCCCACCCACCCTATTGGGGCTACAGCAGTCCCTGTAGAAGAACCCAACTGGGATTACCAGACCAATGGCCAAACGCTTAGGGATCAAATGGTCACTTGTCTAGTGGCAGGACTAAAAAAGGCTGCCCAGAAGGTGGTTAACTTTGATAAACTCAGGGAGATCCAACAAGAAAAGGAGGAAAATCCAGCTAGCTTTCTGTCCCGACTCACAGAGGCGCTACAACGCTGTACAAAAGTTAACCCTGAAACTCAGGACAGAACAATCATTCTTATGACCCATTTTATCTCCCAGTCAGCCCCAGATATAAGGAAAAAGCTTAAGAGGCTGGAAAATGGTCCTCAGACCCCGCAGGTGGAAATTTTAAATGTGGCCTTCAAGGTCTATAATTACTGAGAAGAACAACAAAGGGCTGATAAGGAAAGGAGAGATAAGGCTTAAATTCCAGATGGTTGGCACAAGACCTCCAACAAAGGCCCCAGACCTCTTAACTCCGGAGGCCAGGGAAAATCCCAAACACCACCGGGCCCATGTTTTCGGTGTGACCTTGAAGGACATTGGGCCCGTGCATGTGCTAAACCCTGCTGCCCCAGGGGACATGTCCTAAATGCAAACAGGAGGGCCACTGGGCGATGGACTGCCCCTCCACCCCTCCAGGTAGAAGGTCTCAGCCCCCCTCACCATCCCTCCTCCCTAACTGATCATTAGGACTGGCAACTGCAGCTGACAACTGATGGAGCCCAGGACTCCCAAGCCCGACAGCCATAACTCTAGGGGACCCCAGGGTAACTGCCCTCATTGAAGGACCAACAAAGATAAAAGATCTCCTGCTTCCCCAAGATCCTGGAAGACAGCAACACATCCACGAAGACCCCTCAGGGTATAGGCAGGAGCCCTATGCCTAGGAACCTGCGTCTCCCCCGCTCACTCTTTATACCTCTCCCCTCCCATTCTTTCCCATCAGTGCCTGCTCTCGCTTTTACTCCTTCCTACATATAGTACACTCCGAGGTTCTCACCTTCCCCACCCCCCCATCAATCTCCCTCCCTTTTCTTACCTCCTTTACCCATACTTTCTGAACTGGATAGGTGACCTCCACCTCCAAGGCACCTTCTCAGATTTCACTCCTGAAGAAATTCTCGTCCCCTCTCTCCCGAGTGTCGGCTTGTGGGCAACTTCTCTCCCTGACTGGAGATGGCCCCATCACGCAGCTCTCTGTCTTGGGTACCTCGCCCTGTGCGCCTTACTCCTTGTGCTCTCTTCTTTCTTATGACCTGTACCCTTGTGAGCCCCAAACTTCCCCCCTGCCCATGCACCTCATCCTATTCCTACCAGCATAGGGCTTGCTATGAGCACGCCACCTTATGTGAGCTGTGGGGTCACAGACCCTGGACAGGAACCAGTAAAGGTGACAACGCAGGCTATACCTGTTTCAGGAGGCAGGGAAAACCGGTGTGCAGGTCTGAGCTCACATATTACGGTATGTCTGATGAAGGAGGGGTCCAGGATCAAGCATTCCAGAAGGTCCTCCACACCTAGGTACCCAGGTTCCCGAAAACTTATTCTTTCCCACCAGAAAGCCCCTCAAAATTCCCTGCGCCACTCACTCCCCCTTTCTGAAACCCTTCTTGTCCAGATCATTAATACTACCAATCCCGCCCTGGCCTGAGGGTGCTGGATGTGTCTACAGGCTGGGTCCTCTCAAGTCATCGCCAGCCCCCTAAACATTTCCACTTCCTTCTCCCTGAACTGTTCTTTCTCTGGCAACACCACCACCCATACCCTCTCTCAGTCTCCCTTTTTCAGCCGGCACCTCTCTGCCTCAACAGTTCCTCAGGAAAAATTGAGGTGGGAGACCTGCCCCCTCACCAGTGCTTTCACACCATCAAGGTCACAAATCTGCTGCCCTCCTTTTTCTGAAACCCTCTGCTTATGCGGGCAGAGAATATATCCCTGCCTACCCCAAGCCTGGAACAGTATTTGTACTTTGGTATTCCTCGTCCCTGACAGACACTGTCACAGAAGATCAGGCATTACCTATCCCCTCACCACACATTTTCAAGCAAAAAGGGCAATTCAGGCCATTCCCTTGTTGGCTACCCTGGGAATAACAGCTGCCGTGGGGACAGGGGCAACAGGGATGGGGACCTCCATTTACTACTACCAAAACTCCATAATCAACTAACAAATGACCTCCAAACAGTAGCTGAGTCTATCCTAACCCTACAAAAACAACTTGACTCCCTAGCCTCAGTCATACCAAAAAACCGATGAGGCCTTGAGCTGCTCACAGCCAAAAGGGGTGGTGTCTGCCTGTTCTTACAAGAGGAGTGTTGCTTCTAAGTTAACCAGTCAGGGGTAGTAAGAGACAAAGTTAGACAACTCCAGGAACAGTTAGAAAAGCGGAGAAAGGAGCTGGAGGGCTCCTAGAACCCTCTAGGAAACAGTATTTCACAGTGGTTCTCCTGGCTATTGCCCGTCCTAATGCCTATGTTTCTTGCTCTCCTGCTCTTAAGCTTCCTTCCCTGCATCATAGATGGTACAAAGGTTTCTCTTGGACCACATATCTGCCATTACTAATCAAAAGTTTAATCAGTTATACCTCCAGGGGTATCAACCGCTTCAAAGCCACCCAGAAGACCTCTTTGAGGGGCCCTACCACAGCCCCTGGAAGCTGAGGATCTCACCCCACACAACACCCCCTATCAGCAGGAAGCAGCTAAAAGGCCGACACTTCGCCCAGATTCCTGATTCTCAGCCCTTACCCTCATCATTATTAAAGAAAAATAGGGGAATGATAGAACAATAATGTCGCCATTTTGTGAATCAGCGGCCATTTCACCCTCAGGTTTTCGCTTCTTGAGAAATGGAGCCTCCCCAGGCAGCTCCACCCCTAACGGAAAGTCCCACTCTCTAACTTCCTCAAGCCCATGCCTAGCCCAGCATCAGTGCTGTGCCATCTTTCCCTGGCCAGCCTGACACCTCGAGTCTGTTATTAAACCTAAACGTGAGTCTTTCTCATGAGCTTTTTTTTTTGTGTGTGTGTGTGTGTGAGTGGCGTTTTTCCTAACACAATTATATGCTAATACATAAAATTTTTTTAAAAAGGGGGAATTTCTTTCAAAAACAAAAAGAATGTGCTATGAAATTCCAGCTAGTAGGGGGTGGAGATGGGGGGATTGCGGTTCTAGACCAACCCATGCAGAAAGTTAGCAAGAGCTGGCGTGGTGATTCACCGTAAGACAGAAGGATCTCCTGAGGCTGGCCCTGGGCACAAATGTGAGACCCTACCAAAAATAGATGCAAAGAGCACCTGCCTGGCCAGCACCAGAAGGCCCTGTGTTCAAACCCCTACACAACAACAAAACAAATGTGCTGTATTTCCCATCTCTTACCTTTCTGTGAACCTATGATCCTCAAGAAAACCTATTTGAGTCACTCCATGTTGAGTACAAGTGCTGAAATAGAAAGACTACATCTTGCTTATACAGGCCACCATCTGCCAGCATACCATGAGGCCCAAAATGGTAATTTGTGCCAATAAACAATTACACTGTGAATATATCAAATCATATCAGAAATACCAGACACATGCGCTTGTCAGTCATACCAGATGAACTCCTTCACCTGGGACTGTAAAAGAAGGAACACCCCAAAACTGAGACAGGGAAAGCATGCTGACCTATCACCCAGTCCAAGAAAGTTAACCACAAGAAAGAACTCCAGCTGTCTGTCCCTGGGCTGCAGCTCAAAGTGACACAAAACTGCCTGCACCTGGACCTAAGTTTGACAACTCTGCAACCTGAGCATTTCTGCACCGATGGCTCTTAAAACTTCCTATCTGGTCTGTACAGAGACTCCAGTTCATCTGTATAAGCTCTCTGCCTGTGCCTCTAGCACAGCCCTGCAGCCTCTTTAACCCTTCTGTAGCCATTCTATAACATATATATATATAATGCAAATACATAACATGTGGTTACATAGATTACTGTGTGAAGTATGTGTAATCAAGTTAGTAATTAGGATTGGAATGGAATAAAAGAACTGTATTTCCAAGGGGCCACAAATACCAAGTGAAATCAGGAATACTGAGTGAATCAAAGCCAATGAAATTGACATAGCTTGTGGATTTATTGTTAATTCTGACATCGTGGAAAGACACAAATATGTTTGTGTTACTGGCATAGCTTGCTCGTGACACATCCTAAAGCCTTTCACAGCTCTTCTCCTTGCCATAAATAGCATCCCATTTGCTATTAAAGTAAAAAGGACACAGCCCCCTTTGTTTAAAACCTGTGGATGGAACTGCAGGGAGTTATATATATTGACAGTGTGCCTCAGATCCTCCCCATGTGGAAAAGTGAACACCCATAAACCCTGCAACCCGGCCTGGTGGAGATGGATAGCATCATCCCCCCCCTCCACCCCTTGTGCCTGCAACTAGGAGACAGCAGCAGGGAAAACCAGAAGGTGCTGATGCAGTCCTGGCCTTTCTCTCAAACGGCCCTTCAGATAAACCTCACTGTTTTCCTCCATTTAAAGTGTTGCGTGGCTTTCTGTTTCTTGCTGTTCCATTCATCTATCCTGTGCCTTTGCTTGAGTACAGCTGGTGGTGGAGGACTGCCTACTACCTCAGACTGTTTCTCAGACTGAAACACTAGTGATGCCTCCCTTACATTGCAGAGTGATGCCAGCTAGTCCTGTACTTCAGTGACGTCCCTGAATCTAAGTGACTACACAGAAATCTTCAGGATGCTCCAGAAATGAGGTCACCTCAAGGAGGAGGCAGATCACAGCAAACATTACTGCTAGGAGCCTCCTGATTCCCAGACTGAAAGTTGAGTGGTTCATGCTAACTGAGGGATGGGCTCCTTAGATGATGGGAGCCAGGAAGACTGCAGGATCAGACTTTCCAAGAACAGCTAGACACCTAGATTTTGCCTGAATCTCTGAATTTTTAGGTATTTAAATACAGGGAGCAGGGGATAAAGGAGAATGAGGCTACATAGTGAGCCCCTGTCTCAAAAAAAATAATAAAAATCTCTAGAAACTCATGCCCACTAGAAAGGAAGGGTCACGAACAAATGGGAACACATCCACATCACACTGTCTGAATGTGTCTTGAGACTGTTGCATCAGGAAGACGCATACTGGTATCTGAACATCGAGATGGGTCTGCTGGTGCCAGCAGTGTCCACAAGGACCCCAGGACACCATCCTCCAGGGACACAAGGGGACTTCCAAGAAGCAGGCAAGCCTGGGCCCTCAGTAGCAAAGGCATATGGGGACACCAATGTCAGCAGTGAGCCTGGCCTTCCATGACCATTGGGAAGATTGCTCCAGCAGACCCAGGCGGAGGAGCTGCGTCTGGAGGACTCTCCTCAGATGGAGGATGGACCTCCACCTCTGCCCTAGTTCCTCCCATGTCTATCTAGGTTTTTAGAATCCATGTGGGTCAGATCAGACCTGCACATAAAACCACAACTGATGAAGTGTGGGTGATGTAAGGACGTGGAAGGCAGTGTTGGGGTCTGGTAGAGGTATGGGGTGTGAGAATCAAGTAAAGTCAGCTCTTTCTTGTCAAAGGAGTTTCTGTAAATGTAGCTATCACTGTGTAAGTGCCAGCTAGCCTCCCAAATTGCTGCCTGCATGCTTTGTGAAACATTGCTTTACCTTGCAAGGTTCTTGCAGTCAAACAAAGAGCTGGTTATCGCCAGATGTCCTAATCTCAAACTGCTTGCTTAAAGATGAATATTACCCAAAAGAATGTTCTTGCTCTCCCTGCTTCAAGGTCCCCCTTGCTTCATGTGCCCCCTTTTCTAAGTAGACAATTAAGATTATAAACTCAAACCTGTCCATCAGGGTAAGGGGCAGAGTTGTGTTAAGAGATAAAAACCGAGCGGACTTCCTGCTTGGTGTACTCACCTGCCTGACTCTGGTCAGAGGTACACCCTTCTGCAGAAGTAAATTTTGGCTGGACACCAGTGGCTCACGCCTGTAATCCTAGCTACTCAGGAGGCAGAGATCAGGATAGTTGCAATTCAAAGCTAGCCCGGGAAAATAGTTCTTTGAGACCTTATCTCAAAAAACCCTTTACAAAAATTGGGCTGGTGGAGTAGCTCAAAGTGAAGGCCCTGAATTCAAGCACCAGTGCCACAAAAAAAAAAAAAAAGTAAATTTTGCCTTGCCCATCAGTTTTCAAGCATGTGTCTAATTTGTGTTCACAGCAGCACCCTGATACTTTTAACGGGGCAAGCTGGGTCACAAGGGTGTCCACCCTGCTTCAGTGAGCCTACCCCAATTTCATGCCTTCCCCAAGGGGAGGAATTGACTCACATGCCAGTCTGATGCTTAGAGCCCACATGCATGGTCTCCTTCCCCGTCTTTGTCTGCCCCACACAAAGCCCTCTGTGTGTCCCCAGAATCTCTGCTGAGCTGGAGGGCCTCCGTGGGGGAGTCAGGCACAGCTTCTCTCTGGGATCAGATCACGGCAGAGCTGACCCCACCCACAAGAGTGGCTACTGGTAGCCCCATGTCATGTGAGATGCTGGTCACTGGCTTGTGTGAGTCCCACTGGGTGATCTCAGCCCCAAACCCCTCCTGCCCTGCCCTTGAAGAACTTCCTGAAGCCCTCAGGTAGGGGCCCCTTCCATGTCCTCCCAACTGTCCAGCTGCACTACCTTCTTCCTTTGAGAGTCCCTAGGAGGATGAGGGCACCCCAACTCCCTGGAGGCAGTAGTGGGTGGGGAAGGGGTGAGGGTAGCCTCCCCTTCCATTCTTCTAGGCTCTGTCCCCAGGTGGGTGTTGCCTGGGGGAGTCTGAGGTCTGTCCCCCTGGTCCTGCACTGCCCCTTTGCTTCTCCTTTGAGCCCCGCCTAACCACACCTACAGATCAGTGTTTATGGTAACACCTGCTTGGGGACACAGAGCCCAGGAAGGACTCTCAGTAGAAACCTGGCAACAAGGGGCTGCCCTTCCTCCCAGCCTAGCAACTGTCTCCTGTTGGCTCTGGTACTGCAGTACAGGGAGGAACGTGCTGTCCTCCTGCACACTCTTCTCCTGAGTCCAGTCTCCAGGAGGTACACTGAACCCACTGCCAGGGAACCCAACCATAACACCAGGGTGGCTCTCAGATAACTGAGGACCAGGGTAGAGTGTGGGTCTCCAACTTCTGCCCCCTGTGGTCATCTCTCACAGTCCCCACAATGCTGGACTCATCTGTGGCAGACCAGATGACCCGACTTACACTGAGGCTCCTGGAACAGGTGAGATAGAACATGCTCACTGCCACATTCAACTCCACAAAGGAGCTCAGCTTTTGGCTTATGAACTGAAAATTAAGATGCTTCACTCATGTCTCCTGCCTCTGCAAATTACCTGCGACAAGCTCCTGCTTCCAAAGCAAACCCTCTCTCTCTTATACTGGAAAAATGTGATTTCTGGGTTTCTTCTTTGTGGTTGTATCAAACCCAGTTGGTTCTGCAGTTTCTGCAGTTGTAGGACAAGCTGTATCCATCTACAGAGGACAGTCCTAGGAAGCTCCCACCACCTCCAGGCTTCAGTGTGTAAAGGGACCTCCCTGCTTTGGAGACATAGCCTGGCACTCCCAGAACAGTCATGCCAGTCTCCTCCACCTTTACAGCCATCTCTGAGGGTCTGGTCTGTGACCAAAATGCCTTTCCTCAAAGGTCACTGAGCATAAGACCCACATGATATTGATGTTTATGCTTGAGTCCTCTGTTCTGCCTGCATAGTTCCTTTTCTGCTGCCTGCCTCTCACTAACATTGTGCCCCAATCCAGGGCCCAGGTGGTGGTGATCAGGACAGCCACTTGCCAAGTGGGAGGTCTCATCTGGACAGTCTGTCCTGCAGTTTTTCTTCAGAAATGTATCTGAAGAAGCCCATCAGAGTCCCCTGCCCCCACCATACCCATCAAAGCCCCCCAGGACCCACCAGAGCTCTCACTTGGGTTTAAGATGGAACATGTGTGTTACATTGAATGCATGCCTAGGACAGTTCCTAAGAGAATAAAGTGACCCAGCTGGCTGTCTACCCACTTCACACACACTTCCTGCCCACTGCACATTGGGCACTCCTAGAGCTTCTGGGATGGCAGCTGGGCAGGGCAGGCCCCACTCATCATTACAATCTCTGTTCTACAGAAGCTGGAGCAAGAGCGAGAGAGAATGGAGGGGGGCTCTGAGGGCCCCCACCTAGTGCCAGGTAATAGCCCTGAGCTGCTCTGACCCACATGGGCAGGCAGGACAACAGTGAGGGAAGACAAGGGTAGTAGCCCCTGGGAACCACCTTCTCTCACATTCAGTGGAAGGGCTTTGTTTTCACCTGTAAAACAACACATCCCCTCCACCTTAGCCTGCACACCTAGAAGGGAGCACTCACATTGCCATTTTGCAGATGAGAAATGGAGGCACAGAGAGGTCAGACAACCACCCCCAGGTTGCTCAGCTGCAAAGTGGTCCCACCCAGATCCGATCACATCCCTCTGATTCCAGAGCCCTAAACTTGCCCTAAGGGTGGGTGGGGGGCTCAGTATTGCCCTAGTGAGTACCTGGTGATAGCATCCAGGTTCAGGGATACCTGGGTAAGGACCTGAGGAGGAATGTGTCTTGTTCTTTGGAACAAGAAGCAGGTGTGGCTGTGGGGCCCCAGAAGCTCCAAAGGTAGCTGGCAGAGCCTGGAGCCCCAAGTCCAGATGGAAAATCGCAAACCAGACCATGTGTAATAACAAACCCAATGGATGCCAATGTCCCTTGGGAGAGCATCTTTCCAGAGCCTCCTCTGGTGCACAGACCTTTCCTCCATGCTCAGTGGGCAGGTCTGTCCTCTCCGGAAGATTGGAATTGGACTTTCAAAGTACCACTGACTCTGTGGAGGCCTCCCCGCTCTCTGAGCCAAAGAGGGTGCAGAGGCACTGGAGTAGCACACTCCTGAGAGGGACCTGCCTCACTGACTTCCAGCTCCTTTCCAGAACCAAGACCCCAACTAAAAACTGAGCCCCCCAAATCACTCCTCCCCACTACGGCCCTTGCCCTCACAGCCACCAGCCCCATCTCCTCCTTCTTTGGGATGAGTATTTGTGGAGGCCTGAGTTCAGGAGGCTCTGAGTCATCCTAAGACCTGGAGGTGCAAGAAGTTGGGGTACTCTGACAGGGAATGCAGTGGTCACTAGCAATGACATGTTCCTCAGAGCAAGTTGTGTCTTCCTCTCTCCAGGACTTGAGAACAGGCTGGACGCTGCCCTACAGAGTGCTCTGAGGAGAAGGAAGGACCTTCTGCAGAGACTCTGGGTAGGGCCTCGCACTCTGCCACAAGCCTGGGCCGAGCTCCCTGTAACTGAATCACAGGCCACCACACTCAGATCTCAGGTCCAGGGAAGGTGCTTCTGGACTCCTGGGTCTGTTTTTCTGTCTGCTAATTGTGTGTGGTAATTGAATTGTGGGCAGCTGAGGGACTTCATGCCTCAACCATGTCCCTACGAAAGTGGGAAAAGTGAGGGTGGGAGGTGCAGCACAGTGAGCTCAGAACAGGCAGAGGTTGCACACATCAGAGTGCAACTGGTGTTGAGTAAGCAGAGTTCTCAGTGCCAGGTGGAACTCTAGGATGAAATCCAGGGGCTTTGTCCAAACTAAATCGTCCAGCAGCAAGAAGTGACCTTGTAGAAGGGCAAATGTGTCAGTGTTACCTACATGTACCCCAGGGACAGAGGTCAGCTCCTTGTGTCAAGTGAGGAGTAGATGTTGAAGAGCAATTTAGACTGTTGACTAGGGGAAAACAACAAGAAAACTTGTTAAAAAATTTTTTTTCATTACTGAGTTTTGGGTGCTCTCCCACTTGAGCCATGCCCCTAACCCTTTTTGCTTTAGCTGTTTTTCAGGTAGGGTCACATTTTTTGCCTGGACCATGAGTCTGATCCCCATGTTTATGTGTCCAGTGTAGCTGTAATGGCAGGCATGCATCACCATGATCAGCTGCTTCATTGAGACAGAGTCTTGCTAACTTTTTGCCTGGGATGACCTCTAACTATGATTTTGTTTTTATTTATTTATATTTGTGGGGGGAGGAGTACTGGGGTTTGAACTCAGGGCCTCAGGCTTACTAGGCAGGCATCCTACCAGTTCAGGCACTTCACCAGCCCCTTATTTATGTATTTATTCATTGCAGTACTGGAGTTTTAACTCAGGGCCTCACACTTGCTAGGCAGTACCCTACCACTTGAGCCACTTTGCCAGCCCTGTTTTGTGGTGAGTTTTTTGAGATAGGGTCTCATGAAATATTTGCCCAGATTGGCTTTGAACCGTGATCCTCCTGATCTATGTCTCCTGAGTAGCTACGGTTACAGGTGTGAGCCACCAGTGCCTGGCTATTTGGTACATTTTTAAAGTAGCAACGCTCTCAAGTGTGCACCACAAGAGGGCCTTTGCTTTGCTTTTGGGCAAAGTTTCAGGGGCTCCATGCTGAGGTGACGGAGGACCTGAGCACACGAGGGCCAAGTGCCTTGGGTAGTAGGGGGAGAGCACAAGAAAGGCATAGAGGTAACAGCCCATCTACCCAGAGAGGTCTGTGTGTGAACTCCAGGTCCTTCTGCTGCCGGCGCATGGCCAGCAGGTTCTGTTGGCCTCACAGGAACAGCAGCTACTGGACGAGCACTCCCAGGCCCATGCCTGGAAGGAGGCACATAGAGGAGCCCTTACACCAGCCCTGCGCAGACAGGTTACCCCTGTGGATGTCCACCCCACTGCCTCCCTGCCCACACCAGCCCCACAGCTGCCAAGGGTCATCCAGCAACCGGTAAGAGGACTCAGGCAAACACAGCAACTGTGGTGGGGATAGGAGGGTCAGAACTGAGACCACATAAGCAGTGTGGAAGGACACTGTGTCACAGCAGGCCATGCTGTCAGGGACCCAACTCACTCCTCTCCCAGGAAGCCCAGGAGTATATGCCAGTGCTCTGAAGAGGCTCCATCTGCTGAAAGCCAACAGCAGTGGCTTTGCTGTCCGGGGCACCATTGGGGCTTTTGTAGGTTCTCTGGTTCTGTCTTTGCAGGCATGCTGAGGGCTAGTTTGGAGGTTGCCAATGCTCAGGACAGATGAGAGGCTGGCCCTCTCACCTCTACCTGCACATCCTAACTGCTGCACTGGAAGGGTTAGGGTAGAAAGCCCTGAACCCTTAGAAGCACAAATTCATTAGCATTCCACAGTGACCAGGGACACTGAAGACCCTAATTCAAGGACAGAGTTAGAAGAGCCACAAGAGTGTACCTCTCGGAGAGTTCCACACAGTGCAGCCTCCAGCACTCTGGGTTGAAAGCAATCAACTTCTTCAACCAAAGTGAATACCTGGTGGCACCCAGAGGAGGTCGTGAGGCCAGGGTGAAGACTCCATGGGAAGTCAGCATGATGGGAGTGCAGACAGCAGGGGAAAAGAGGGGGCAGGTACAGTGGATAGTCCTGAGCAGGTTGGTGACCTGGAAGACATTTATCCTTTGGGCGGAGATGCTAGCAGCAGCATGTGGTAAAGGGATCCATGAGAATAAAGTCCCCTAGAGCCTTTGCCGATGGGCTGTCCGCACAGGGGTTCTGCATACCCTGGCCTGTGCCCCTACATATTGCTCTTACTGGATGCCATCAGAGCCATCGTGCACATGGATTTCAATCTCAGCCCAAAGACACCAAGGTGGTGAACAGGGACTTGGTCACTGATGAACATCTCAGCGGCTAAGCTCAGCCCTGAGGTGGAAGGTCCTGGCAGCCAGGAGAGGCGCAGCCACTCTGACAATGCCTCAGAGCCTCAGGGCTGGCAGCCTGCGGCTTCAGGTGGACTGGGTCCCCTACTCTGTGCAAGCTGCACAACAAGAGCAGTTTCAGTTCATTGTGCGCTGTTTTGTTTGCTGAGAATCAAATCCAGTGCCTAGCACATGCTAGGCAAAACGAATGCTCTACCACCGAGCTACACCCCCAAGTCTGGTTTTATTTTTAAATGTTTGCTTTTGGTTTTTTTTTTTTCGGGGGGGAGGAGGATTTTGAGACATGGTCTTATTATGTAGTTCAGGCTGGACTCCATCTTACAATCCTCCTGCCTCAGCCTCCTGAGTGATGCTATTACAGGTGTGTGCAATCACTTCCAATCTGGTTTCTTAATGTTTGTGAAAAACAAAGGAATAATACCTTATCACATAGGAAAATAATAAGAAATGCACATTTCAACGTTCATGAAATTCTACTGGGCCAGACTTGCATGTTCACATCTGTCTGTGACCATTTCCTGTTTAACAGGTAGCAAACACTCAGTTGAACTCATGTAGCCCACAAGCACAAACAACTTACTGCCCAAACCTCTGCAGAAAAGGCTTCCAACCCCTGGTCTAGCCATCCTTTCTGTGAACAGAGCAAGAAGGAAAAAGGTCATGCAGGGCTTGAATGTACAGAAGAGGATTAATACAGAAGGTCTTTCTGGTGTTTGCTCAAAATTGTTCCACATTTGCTTTCACTCAGAAGAGAAACAACAAATGACTTCCACAAGTTCCATACATGTCCTATAATACACAATAGAGCTACGGTAACTAGCCAAGTTGGTATCAGTACAAGGTTAGACTGACCAACTGTCAGATTATTCAGCCTTTCATCACACACATATGCCCCTAGACTCTCTATGCCATTTGTCATTGGGGAAATGAAAATGAAAACCATTCTAAATGACTACATTTTATATCTCTGTTAAAATGGCTAAAATTTAAAAGACTAGCCATTCCAAGGTATATCTATTAAAGCAGAATTAATGAAACCAGGAATTATCTTATCCTGCTGAAGACAGGAGACAAGAGAAACTTTAAAAAATACCACATCTTAAGTACACTCAGATGCACACACCTTTCTAGTTAATCATTTAAATTTCTCCTAAGATGGACAATGGATGGAAGGATAGGTGGATGGGTGCATGGGTACATGGGTGATGAGTGGGTGGGTGGATAGATGGGTAGATGGGTGAGTAGTAGATGGGAAGATAGAAGGATAAATCTGTTACCAGATCTGGGTCACTGGGTTTAGGGCCAGAAGTTTCTTGGTCTCATTAGAAAAATAATTTACTCACAGATAGATAAAACTTAAGCAGGAGCAAGTTTATTCATGCAAAGCAAAGTGAAAGTACACTCTCTAAGCAGGATAGCAGGCACCTCATAAATAACTAACTGGCTGCCCTGAGATTCCCAAGATCTCAAGCTTTTATTGAGGTCTATGGACATGGAGGTGATCACTCTTGGAAAACTGGATTTTCTGTCATCAGGTTTCCTAACTCCCTGCCTAACCCCTATGTCAGATGGATAAATGGATGGATGGATGGATGGATGGATGGTACTGCAGAACATGAGCACTAATGATGTACTCCTCAGGTCCCCCAGCCTCCTGCCACCATCATTCAGCAGCTACCTCAGCAGCCACTCATTGCACAGATTCCTCCTCCTCCGGCCTTTACCCCACACAGGTCCGGAAACATTAAGGAAGGTAAGTGCTCTATATTAGTATTGTTGTGGGTTTTTGAAACTGCATACTCAGAGTCAGCTTTTGGCTACTCAACATGAAAATAATTTTAACTTTCAGAAATCCACAGTAGAGTGCATGCTTAGTATGAGGGAGGCCCTCGGTTCAATCCCAAGCACCACAAGAAAAGAAAGAAAGAAAGGAAGGAAGGAAGGAAGGAAGAAAGGAAGGAAGGAAGGAAGTCCTTCATATAAGGACTCTTATATGAAGGATATTTCTGAGAAAAGAAAACAGGTGTAAGAAAGAGGACTGGACTGGAGTTGGAATAATTGTGCTCCAATCCCAACTCATTATTAGCTACACAGCCAGGCACTGGTGGCTCACGCCTGTAATCCCAGTTACTCAGGAGGTAGGGATCAGGAGGGTAGTGGTTTAAAGCCAGCATGGGTAAACAGTTCATGAGACCCTATCTTGAAAATACCCAACACCAAAAAAAGCTGGCAGAGTGGCATGGGGTCCTGAGTTCAAACCCCACGCACCAAAAAATAAAAGGTGCTACTGAGGTAACACAACAATTTGCACATTTTCTTTTCTTTTCTCTCTCTCTCTCTCTCTCTCTCGCTTTTTTTTTTTTTGAGATGGGGTCTCAATATGTAGCCCAGACTGGCCTCAAACTCTCCATCCTCCTGCCTCTGCCTTCTGAGTATTGGGATTACAGGTGTGTACCACCACATTAGGCCTATTTTTTTTAATTTTAAATTTTAAATTCTTTCTGTCTCTGTCTCTGTCTCTCTCTTCTCTCACCTCTCTCCTCTCTCTCTCTTTCCCCTCCCCCTTTGTATGCTGGCCATTAAACCCAGGGCTTCACATATGCTAAGCAAGTGCTCTACCACTGACTACACTCTGAGCCCAAGCCCCAAAATAATTTCTGAACAGATATAAAGCATGAATTGTACTTATTTATGGAATGCTATGTAGTTCCTCAACAATGTAGATGTTGTGCAATGTTTAAATATATATCTCCTCAAACACTTAGTACTTCTTTATGATGGAAGCATTCAAAATCTTTTCTCTAGTTACCACATGGACAGCACAGCAGGACTTACTTCTCTGATCCAACTACAGCACCCACCTCTCCCCAGGCCTCCCTGCCTCCTCCTCTCCCCAGTGCCTGGTAACCAGCATTCCACTGGCAGCTTTAGATCAATTTGTTTCATTCCATGTGTCTTTCTGTGCCTGGGGAATTTCACTTAATACAATGGTCTCCAGTTCCATCTACGTTCCCCTAAAATGACAGAATTTGAATGTATTTTTTGGCAGTACTGGCGTCTGAACTCTGGGCCTCACACTTGCTATGCAGGTGCTCTACACTAGAGCCACTCTGTCAGCTCATTCATGTGATGGGTTTTTTTCAAGATAGGGTCTCATGAACTATTTCCCTGGCCTGGCTTCGAACCACAACTCTTCTGATCTCTGCCTCCTGAGTGCTAGGATTACAGGCCTGAGCCACCAGTGCCTGGCAGAATTCTATTTTTTTGGTAGTATTGGGGCTTGAGTTCAGGGCCTCATGCTTGCTATAAAAATTACGTTCTTTTTATGGCAGAATAGCATTCCATCATGTATATGCAGTGCATTGTGTCCATTCATCAGTTGCTGGACACTGAGGCTGATTTCTTGGCTGCTGTGGACAGTGTTGTAGTGGACATGGTGCAATTGGCTCCTCCATGCTCTATTCATCTCCTTTGGGTACAGACCCAGGAGCAGCATTGGTGCATCTGATGGAGGTTCTATATCTTTTTTTGTTTTTGTCGTGAGAGCGTCTCACTATGTAGCTCAGGCTGGCCTGGAACTTGTGATCCTTTGCCTCACTTTCCCTGGTGGTAGGACTACAGGCATGTACCACCATGCCTGGCTACAATTTGATAAGTTTGCATGTGTGTTTATATCCATGAAACCATTACTACAGTCAAAATAGAGACCATCTCCATTATCCCCTAATGTTTCTGGTCCTTTTTAATTTTTTGGTGCTGTAATTTAACCAAGGACATTGTGCATGTTAGTCACATGGTCTACACTGAGCCACACTGCCAGCCCCTCTTCTTAATCAATGAGTAACAGCTCCTTGTATGTATATACCAGCTTGTTACACATTCACCTGCTATTGGACATTTGGGTTGTTTCCTGTTTGGTGTGGTTACAAAAAACAAAAAAGGCTGTCGTAGACATTCATGGACCAGTCTCTCTGTGGACTAGGTTTTCATTTCTCTTGAGTAATACCTAGGAGTGGAAAATCTGAATCATTCCATGGGTATCTGTACCATTTTACACTTTCCCTAGCAGTGGCTCATCACTGTGTGTGGTGGCACATGCCTATAACCCCAGCTACTTGGGAGGCAGAGGCGAGTGAGCTTGAGGCCAGCCTGGATAGCTAGTGAGACCCTGTCTCAGAAAACAGAACAAGAACCAGATGGCTGGGGGCTCAAGTGGTAGAGTGCCTGTAAAGCAATGGAGAAGCCCCACGTACAATGCCTGCAAAGCAGTGGAGAGACCCCGGGTTCAATCCCTAGTACGAAAGGTGGAGGGAACCTCACAAAAAAGACACGTGCAGTTAACTTGATGGAGAAGATACCTGTCTGGATTGACCTGGAAGCCTTTTCTCTTCATCTTATCTCAGGCCATCCTTCCAGAATCATTTCCCATCCTTGCACAAGTGCCTTGTGTTTCTCTCGTTCTTAAGTATGAGCTTTGCCAGGCATTCAAGTCTAGATTGATAGTTGTTTTCTCTCAACATTAAGGACACTTGTGATGACCTTGGGCCCACAGAGAAAACCCAGGATACACAATTCTTTTTTTGTCAGCACTGGGGTTTGAACTCAGGGCCTCATGATTGCTAGACAGGAGCTCCACCACTTGAACCACCATTTTGTTTTGGATTTTTTCGAGATAGGGTCTCCCGAACTATTGCTGGGGCTGGCTTTGAACATGATCCTCTTGATCTCTGTCTCCTGAGTAGCTAGAATAACACAGGTGCCCAGCATCTTTTTTATTATTTTTTTTTAAATTTGTGGTAAAAACACATAATATGAAATTACCATTTTTGACTGGGTGTGGTGGGCTGGGGAAATGGCTCGAGTGCTTGCCTAGCAAAGCGAGATGTCCCGAGTTCAAACTCCAGTACCACCAAAAAAAAGAAAAAGAAAAAGAAAAAAGTAAGTACCTTAAACTGGGTATGGTGGCCACCCCTGAAATCCCAGCACTGGGGAGGCCGTGGCAGGAGGATCTCGAGTTCTAGGTCAGCCCAAACTACAGAGAGAGTTCAAGGTCAGCCGGGCTTCACAGTGAGAACCGAATCACTGGTGGCAGCAAGGCCAGTGGCCCAACCTCTTTCCGGCCACCTGTGAGCCGTGCATAAAACATTGACAGGAAGTCCACCTGTGGTCACTGAGTGCACCCGGATGTCTCTGTGTCTATTTCAACAATCTTGAGGTTTGCAATTCTGCTGTCCTTGCAGACATGGTGGAGATGATGCTGATGCAAAACGCACAGATGCACCAGATCATCATGCAGAACATGATGCTCAAAGCGCTGCCTCATGCGTCTGCGCCGGGACCGCGCGCGGCCCCGCAGGTAGGTCAGAGCGAGGACTTGCGCTGCACCCAGAGCTCACCTGCAGCCCCTCCTGCCCCTGCTCGACCTGGTCTACGATGACCAGGCGCGGCTGTCGCGGTCCAGACCCCCATGTGCTCCGTGCAGGACCCGCGGTGGGCGAGCCCTACGGTCCAGCGAGCCGACCGCCGAAAGCCGCCTCCGGTGCACCACCACCACCACTACGCGCCGCTGCAGGCCGGACCCGCGCCTGCCCTCCCTGTCGCCTACTCCGCGTGGCCTCCGCTGGTCGCAGCCACCAGTTTCCTGCCCCCCGTGCGCCCCGTGCCGGGCCCGGCCACCGCTCTGCCTCCCTTTGGCGCGTAAGTTTGGAGCCGGAAGACCAGCGTTCTGGATAGGTGGTGGAAGGGCCCCAGGGTCGGGCTTGCTGCTCCCCATCCCCTGCGGAGGTGCTGCCCACACCCCAGCGGCATGGGGTGTGGAAGGAGCCTGGAAAGACCCTGTGTCTTCCAGAAGTCCAGGTCAGCCCCAGTCTCCAGGCCATGTGGACCCGTGCCATTTTCTGGGAAGCTGACTGTGGCTGGGGTGTTTTGTCCAGCTCAACGTCTCTCCCAACCTGAGGCACCCCTATCGTGTGACCCTGTAGGCCCGGCCTGGGCAGGGCACGCCAAGCATCACCCTCGCCTTTTCTCTAGGGCCTCTTTTGAAGGTATGTTGTCCTTCCATGCTCCGGGTGTGTGAGCCCCCTCCTTCCAGCCCGGTAAGCAGAGGGCATTCCATCTTTGATCACCTTCAGGGCCAGTTGGGATAGCCAGGTGAATAACTCACTCAAGTGAAATACCAGATTTCATCAGGAAAAAAATGTAAAGATTAATTCGTTGGGAGCCATAGAGCTTTAGCCACATAAAAAGTAAACATTCCTGGAGTGGGGGAAGGAGAAAGTCAAATTGAGACTGGGGGTGTAGCTCAGTGGTGGAGCCTTGGCCAGCATGTATGAGTCCCTGGGCATGTGCACACACAAAAGGAAAAGTCAAACATAGTAACTGGGGAAAGGTTTGCCACACGTGGAGAGGCCTCCTGGTGTTAAAGTGAAAGAAGCTGCAGTGTACATGAGGTACTCCTTTTGAGCCAAAGTAGCATGCAGCTATCCCTACACCACCAGCTGAAGTAGGTATGGGTTTGCATGCTGCCTGCAGTAGGTTTTTCTGGGAAGTCAAACACAGGCTGAACCCTGGCTCCTGAAGAGCAAGGGAAGGTAGCTTTCTATCTTATCTCTGCCTCCTGACAGTTAGATTTCTTCCTGTATGTACATGCTACCTTCACTCTTGCTTTATGGCTAATTTTTTTTGGGGGTAGACTGTTTCCTTATCGTTCCCCCCCACACTTTTTTTTGATACTGGGTCTCACTATGTATCCCAGGCTGGCTTCAAACTCCCTAGTGCTGAGCCCACACTCAGCTATCAATGGTGTTACTTTTAAGTATTATAAGTAAGTTTCACTGCCTTCCTTCAAGGTTAAGTTTGTTTCATTTGTTAAATTCCTCCCAAGCAGACCTTCCCTTGTCTTTGTATCCCTGGAACCTTGCAGGTTGAAGGTAGACCCTCTGGCCTCTCCTCTGGCTGACTGGCTCTCAGGCAAGAGGGATGCCCCTTTGGATCAACAGGAAGCAACACCTCCCAGGGAACTTTGGGTGGTGCCCTTTGCTTCCCTCAGAACCATCTGTCAGTGCACCCTGAGTGGGATTTTAGACTCTGCTCTTGCTAGAAGTATGAATTAAAGACCTGTTTCAACATCCTATGTTCACACGTTTTCTTTCTTTCTTTTGGTTTTTTGAGACAGGGTCTCGCTATGTAGCCCAGACTGGCCTGGAACTGGAGAGTCTCCTGCCTCGGCCTCCTAAGGGCTGAGATTACAGCACCACCATGCCTGGCATATGCAAACCTTTTTTTTTTTTTTTTTTTTTTGGTGTACTGGAGTTGAACTCAGGGCCTCAAGCTTGCTAGGCAGGCACCCTACCACTTGAGCCAAGCCCCCAACCCTTTGTTGCTTTGGCTATTTTTCTGCATAGTCTAGTGTTTTTACCTGGGGCTGACCTTAGACTATGATCCTCCTATCTGCCTCCCAGTACCTGGGGGCCGGGAGCCTAATGGGGGGGGGGGTAGGAACGTCTCTTGCTCAGGTCGGGAGGGGAGAGGAGAAGGGGCTTTCTTTGCAGGGACTCAGTGCATACAGTGCACACTTGTACCTGAGAGACATTAAAGATAACCTGCAGGAGCGGGTGGCCACCTACAGGTGTGGTAGAACTTTCATCATCAGCTGATTCATGATTTCACATAGGTCTCATCAGGACCCCAGGTTCTTCATGGCACTGAGTGTGAATCTGGAATACATACGGACTAGCAAAGGGCCAAGGACACCAATGCCTCCTGGAGTAGGTCAGGAGAGCCTGCCTCCAGAGACTTGGAACTGGGGCAGTGGGGCCAGGCTCAGACACAGCTGCTCACTCAACCCACAGGCATTGTTTCTCAGATTAGGTCAGAAGGACACTTACTCTATTAAGACACAGTTTTCTATTAAGAACTGGGCATGGTAGTACATGCGGAGGATCTGAGTTCCAGGCCAGCCTGGGATATATAGTGAAATTGTCTCAAAACAAACAAACAAACAAAACCCAAAACTCCTGGGTGCTGGGGGCTCATGCCTGTAATCTCCTGTCTGCTCAGGAGGCAGAGATAAAGAGGATCGCAGTTCCAAACCAGCCCAGGCAGATAGTTCCCAAGATAGGGAACTATTCAAGATAGGTCTTGAAAAAACCCATCACAAAAAAGGGCTGGAGTGGCTCAAAGTGTAGGCCCTCTGAGTTCAAACCCCAGTACTGCCAAAACAACAAAACAAAACAAACAAAGAAAACAAAAAATAAGGCTGAGTGAAGTGGTTTGCATTTGTAATCCCAGGTTATCTGTAATCCCAGGTTATCTGTAATCCCAGCTACTTAAAAGGAGATTGGGAGGATGGCATTTTGAGGCCAGCCTGGGCAAATAGTGAGATCCCTATCTCATGTGGTGTTATGCCTGAGGTCCCAGCTATGTGGGAATTGTAAATAGAAGGAACACAGAACTGTCATTAGGGTGGCCCTGGTAAAAATAAGAGATCCCACCTGAAAAACAAACTAAAATAAACAAGGGCTGGGTGTATGGCTAAGTGCCCAGCAAGCTTGAGGCCCCTAAGTTCAAAACCCAGGACTGCCAAACACACTCACCCACCTCCACACATCAAACAAAAAACATCAAATTGAGAAGAAAAAAGAAAAATCAATAGAAAAACAGGCAACAAATAGGAGCAAAAAAAAAAAAATCTTCACAGCAGAGGAGACAAAGATGAGCCAGTCAGATGATTGTGATGGGGAAGCAGGACAGTCCCAGTGTACACCTGGAACACCCCTGCACAGGGATCAGAACATAACCAGCTTCCTGTCTCGGACCCTGGGTCACTGGCTTCGGGCTGCTGAGGAGGAAGCACTGGGTATGCCCAATAAAGCTGGATCTCGTGACCCCAAGATCCCCAATCCCCGAGTAATTCTCTATGAAGCCCTACTCTCATAGTCTCCAGGACTCCAACCTCTAATAGCCAACAGGGGGAGCCTCCCTAACACCCAGAGGCAGGGCCTCTTCCTATCTTTTCAGAAGGATTGTGAACCCAAGTTATGGAGTTATGCCCTGTTAGACAGTAAGCAGACAAAAATCTTGCATAGCCAACAATGACTACAGGGACTGGTGGAGTGGCTCAAGTGGTAGACTACCTGTCTAGAAAGCAGGAGGCCCTCAGTTCAAACCCTAGTACCAGTACTACCACCACCACCAGATGCACACACACACAGACTGGAATGTCCTGTCCCACATGGAGAGCCATGGGAGCAGGTCAGGTTAAGAATAGACTACAGTGGGAAAGGCATCTTTACATTTCTAGACAGTTTAATGGATACACAAGTGATCTGAATCACAGTATTACCAGCTTTTGGGCTAATAAGGTTCTGAGCCTGTATCTTACCAGTATGAGCTCCCTACAGAAATCCACCGCACATGCTGCCCTCTCTGGCAGGGTGGGAATCTTGGAGGGGTCAGGGGCCAGCATCCTCCTGACCTGTCCCCCCCAAGGATATGGCCTTCATAAAACCTGCATTTACTCTGGACTCTGGGCTTATTTTAATTTCCAGGGAAATAGGAGCTAGAGATGGAGTGAGATTTCTTCAGCAAGGAGCTTGGGAGCTGGGTGTGTAGGGGGCAGTGGGGAGACTGGACGGACAAAGCAGAAGGTTGGCAGGCAGGGTGGTGGAGAGCCCAGGGCCCAGGAGCTACTGACTTTCCTGCGGTGGTGTCTGCAGTTGATGCCTCACGACAGATGAGGGGCTGCGAGGTGTCTCTGCACGTTCACTGACCTCGTGGGCCAAACACGGTGCACCTGTCACTGACAGGTGTGCTTTTGGATTGGCCACTGTCCTCTTAGGAACAAACAAGGTCACAGAGCTCCTGAGGGTTAGGGCAGGACCCCAGCCCTCTCTAGCCTGCAGATGGGCAGAAGTCCCCCGTCCCCCCACCCCTGGCCTTCATGGAGGGACATGGCACTCTGGCCTGCTCCTTCTATTTCTGGCAGGCTGCAGAGAGTAGACATCCTCTTCAAATCCGAGGAAGATTGGTAGAGGGGCTCTAACTCTCTTGATGGAGACCCCCTCCACAGGTTTCTTCTCCCCAGTAAAGCCTGTGCTGGCATATTACAAACAAAAATCGAGAACCCCCAAGACGCATATGGGGTTTACAAGGATGAAGACAGCCTTCTAAACTGGAAGGGTCTTTTATACTGTAACAAGCTGAGTTCCAGTGGTAGAATTTAGCCTTAGCATGGGCTGGCACCTGTGGCCCCCTGGACCACATAACCAGCACAATTCCATTCTGGGGGGCCCTCCAAGCCCTGACCCTTGGTCCATTGACCCTCTCCTCTGTGTCCTGGAGCGTCAGCAGCATCAGTAGAAGCCTCTGGTCAGGGGCTCAAGCCTGGCTCCAGTGCACCTGCTCAGCTCCTCCAGCACCTGCTTCTCCTGGCAGTACATCTGGAACACAGAGGCACAGGTGCTGGTGGGGTCTTTGGGGGTACCCTCTGGTTGGGGTCGCCTCCTCCCAAAGCCCCTCCCTGCAGCCTGTGACCAGAGCAAAGGCCTGGCGGGCTCAGCCTGATGGTCCCTGCACAGAAGCACCAGCTGCTCCAGGTCTTGTGTGTCTCCACCAGTGCCAGTGCAGTGAGACCTGAAAAGAGCAGCAAGCCGGGGCTGTTCAACTGAATTCCAATACCACCAGGTGGAATAATACTTAAATGTGGTACCTGGGAAGTCCAATATTTGAAAGAATGCCTGTCAGCCTGTTTTACAAAGGACAGGCCAGCTGCCTGGTTCCTGCTTTGGGCTATGGGGATAGCAGCCTGGGGGTGCCTCGTGGGTGCAGGCTCCTACCTTCTGCCACTCGGCCTCTGAATGGTGTGTGAAGCCCAGGAGGTGACAGAGTCCGTGGGTAGCTGTCACCTGTTGGAATAATTAAAAAGCTGGCTCAGGGGATGATCCAACAGGAAGCTACCCCTTCAGGATCACTCCTGAAGTGAAGGAGTGTTAAGATCAACTTGTGGAGTGGAAATATAATGGAGGGGTGAATTTGTTCCAAATGCACTGTGATTTCATTGTGGAATTATCACAATGAAATCCTCTCCTATTATTAATGCAAAAAAAAAAAATACTGAGTTGAATTGTGCCAGGATGCGGGGTACCTGTTCTGGGCAGGAATGAAAGTACTCAGCCCCAGTTCACTTCTGTCTAAGATCAGAACAATCCACAACTCATAGGGTAGTGTGGAGCAGCACTGTCAGGGGCTGGTCATGGGATTGGAGATGGGCAAAGAGGAGCAGCATTGTGGCGTCTGTTTAAGGAGTTAAGAAGTCTCGCTACATCTGCAGTCCCAGGTGGGAGCATTGCTTGGGTGTGAGACAAGGAAATGGACAGAACAGTAAATAATGTTTTAGCTTCTCACTGAGGTCACACAGCATAAAGACAGGGACCATCAGATAAGGCTCTAGGAGTAAGGTCAAAGTAAATAACTGAGTAGCCAGAGGGTCAGAAGAAAATCAATGTAGATAAGACTCTCAAAGATGTAGCCCAAGGCCTGGGTACTGCAATCCCAGCTGAGGCAGGAGGATCATGATTTGGAGGCCAGCCTGGGTAACATAGTGAGCTTGAGGGTGTCCTGGACAATGGAGTGAGAACATCTCCAAACAAACAAACAAACAAACAAACCAATCAACCAATCAAACAACGACAAAAAAGAAGCCCCAAACAAGTATGTCTCACTAAAGATAGAATGGCATGTCTCTATTAAGCGCACACTCAACTCTGTGTGTACTATTTTTTGCTAATAAATCTGCTTAAATCTCACATCTGACTGATCCTTAAATTCTTTTCTGTGGAGGAGTCAAAGACCCTCCCATGGCCTGAATAGAGGTGTCCTTCTGTTCTCTTGGGGATCTCCTTGGGACTCCACTTACCATGTGACAGGTCCAGGAGTTCAAAACCAGGTTGAACAAAGCTTAAGCAGCAAGGAGAGGGGGTGAGTGTAAGAAAGGGAGGGTGGGGTGGGAGGTACAGGTTGGTACTGGACACCCTGAGCTAAGAGGGAAGGGGTTAAGGGTCAACCCTATATCCCAGGCTCAATCCTGGGGAGGAGAAGATTCACTACTGGGGAGACATGAGAGTAAAATAGGGATCAGGGTTCTGGAACATTTTGCTGATGGCTCTGTGTTGAGGCTCCACATAGTGGGGAGGGCGAGGCAGGGCACGGGTAGGGGAGGTGAGATGCAGAGGCTGAGTTGGGAGACCCACTGTGGGCTGTCTCCACCTACAGACAGGGTTGGGCTGAAGTCCACAGGAGAAAGCCCAGAACTGGGGGAGAGGAGTAATGGGGGGGGAGCCCTGTGGCCAAAGTCAGGAACCCTCTGGAGATGGCTGCAGCCTGCCTGGGGCACCACATGGGAGGCTGAGGAGTGGAGTAGGGCAGGGACTATAACCTGTGAAAAGTGTGATCTCCCCTGGAGTGAGGGTGAAGGAGACATCTGATATAGGGAGGGTACAGCTGGAGCCTAGGCCTTAGCAGGGTTGGCCAGGCCTGTGCCCATGAAGATGGGCCCCTAGGAGCAGGCTGGCTCTCCACCAGGGGAAACAGGGAGCCCCCAGAGGAGGGAGTGAAGGGAACAGAATCTTCTGGAGGTGTTTGAATTGAGGGCCTTTTGCTAGGCAAGCGGTTCATCACTTGAGCCACTCCACCAAGCCCTTTTTTGTGCTGGATACAGGGTCTCATTTTTTTGGTGGGGGGAAGCTGGCTGGCCTCCAATCAAAAAGCAATCCTCCTCTGCCTCCCTAGTATAGGATTATAGGTGTGAACCACTTAATGTCTTTGTGACTACTAGATACAACTAAGATTGACATCCAGGTAACACCTGAAACCTACGATTTCCCCACCTTGCTGTAGCTGCCTACCTGATGCTCCCATCAATGTAACTAATAAATGTATTGACTTATGACTTCCCTTTGTTCTTTTGTCTATCCTATGAAACAGGATAGACTTATAAGATGACATGAAAATCATAAAAAAAAAAAAATATGACCAAAAAGCCAGATTCAGGAATTAAGACAGAAGTAGGAAGTAAAACTGAAGTCACTAGAACAACAAGGAATTGCACTGCCTGCATCCCTTCCAGCACCCTCCCCTCCCTCCCTTTTTTCTTTTTGAGAAAGCAAAGATTTATGGGGATGCCATTAAAAGGAGAGACAATACCAGCACAGGAGCACAGCACAGTGCTCTTCCCCTTCTTTTGATGCTGAGCAATTTGGTCTGAAACAGAAGGTATTTCCTTGACTAGAAAGGAATGCCTGAAAAGGTTACACCCATTATCTCCATATTTTGAATAACAGTAGTCCCACCCTAAACCAATTATCTACATTCTTGGTAATTTAGTAAAATGAAGGGGGGCAGGGCGTTGCAGATTGGAATCCCCCAGCTCAGAAGATAAAAATGCATCCAGGACAAAGACTGCCATTTTGAGCCTCTTGCTCTCACCTCCTGTGTCAGGGGGTGCTCCTTTTCTCCTTTTCTATTTCTCCCTACTTTGCCCTGTGCTGCTGAATAAATCTTTGCTAACCTTACATTGTGGGTTTCCTTTTTTTCTGAAACCCCTTGAAATGCTTTTCATTATATATTCTAAGGGCCTTGGATTGAGAGGGTCATTGGGGACCTGAGTTGAAGATTTTACCCTTTCTCTTATTTGGGAAAACCCTTCCCAGTGACAACTATAAAACGTCATGGGCTAGACTTAGCCACACATGCCTGTAATCTAGCTACTCAGAAGGCAGAGACTGGAAAGACTGTGGTTCAAGACCAGCTGAGCAAAAATTAGTGAGACCTCATCTCAACAAAAAGTTGGTAGTAGTAGCACAAATAAGCAATCTAACTACACAGAAGGCATCACAGCTCATGCTATCTCTGGGCGAAAAAATGTGAGACCCTATCTGAAAAACAGCTAAAGCAAAAAATGACTGAGGGCATGGTTCAAGTACAGCATTCCTAGCAAGCATGAGGCCCTGAGTTCAAACCCAGTACTGCCAAAAAAGCATTCGTGTAACCTCTTCCATGGTGGAACATGTTGGAGCACTTGATCTTTGTTCTTGGGCTCTCATATTTGGCTCAGAATCAGCTACTTTCACATATTCTTTTTTTTTTGGCAGTGCTGGGGTTTGAACTCAGGGCCTCACACTCTTACCACTTGGGCCACTCTGCCAACTCTTTCTTATGTTCTATACAGTGCAGTTAGTTATTTTACCTTAAAAGGTGTAAAGACCCCAAGGTGTAACCCTGTGTTGAGCCACTTCTATCACTCTCAGGAAGAAAGTTTGCAACTTTCTCCTCTGTATAGCAGTAAGCCCCACCCTGGCCCCAGAGGGTGCAGTCAGGCAAAGGTTACAACCTTCACACTGGTTCTCCTGGAAAGCATAAAGATGCCCAGGCTGTGGCTGTTCTGCCAAAAGAAGGTGTCTCAAAGGCTGGTGGAGTGGTTCAAGTGGTAGAGTACCTGCCTAGCAAGTGTGAGGCCCTGAGTTCAAACCCCAGCACTGCCAAAAAAAACAAAAGTGTCTCGATTGAATCCGTGAACAAGCAGAATATGACTTAATGGCATCCTTCACTAGTCAGTTTTTTATTCCTTTTCCATCAAGCTGAGGAGACAAACCTGAAAGGTTCTGGAGGCTTATATCCTCCTCTCCATTTTGTAAGTTTAGTAAGAATCTCATCTGGCAGGCCTCTGCTGATATCCAGAGATAAAAGCTGAGAAGGCTCATGGGAATTCCTGTTTTTTGAAGGTTGTGCTATGGACTTAATAAGTTGTCCCACAGCAATGCAATGGTACCCGTGGACATTAGTGTGTCCACAGGGTCTCCTCAACCCCACTGTAATGGCAGGACAGGTAACTTCAGCAGCCCCACTTACAGTCAGCATGTCATAGTAGTCTTCGTCTTCTTTGCACTGCTGGAAGATATATTCCACTCCTAGGAAAATGTCTCCCAAATTATAATCCTCTCGAAAATCTGGCTGGGGAAGTTCACCTGCTTTCAGATTCTAAAAATGAAGAAACAGACTTGGAGGACACCGTGTTCAGAAAAGGTAACCCGACCACAGGATCTGGCTGGCTACTGACTGCAGGGCACCATCCAGGGCCTAAGGGGGGTGGCGGTGAATGGATTGCACAGCCACTACACACAAGTGTCCTCAAATGCTTCCATCTTGTTAAATGACTTACTTTCTGTTTCTTTCTCTCTCTCTCTCTTTTTTTTTTTGGCAGTACTGGGGTTTGAACTCAGGGCCTAATGCTTGCTAGGCTTGCTAGGCAGGTGTTCTACCACTTGAGCCACTCTACCAACCCCTTACTTCTATTTCTTTCATCCCTCCCAATGTGGAATCACACAGAATCACAATTTCTAGAGTTATAACAGCACATCAACAATTTTATATTTATTTTTTCTGCTTAGTATTGTGTACTGAACAAAGTCCTTCATTTCTGCAGATGCTTAAAGACCAGTCCCTCAGGTGAGAATTGTTCACACTAAGTCAGTCACCTGTGGTTGGATACTTAGTATGCTGCCATTTTTTTCTTATTACAGGAAACAAAAAGTGAACATTTTAACACATTTACATTACATTTATCATTGTATCATTTTTCCTTTTTTGGATTTACTTCCTGACACTAGTGGATTATTGATACGTGTTTGTTTAAAAGGCTCTCCAAGCACTGCATACTGCCCAATTACTTCAAAAGGACTGCTCCAATTTATGCTGCTACTAACAATGAGCAAAGCCTTGAATTTACATAATGTAGCTATCATATATTTGTTGAAAATATCTACCCTGGTTTCTTTTCACTTTTCCAACCCAAACATATTCATTAGGTCATGCTTAAAATTTTTGTTTTGTAACTCTGAATTGTCCGTGTCAAGTTGTTATGATTTTACCCTCATAAAAGCAAAAATCTAAAACAATCAATGTGGCTTTTTTTTTTTTTTGTGGAACTCAAATTTGAACTCAGGGCTTCACACTTGCAAAGCAGGTACTATACGGCTTGAGCCACATCTCCAGTCCATTTAGATCTGATTATTTTGGAGATGGAGTCTCATGAACTATTTGCCTGGTCTGGTCTCTAACCTCAATACTCCAGATCTCAGCTAGCTAGGATTACAAGTGTGAGACACTAGCACTGGGTATGACTTTTCTTTCAGCAGGAAAATGGCAGGACTTCCACAAACTGAAGCACTGTGATTGCAATTTGCTTTCAAGCTTAAATTTGAAGAGGTACTTCTTTTAGTTCACCAACAGCAACAAGGGGCAGAGAGTGCAGTCAACTACACCTTTTGGAATTGTAGGCTCTAGGGGTGGGCATGCTCAATGGGGGTGACTCACACTGCTATCTACTTTTGTGTATTTTTTTAAAATCTCAAAATCAAAATTAAGAACTACGTCTACTATTATCCAGGAAAGGTATTCTGGAGGGAAAGCTTGACAAGAAGAGAAATGTATTTTTTACCTCATGAAATGGGAAAGAAAGCACATCAGTTGGGGTATTTTTCTTTCTGTAGATCCTATTAATGTGCTGAATATTCTTGTTGTCAACATAGACGATCCCCAGGTCAAATCTCTGCACGCCTAAAATACTCCTTACAATCTCCATCTTCCTTCGAAGTGGCACTCTCCTAATTGCAATCGCTCGCTGCAAATTTCTGATCACCAGACTCATTTCAGGGAGAGCACCGCTCTTTCAAATGTTTGGGAGGACCCTGTGTTCAAGTTGAAGACAAGACCCATTAGTACTAGAAAGCGACAAATTCTATACACATGCATACACACGTAAACCACTTTACTTGGTGGGATTTGTTGACAGCTTTGAGGGAATTTTCATTTACCATAGGAAGTCATTAAAATGTTCTCAGCGTGGATAATGGCCATGAGGACATTAAGAAGGCCAGTGGAAGGGGAGGGCCATTAGCAGTGACGGGGTAGACTGCGGCCAGGACTAGGTGTGGGCACCGTGGGTAGGTGGAGTGGAATGGAGGAGGGACGGGGGAGGGGAGGGTGGCGCGGCGTGGGGAGGGAGGCAGCGGTAGATCGGACTTCCGGGCGCTGGCGGCGGCCCACGAGGGAACATAGGCCGACCGCCCAGGCACGTACGGGGGCCCGGAGCGGAGCAGCTGAGCAGAGCAGAAGGGGCCGGGAACCGCGGACGCGCAGGGGGCTGGCCTCCCGCAGGAAGCCGCGCCGCCGTTCGCCTCAGGAGCGGAAGCGGATGCTGCGAACCGGAAGTCGGTCCGCCGCGTTCTCTGCCCGCCGCGTTCTCTTCCCGCCGCGTTCTCTGCCCGCCGCGTTCTCTGCCCGCCGCGCGCAGCGAAAGGCTGCTCCAGCGGCCGGTGCCTGCGCCTTCCGCGCGCCCAGTGCCCAGCGCGGCGGGAGGAGGGTTGGGGCGGCGGAAGGGAGCCGAGGGCAAAGGGCGAAGGCGGCGGAGCGGCGAGGGCCTGGCCTTGCGGCGGGCGCACGGTGAATGCCGGACGGCCCGCCCCATCTCGGCTTCCCCGTCGCTAACGGCGAGGCCTGCTGGGTTCGGCCAAGCTGCCCGAGGTTTCGCCCAGCCCGCCTCTGTCATCCTTTGGGCCAGTTCCTGGGCAGTGACCAGCGCAGTAAAAAGCAGTGCATTTCTAGGCCTGAGAAAAGTATTTCCTGCTCCTGTTACAGGTGAAAAATTAGATGGTAGGAAGCACTGAAACAGTAACCTTTTACAGTGTTACATTGTAATTCTGTGGTCATGGAGACTGGGAGAATCCCGCGAAGTTCCCCTCTTTAAGTCGAAAAGTGTAAGTAACCGCATTCGTTCTTATTACTGAATGACTTTTCCCGAATTTATCAACTAAGTAAAATGATTTGAACTTTTAATTTTTGTTTTTGGCGGCACTGGGTTTGAACTCAGGGCCTCACACTTGCCAGGCAGGAGCTCTTACCCCTTGAGTCACTCCGCCTGCCCTTTTTTGTGCTGAGCTTTTCTGAAATAGAGGCTGGATCCGCGATCCTTGTGATTTTTGCCTTCTGGAGTAGCTAGGATTACAGGCGTGAACCATTGTGGCCTGCCGGACTTTTATTTTTATTTATTTATTTTGGTGGGACTGGGGTTTGAATTCAGGGCTTGCCCCCTTGCAAAGAAGGCGCTCTACCGCTTGAACCACACCTCCAGTCCACTTTGCTCTGGTATTTTGGAGATGGGGTGTGTGTGTGGTGTCTCACGAAGAACTTGCCCCAATCTGGCCTTGAATTCACTGGATCTCTGAGCCACTGACGCCTGTCACGACTTTTATGTGAATCTTTTTTTTTTTTTTTGGTGGTATTGGGGTGTGAACTCAGGGCTGCATACTTGCTAGGCAGGAGCTTTACCCCTTTAGCCACACCCCAACGCCCAACTTTTAATCTTAAAGGATCTGGCTTTTAACTTTCATTACAAAGTAATTTATTTGTATTATCTATCCGTGCCCTCCAACAAGAACCTGTTGGCTCTCAAACTGAGGGTGCTTGATCCTTTGTGTTGGCCGTCTTTAATTATCCTTAAGAATGTAACATGTGATTCAGAGCTTTTATTAGTCTTCTAGCAGGATGTGCTGTGATGATCTGAATTTTTGTCTTTCAGCTTTATCCTGAAGATGAAGGGGAATTCCCTAGATAACAAACTGTTTAAGGAAGAGAACTAGTTTTGTAAAAATATTTATTGCTTTCTAATTATTGGGTAAAAGATGAACCCGGGAAACCCTTTCAGTGGGCAGCAGGCTAGTGCTTTTGCAGTATCTTCTAGTAGTTCTGTAGGTACATTTCAGGCTAAGCCACCATTTCGCTTTGGTCAGCCTTCTCTTTTTGGACAAAACAATACATTATCTGGGAAGAGCCCAGGATTTTCACAGGTACCCAGCTTTGCAGCACCTTCCGGAGTAAGTCAATCCTCTTCAGTGCAAACGTTTGGAGTCACCCAGACCTCAAGTACTGCACTCTTTTCTGGACTTGAACACACTCCTCCTTTTGTAGCTACCTCTGGGCCTTCAAGTTCGTCTGTGCCTAGAAACCCAGGATTTAGTTTTACATCACCCAGCACTGGGATTTTTCCAAGTACTTCCACTTTTGGACCAGAAGCTGGAGAAATAGTGAGCTCTGGTTTTGGGAAAAAAGAATTCAGCTTTAAACCTCTGGAAAATGCAGTATTCAGACCAATACTGGGGTGTGAGTCCGAGCCAGAGAAAACTCAGAGCCAAATTACACCTGGGTTTTTCAAATTTTCCCACCCAATTAGTGGACCTGGAGGCCTGACCTCTTTTTCTTATCCTCATGTGACAAGTAGCTCAGCTACAAATTCAAGTTTTATCTTTTCAAAACCAGTTAATAGTAGTAATTCATCATCTGCTTTTACCCCTGCTTTGCCAAACCAAAATGTAGAGGAAGATAAGCGGGTACCCAAATCAATATTTGGAAGTTCTAGTAGTAGTAGCTTCAGTAGCTTCCCTGTTACATCATCTGGGTCTTTGGGAGAACCCTTCTCAGTTAGCAAAACTGGTGTCCGACAAGGGTGTGAAGATGCTGTTTCCCAGGTGGAGCCACTTCCCAACCTTATGAAAGGACTGAAAAGGAAAGACGACCAGGATCGTTCCCCCAGAAGACATGGCCATGAGGCAGCAGAAGACTCAGACCCTCTATCCAGAGGTGATCATCCTCCAGATAAACGCCCTGTGCGCCTGAATCGACCCCGGGGAGGGACTCTGTTTGGTCGGACAATACAGGATGTCTTCAAAAGCAATAAAGAAGTAGGCCGTCTGGGCAACAAGGATTCCAAAAAAGAAAGTAGTTTTGTGGAGTCTGGGGAAAGTGAACATATGGCAATCCCAGGAGGGAGTCAGTCTGCTCTGGCATCTTCCCGGCTTCCAGGTGTGAATAAAGAGGAAGAAACCCAAAGCAGAGAGAAAAAAGAAGGTGAGTTTTAAAAGTGTACAATCCAGAGTACATCCAGCTGGCAGGTTCTTGGTGAGTCTCCTGAGTGTTAGCTTGATTTTTCTGAAAAGTATTAGAGATTCTAATATAGGGTCTTGGAGCTTTTCCTTTGCTTTCACACAGTTGGTGCTTCCTGTTTCAAATGTTAACATCTGATGGGTTTAGGTGTCTGTTCTCTGAACCCCTAGATTCTCTAAGGGGAACTCCTATACGTCAGAGTAAAAGAAGTGAGAGCACGGACAGTCTTGGAGGCTTGTCTCCCTTGGAAGCCACAGCTATTCAGTGTAAGAACATCCCGATTACCTCAATGACAGAACCATCCTGGAGAACCACTTCAGCAAAATCGCTAAAGTACAGCGCATATTTACCAGGCGCAGCAAAAAGCTTGCAGTGGTGCATTTTTTTGATCATGTAAGTATTCCCGACTTGCCACTTGTTACCACAAGTTTGAACTTTGTCACTTTTTTTTTCTTTTATTATTCATATGTGCATACAAGGCTTGGGTCATTTCTCCCCCCTGCCCCCACCCCCTCCCTTACCACCCACTCCACCCCCTCCTTCTCCCCCCCACCCCCTCAATACCCAGCAGAAACTATTTTGCCCTTATTTCTAATTAACTTTGTCACTTTTAAACATTTTTTTTTCCCCTCTTCCATTGATCTTTGTTTGCTTGAATATGGAGTAAGCACTCAGATATCTCCTTATTAACCTGGAGAGGCTGATGTAGTACTGTTCATTTTGTAACTTGGAGTTGTGAAAGGCTGAGGTCTTTGCAGAATGCAGTGCTCCAAGAAAGCTCTGAGTGGCTCACTTGAGTTTAGTTTCTCTGAAAGGCTTGGAGTGGCTCCATATCCACACTCACTTGTTCAAACTTGAGTTTTCTGATTTTGGTTTTATTTGTTCATAGTACATGTTCGATAAAAACATTCAGACAACATAGAGAAAAAGTGAAATCTCTTATAATCCCATCGCCCAGATAACTTCTGGGTTTGCAGCCTTTCACTGTGCATGTGAAACATTGGTTATAGGGTATACATGCACATGCACTGCACACTTTAGGCAGCGTTATATCTTTATTATTTTTTCTAACTATTTTTTTGGGGAAAATTAAGTTCTATAGGCGTTTATGAAGTAGAAAGCATATTTTCCTTTTTTTTTTTGGGGGGGTGGATTGGGGTTTGAACTCAGAGCTTTGCATTTGCAAACCAGGCACTCTGGCACTATAGTCCATTTTTCTCTGGTTGTTTTGGAGATGGGGGTATTTTTAGAACTATTTGCCTGGGTGATCCTCCCAATTTTGGCCTCAGTGAGCCCACTGATGATCTTCCTGCCTCTACCTTCCCAGTGCTGAGAGTATAGGCATGGGCCACCATGCTCGGCTTATAACTTTTTATAGACATCTCTCTCTTTTTGTTTTTGCTTTTGGTGGTAGTGGGGTTTGAACTTACAGCCTCATGCTTGTCAGGGTCCAGCCAGTGGCTCACACCTATAATCCTAGCTACTCAGGAGGCAGAGATCAGGAGGATCAGGTTTGAAGCACACCTGGGCAAAACCCTATCTCAAAAATACCCAGCAACACAATAAAGGTCTGGCAGAGTGGCTCAAGTGGTAAAGTGCCTGCCTAGCAAATGTGAGGCCCTGAGTCCAAACTCCAGTCCTGCCAAGAGAAAGAGAGTGTCTTGCTGTGTTGCCCAGGTTGGCCTTGAACTCCTGGGCTCAAGCAATTCTCTTTTTGTTTTGGGGTTTGAACTCAGGGCCTCCATGCTTGCCAGGCAGGCACTTTACCACTTGAGCCACTCCATCAGCCCTTCTTTGTGTTGGGTATTTTCAAGATAGGGTCTTAAGAACTATTTCCATAGCTGACTTCAAACCTTGATCCTTCTGTTCTCTGTCTCCTGAGTAGCTAGCATTGCAGGTGTGAGCCATTGGCACTTGGCTTTCAAGCAATATTCTTGTTCTGAATAGCTTGGATTATAGATGTGTGCCTCCATGACTGACTTATCTGAAATCAATAAAAAGTTTCTATTAGAATAAGATTGTTTTTTGGTACTGGGGCTTGAACCAGGGCCTTGACCATGCTAGGCAAGCATTTCAGCTACATACCCAGCCCTTCTGTTTATATTTTGATAGGGTCTCACCAGCTTTGCCCAGGTGGGCCTTGAACTTTTCTATCCTCCTACCACCTTCTGAGTAGCTTGGGATCCCAGGCATGTTCCACCACATGGGATTGTTAAATGCTATGTGGCACTTTATCCTGTTTACTTGCTTACCTGACTGTTTCTCTATTTTTGGATGTTATTGTGTATATATATTTCTCTCTCTTCTTTTTTTTTGTAGTGCTAGGGATTGAACTTGCACTCACCACTGAACTACATCCCCAGCCATTGGCTGCGACAGCATCTCACTATGTTGCTCAGGTGGTCCTGACCTGGAGGTCTTTTTGCCTCAGACTCCCACGTGCTGGGATTATAGGTCTTGCTGATCACCATGCCCAGTACATGTTCATTATCTCAAACAGAAACTCTATAAACATTAAGCAATAACTCTCCTCTCCTCCAGCCTGTGGCTACCTCTAATTTCTGTCAATGGACTTGCCTATTCTAGATATTATATACTTATGGGTCATAAATATTTGTCTGTTTGTGTAGCTTATTTCATTTAGCATTATTTGAAGGTTTGACTACATTTAGCATGAATCAGAACTTTTTTTCCTTTTATGGATGAGTAATTTTTCATTGTATGGCTGGACCATGTTTCATTATTACATTCTTGTGTTGGTAGATACATGGGTTGTTTCTACCTTTGGCTAGTGTAGATAATTCTGCTCTGATCATTGGTATATTAGTATCTGTTCGTGACCCTGCTTTACATGTTTTGTTTTGTGGGGGGAGGGAGTATTCTTGGGAGTGGAAATATGGTAATCCTCATTTCTAAAATTTAAATTTTTTTGGCTTTTTGAGACAGGGTCTTGCTATGTAGTCCAAGCTGGCCTTGAACTTACTATCCAGTGCCTCAACTTCCCACATGCTGAGATTATAGGCATGCACCACCACACACAGCAATAATCCTCAATTTAAAAAAAAGTTTGCCTATGTAATGTGTTTATTCCCTCAGGTGAACCATAAATATTTTTATTATAGAACTGATATGAAAATACATTGCCATTGTACATAATTCACTGATTTCCCCCACCCTCAGTTACCCCGTGTGGTGCAATTTTTTTTTTTTTTTTTTTTTTTTAGTGGTATTAGGGTTTTGTCTCAAGCAGGCGACAGTGGAAAGTTGACCATCAATCAGGTGCTAAATGAATTAACTTAGGCAGGAACTAAGTTGCTCATACACACACTTTATTGTAGGGAGTTACAACCTATGCCCGATAGTGCCTCAGCCTTCCCCAAGCTGTGCTAACCTTGCAACATGAATCTTAGTCTGCTGGCGGCTGGCTCCGAACTGGTCCTGGCTAGTTCTCAGTCTCCATAGGCCTCCAGGACGCCCAGGGAATCTGGCGGGCCATGCAGGGTGTCCGGTCCACTTCGTCCAGGGGTTGCTTTCCACCGGTGTGATGCGTGTTGCCGGTCAGGAGGAGGTGGCGTTGGTCTCGTGGGGAGTGGAGTTTAAATATTCACAGTGGGCTTGTTTATCGGCACCAGCTTAGGGTTAGCTGATCTGCATATCAGCACCAGCTGAGGTTTGGCTGATTTGCATATCGGCACCAGCTGGGGGTTGGCTTATTTGCGTATCAGACACCATATGGTATTTGTTTACTTCATAGGGCATACAAGTGCACACAATATTGTTTTCCTATAGGTTTTACAATATATTATATTTTTATATAATTTTTCAATATGTTTAATGCACAGCAAACATAATACTCGTAACAGTTTGAATTCAGGACCTCCTGCTTGCCACCACTTGAGCTACTCCACCAGTCACTAGACATCTTTATAAGGATATCTATGCACATACATGCATAACATGTAGTTGGTCTTGTGATGAATGGTATCCCATGTGTATCACTTTGCATCTGCCTTTGGTGCTTACGTATGACTTGGTAGTCTTTCTGTTTCTGTATATGTAATCAACTGGTGAAATATTCATCTCACCAAATGCCAGGGGCCAAGTTCCTGGATTCTATCTCAGCAAAGTTGTTAATTTTAAAAAGGAAAAAAAAATAAATAAAAAGGAAAAGAACACATACATGTTTATGAGACAGGTAAAGGAGATGAGGCTGTGGCTGCAAAAGCTAGAGGTAGATGAGGGCAGAACACACGGTGGGAGGAGGCATCACTGTGGTATGGAGGACAGTAGATACTCTTATTTTTGAGTGGTCTGTTCTACTCACTGCATTTGTGTGCCCAGGCTCACGTTCTTTAGTGTCCTCATACTTGGTGGGTACGGACTGTTTTACAGGCATCTGCAGCCCTTGCTAGAAAGAAGGGGAAAGGCTTGCATAAGGATGTGGCTATATCTTGGCACAAGAAGAAAATAAGTGAGTTTTCAATTATTCTTTGCATGATCTAATTCTCTGTGTGCAAGGCCCTTTGACCTGTGAGTTTGAATCCTTTCCCCATGACCAGTGAATGGGGAAGCTGGCTCTTGAGTGGATTCTTATGTCTCATAGTTTTTTCCTTGCATTCTTTTGTAACCCCTGTGACAACTGTAAGAATATTGCGTTCTCAAAAAGAAATTAAGAAGTCCAGTATGAGATCTGTGTTGTATAAACTGTCTTCTGACTCCTGTGTCCACAGGTCCCAACAAGAAACCCTTTTCCCTGAAGGAGAAGAAACCTGGTGATGGTGAAGCCAGCCAGAGCACAGAGGACTCACCTTTCGGCACTCTCCTCTTGGCAAGCCTGTTTGAGGACTGCAGCCAGCAGCCTCCTGAATAAAAGGTAGAACTGGCCTTTCCTACTGGCCACGTTCAGGAAGGAAAAATGTCCTACTGTGACACCTAAGTAGGGATTTGGGACAGGGGTGGTGGGACAAGAACTAGTTGCTAGAGATTTTGAGGGGTGAAGGGCAGTGGTCCTTCTGAACCTTGCACCCACAGCCAGCATGAGCAGTGGGATGATTTGGGACTGCAGGTCTGCACAGGGCTGGTGGTCCTGGCTGGAGAATTGGAGAATGAATTTTCTTCATTTGGACTTGCCAGCTTCAGGGCTGACTTTGTCTCTTTCTCAGATACCCTAGGACCTAGGTTGCTGAGAAGGTCATTTTGGGAGGCTGGCCTTTTCTCCCCACCCTGGGCATTTTCTTTGTGAGAACCACATCACAAAGCTCCTGTAGCTGGAATGGTTCTCTTAACTGCAGCTGCAGAGGTCCTGGGACTCAGTTCCTGCTCAAGAGGCTGGTCACTTAGTACAGCAGAGCTTCTTTTGCCTGTGTAAAGAGTGCATGCCTCATGGGGTGCATGGAGTGTGCTGGTCATCATCTGCCTCACATGCAGTGGGGGCATGTCTCTTTGCTGGGCTAACTCTGTCCCACATCCCATGAAGTCACTGAAGTCACTTGCAGTTTTACCTGACAAGTAAGTGCACATGCTATAACTTTTCCTCTTAGATGGCCTGACTACAATAACTATACATTCCTAATAATCACATCTGACAGTTTCCAGCATGATTTTCTATGTCTAGCTTACTGCAATAAACCAGGCATTGTCTCTCATGGTAGTGGTATGCTGCCATATGGTGTGAGCGTGGTTGCTTCTCTGTCATGTGGCCACCTGTTTGTCTGGTGAACTGTCCCAGAAGTCTGTCCCTTTGCTTTGTGTTCTAAGACACCTGACTGCCATCACCTTTTCGTGCTCGGCCTGCTTCAACAAGTCTCTGTTTAATGTCTTCTCATCTTTTGGCCAGCGCTAAAAGATTGTTTTCCTGATTTCTATTTTGTGATTAGCAGCCTAGTTACTGGCTGGCTTTTGCTTTTTCCTCTCCCATTCATCCAGTGTTAGATCCTCTTTGATGCTCAAGTTCATCAAAGAATGTTGGACACCAGCTGCTGAAATAAAGTTAGGTATCACAGCATGTGGTCAATGTTACTCATTTTGGTATTAATTTTTTTTTTTTTTTTTTTTTTTAGTGGGACCGGGGTTTGAATTCAGAGCCTACATCTTGAGCCACTCCCCCAGCCCTATTTTGTGATGGGTTTTTTCGAGATAGGGTCTCTTAAACTATTTGCCCAGGCTGGCTTCGAACGGTGATCCTCCTGATCTCTGCCTCCTCAGTAGCTGGGTTACGGGTGTGAGCCATGGGTGCCTAGCTCAAATATTGTTTTTAAATAAAAAAAGATGTAATCCCAGCTACTCAGAAGGCTCAGGCAGGAGGTCATCTTGAGCCCAGGAGTTTGAGACCAGTTTGAGCAAAATAGCAAGACCTCAAAGGAGGAAAAAAAAAGAAAAGAAAAATAAAAGCTGGTGGCGAGCACAAAGTTGTTACATTGTTTATTGGCTTTTAATGATTTTTGAAATATTTCATTCTTTTAAACATTTATTGTTTTTTTAATAATTTTGAAATATTTCTTCTAAGAAGTGAGATGAGCTCATTTAAACATCTAAGATAAGTATTTGTAGTCTTCTGTCTCAAAATTACCAGCTATATGAAGGCTTATCTCATCTTGATGCTTATACTTTATTAGCTTGAGAGAACCAGAAAATGGAAGTAATACAAGGGCTTTAATGTGCTGTTTTCTCGATAGCTCCTGTGAAGAGCCCAGTCTGGTAAAGGCCCACCAGTTTGAGGGAGACCCTTTTGACTCTGGGTCTGAGGGCTCCGAGGGCTTGGTCCATGTGTGTCACCTCTCAGCACCCTGATAGGGACCACGGCTGAGACATCTGAAGAGAAGTACCGCCTGCTTGACCAGAGAGACCGAATCATGCGGCAAGTATGGTTATAGTGTCAGAGCCACCAG